AAAATTGCTGTTCCTCATTAAAATGTTGCAAAATGCTCAATTTTCGCAGTTTCGAGAAAACCTTGCATTTTTGATGAGGCCAATTAGTCCAAAAAGTCTTTTTTTTCCAAGCTTCATCGACTTTTTTCGGCTCGGCTCTTCTCAATAGGCCTCATAAGCCTAATGACGTTCGAGAATATCCATTTTTGTTTCTTCAGAAAAAGTGAAGGATTTCCAGAACTTCGTGATTCAGTGGGAAAATCCTCAGATTATCTGATCTTAAGGCCTCAAAAGCGACTTTTCAAGTTGGGGAAGTTCTCGGAAAAGCTTCCATTTTTAAGATTAACAATTTTCACAGCATCCTTTGACTGGAAAGTTTTTCGAAAAGAGAAATTTTTTTGAATAAAGTCTTTAAAAAAATAGATCAAATTCAAGCCGATGTGAGTTTGAGCTTTCAACTATTTCTAGACTTCTCAAAAAAATTTTCCCTTTTTCAAAACAGGCTTTTCGGAAATTTTTGAGCAGAATCAAAATTAACTTGATAATAAGAGAGCTCAACTTATAATATTTTCAGGCAAAAATCTCAAGAAAATGACGTCATTTTTTTTTTTTCAAGAAAGGTTCCTTTTCCAAGTCATGGGACGATTTCCCAGACCTCGAAAGTGCGAACACTTTTTTTTTCTCCCAAACCTCCTGTCCACCAACGTCACCTGTAGCGTCAGGTGACCACAAAGTTGAACCCACAAACCGGTTTTTTTGACTCATCTCTTCTCATTTTTTTCTCATTTATCAATGTCCCTTTCCTTCTGATAAGGTAGTTTGTATTGTTTTATCATGCCATTTTATTGGTGTAATTTAATCTGTTTTTCTTATTTTTTTGTTTATCACTGAACATTTGTAAAAAATGATATTCTTCACGTGAATTTTTCCCGTGTTTTTTTCTAATTTTTTTATGAACGTCTTTTTTTGTAAAAAAATTAGTGCGCCAAAAATTCCCTTCTTTCCGCCGACTTTTCAGAATTTCATGTGAGATTTTTCTAGATTTTACCAATAAAGCTCCTCTTTTTTTAACTTATTTTTTTGATTGGCTGATTCAAAGTTTCATCAGGAGGTTAGCTGATCAAATTATTTCGTTTTTCAAGCCAATTTCTATTTTTTCTTCTTTTCTACAGCCAAAAAAAAATTCTTTTAGCGTGTTAAAAAGTAATTGAATGACCAGATTTTTTTCGTTTTTTTAGTTTGGATTTCTTCAAAAATTTCTTTTTTTCTCTAAGATTCTTTTTCTCGTCCTTTTGACTGTTCCGAGTTTCGATCAAGATTTTGAATTTTTTTTTTTCTCAATGGATTTTCATCAATTTCCCTTTTTCTCCCACAAAAAAGAGTCATTCTGGTCGAAATTCACTATTTATTCCACATTTCTCAAATTTTTCCATGTCGATTTTTCTTCAAATTTCGCTATTTCAAAAAAAAAAGAAGTCGGAAAAGCGGAAGATTCGTTCCTATTCAAAAAGTCAAAGATAACTCGATTCCGTCAATTTTTTCAGCTTCCTTGGGAAGTTTTTTTTTTCTAAGCCTCACGTTATTTGTTACGACTTTTTTTTTCCTAGCACGTTCCGCTGCAAACTACTGTTTATTCATGGGGAAATTCGAATAATCTCCCTTTTTATGGGTCTTTTTATACGAAATGGAACGCAATTTCGTGAGAATCTCTGTAGTTCGATCAGTATGGATGAAAATTTTGTCAGCCTCCTTGAAAAGATTTTTTTTTAAATATTCAAAACAAAAAATTGAAAAAGATTCCCCAATATCTAGCTATTTTTTTTTTCGAAATTTGTGCTTTAAAAAAATTTTTTTTTTCTTGTGTATTTTTCTACAAATTTTTTTGTTAAATCTGGTCTGAGCTTCTAGTGGAGAAAAACCACTGAAACACCATTTTTTACAGTTTTTTCTAGATTTTCTCGAAATTCCACGTGCATCTCCTACAAACATTGTGAGCAAATAAAGTTGTATAAATAAATAAATATAAAAAAATATGAGCTAACATCCAAGTGACCAATGATCATAAAAAAATAACAGTAACACTTGGAAAAAGAATAGTTTCGAAACGCTTTTATATTTTTTTCTGATTCATCGATATCTCAAAATCTTTTTTTTTTGTTTAAAAAAATGATTCCTCGCCACTTTGTTTAGAATTTTCGAGCTGAATCACCAACCAGACAGAAAAACTTCCTTTTGTTTCGCTGAGAGGGCATTTTCGCCCTTTTTTTCATACAAAAGAACGTCAATTTTGATTTTATCGTGAGCTTTTTTCAGTTTGTATCGATTCTCATTGTCAAATTCATCACTCCTAGTAGACACTCCATAATTTTTTTTTTGATAAATTTGAAGACGCAGATGCTGTAAAAGAAAATTCTCTGCGCCTGTAAACCTGAGAAGACTGTCAAAAATCTTGGAAAATAATTTTTTTCAAAACTAAAATCAATAAAAAACTAGATTTGACAGGAATTCTGAAAAAAAGCTCTGAATGGCCTTTATCTTACGCTTTGATTGAAAATTACTGACAAAAAATGGGTTTGAAATTTGATTCTACGTAGGAAAAATGATTTCCAGTTAAAATGTTGAACCATTTACAGTTTTTGCCTCTATAGAAAATTTTCAAAATGTTTTCAAAAAAATCATGAATTTGGAATTTTCAACAAGAATGTAGAAAAAAATTCAAATTCTCAGAGAAAGCCCTAAATTCTTCTCGGAAACTTCATATTTCTTGGCCAATTCGAGAAGAATAATTATTTCTCCTTCCCTACCAATCCAATTGAAGAATCATGAGTTTTCCCTTTTTTTGGATGGCCGTCATAAAAAGAAGGCCTTAATTTCTCTCTTTTCGTTCATTTTTTTCCTTTTTTTCTTTTATATAACATTTCACATATATATTAACTATAGGCGATTGTTTCGAAATGTATTTTTATTTATTGAAAAAGGTCTGCAACGCCATTGCACTCTGTTCAGCTTTTAAGAATATTTCTGGAAATTTTGATTTCCTCTTATTTCCATCTTTGTTTTTCGAAAAACGCTTCTGAATCGTCTTTTTCCATACCAAAAACTGTAAACAGACGATGTAAAAACTTGTATAAAATAAAATTAGGAACGCCAGATAGGTCCCTATAGGGACTGCCAAAGACCCAAAATCTCCCGAGGGACACCCTAAATTTTACCTCTAAAATTTTTTCCCTAACCCCTATAAGGACCACTCTGGTGTCTCTGAAAAATTGAACCAAAAAAATTTCTGTTTGGAAAACAATTACTTTTTAAAAAATGAAGTCTTTCTGACCTTTGATATAAAAATTTCATGAAGAAACATTTTTTTCCACCACGAATATCATTTTTTTGTTTTTTTAAATCTTTTCATTCGGGCTGTTGATTCTTCAACGCTTTCTTCGCTTCTCGCCAAAAAAGAAAAATATGTTTTTTAGGCCGCCGACGCAAAATGAAGTTCATTTTTAAGTCCCTCGGGAGTCCCGCATGGATCAAAATTCGCTCCCGCTTTACTATTTCCCTTTAAAAAAAAGAACAATTCAAAACCATGAATTATTCTTGAGAAAAAAAATGTGTCGAAATCAATTTTCAATGATCAACATTCAACTTCTTTTCATTCTGCTGTCAACATTTTCAGAAAATCATCGATTTGTCTCATTTCTCGTTCCTTTTCCCCCGCAGAAACTGATATTTCCCGGATTTTCGGTTAGTTTCATTTTAGAACAGCTACTTTTCCGATTTTTTGCATATTGCTAGGGAACTTTCTGACTGCGAAGGTTCCGACTAATCCTTAACCAACTTTTTTCCTCGATAAATTCTTCGTTTTGAACCTTCCTATATAAAATAAGTAGTTGATTCATTCTTAAAACACAAAGAAAAAGGAGAACAGTGTAAATATATATTAAAGGCCCATTTACCTAAATTGAAAAAAAAATGTAAAATAAGTTTTCTAGATAGAAAAAAATAGAACACTATTCTCAGATATAAATAAAATAATACCTTTATATTACGCTCTTAGTTTTTTTAAAAACGTCTTTGAATCATCATTTTTTTCAAATGTGTATTCCGACAATTTTTACAATGGAAAAAGCGAATAATCTTTTTTAAAAAAAACTATTTTTCTAAAGTTTGGAAAAATCCTTTTTTTCAAGAAAAATTCTCTGATTTCCATCTTTTTTTATAAATAGTTTTTTTGAAAAAAATAGTCAATTCAAAAAGTATGTAGTTGTGACGAGAAAAAAATCTATTGTTTTTCTAGTTTTTTTTGTTTTGTTTTTCTATTCCTTACTTTTTCCTCTTTTTCTTCCCAAATTTGTGCTTTTACGTGAATCTCCATACAATTTTCTATAGCTCGCCGTGAACAATTTTTCAAGAAAAACAACACAAGAAAAAAAGACTCACTAGTTTCACTGACGTTGCGTCAAAATTGCAGCATCTTTAGCCGAAAATTCATGAATTCTGAGGAGATCTCCCGCTTGGATTCGATGGAAAAAAACTGCAATAAATTACTGAAATGATGGGATACAAAGCAAAAAACAGAAAAAATTATTTTTTTGAAAAATCAACTGGGCGGAGCCAAAAATGCAAACAGCTACGCGAAGCTCACCGATCGCAGTGCAGACTTTGAACGATTTTTCTTTTTATTCTTTGTTTTTTGTTCCAGCCGTGATCACCCCATTAACCATTCGACGAACACAAATTCCTCGTTATCAACTGATAATTCTGCAATAATACCGCGCTAGACTTTTCCTGATAATCTAGCCATTTACTAGTAGGAAATTCGATATATTTCTTTGAATTGGTGACTTAATGATAAGAGTTCTTGAGGAAAACCTTGGTTTTCATGAAAAGGGATAACATTTGAAGGGTTCTCGCCTTTTTAGGTCAGAATTTCCGTTTTTTATTCCTTCGAGTTCTTTTTCCGTTTTTGTCGCGCATTTTTTTGGAGGTGTATGTTTCGGAAAAGGCCGATTTTCAGGGTGGACAGGATGAGAAGCGAGGAGGAGAGCCTCGTCGAAGGTCGCCTGTCTTCTCCTCCAGAAGCGCAGCCGACGACGTCGTTGGCCCTTCCCGAGAAGTATATCCTCGTAAACGGAAACTCGAGCTCGAAAGAAAAGTCGCCCACACGATTCGCCATGCCTAGTAAGTTTTGAAAAAGATTTTAAAAAAAGAGATATTTGGCTAGTTTTTAAGGAAACTATTGCGCTCTAGGTAGAATAATTGCAAAATTGGACATGTTTTGAAACCAATTTTTGAAAGAAGCAATTGAAAATGTAAACCTATTTTTCGCGCACCCCGTGAAAAAAAAATATTTTGAAAATCCATTACCTAGTAAAAGTAGGCGTGGCTAACTAATGAGCGTATCAGAGGCGGGCCAAATGATCTCAATTTTTCCAATACTGTTCTGCCGTTTCAATCCCGCTATTTTGCAGTAGAAAATGAAAGAAAATGGTTGGTTTTACACTTCAAAACTAAAACTTGTCAATTTATACAGTTTCGTCAGTAAATTAACGGAAAATTTTTTTTTAAAATTGTAAATTAACTTTGTTTTATTTTTTTCAATTCTTCTGAAACTTCCTGGACTTGTGATGAAAATTCTTTGTATCACTCTGGTGGGATTTCATTTCGCAGAAGAAAAAAAACGAAACGCAGGCTTCCAGATTTAAAACTTTAAGATCCATGAGCAAAAAATGTTTATTGTTTCTTTTTCTGACGGTACAGTCTTTTTCGTCTTGAAAAGCGAAGGAGAATTGGGCGGTCTCATTTTTTATCGTGTCAAGACCCATTTTTCGATGGTTCAATTCTGCCGTGGATCGGCTATATCGCTCTTTTCGTTTCTTTTTCAATTCCTTATTGACTTTTTTTTTCATTTGCGCATAAGAAATAGTAGAATAGATACAAAACAAGCGATAACCGAGCTTTTTGAATAGTTATTGGACCTTGAATTGAACTCGTGCCAAAAACCACGTACGCACACACTACTCGCATCGCACACTTCTCCGCCTTTCAAGTCGGGGAAGACTGATTTTCATGTACCTTCAATGAATGAAGTCTAAGATTTCAATCAGAAAATTATTAAATCCCCGAATTCAGAAAAGAAGACGTGGGAATTCTTCGGACAACTCCGCGAATCGGCCAGTATAACCCACCTTTTCGAGGCCCTCGGAAGACTTATCGGCGAATATCCACTGGCCTTTCTACTCGTCACAGTTTTGATGCTCTTACAAGCCTGTTAGTGACATTTTTTGATTTCTGTGTTTTTCTGTGTTTTTCAGTGTTATTTTAACTTTCTATCTTCATCGAAAGAAAAAAAAATCAAGCTGATAAAAACTCAAAATCTCATTGAGAATATTTGAAAAACTCCCGATTTTCAAAAAATCGGCTCCAAGTAACGCGCACGCTTTGCACATCAGTGATCAAATTTAACAAATTTTTAGGAAAATTTGGGCAATTTATTGTAAAATTTTGATGGATTTGTTCAGCTTGAAAATAAAAAAAGGTATTTTTGAAAATATTTCCAAATTCTAGTGCTTTTTTTGATAAATATCTTCAGAGTAATAGGAATTACCCATCTGAACTTCAAAGGGGAAATTATTGATTTTCTAGCCGGGATTTACGGGATGCGGCTGAGGGACAACTTAAGGGATGGCTACACACCGACGTCTTCTGACGCAATGCAAGAAAATAAAGTCTATCGGGATTTTTTGAGGACTGAAGGTTGGGAATTTCTGAAATTTTGACCCGTTTCATTATTAAAGGTGATCCGGTAATGACAACTCTGCTGTTCATTGCGAAAGATGGCGGCTCGATGCATCGGCTCGAATATTTGGCCGAGGCTGTCAAGGTAAATCCTGCCTTTTTTTCTGTTTGATGTGGAATCTTCTGGCCGCATTTAGAATGGCTTAAAGCGTTACGGTTTGTGTTAAGATGTCGAATTTCGCGTTTCATCTGTCGTTCACCTTGAAAATTATCGCGCGAAAGTCGTTTCGGGTCGGGCGCAGTTTTCTGAGTCATTCTGAGTGCCGCTCGTTGTTTTAAAATCGTTTTGAAACGGTTATACTCATTTCGTCTCCTTTTTTTAATATTTTTTGAAAAAGTTGAATCTTTGCAATTTTTTTTCCTCTTCTACCTTCTCTTTTTTTACAACATTCCATTATTTTTTTTCTTGAAATTTTTTTCCAAAAAAACTCGATTTTAGTAACGGTTTATCCATGTTTTATTCTATTTCTAAAAATGAAAAAAAGGTATTCTTTTTTTCTGCTTTTTTTCAAAAAAATTTATTTTGATTTTTTTGCTTCTTTCCCTAACCCTTTAAATAGCTTTCCGTTTTATTTCTCAGCCTTTTCTTTTCTTAAATTTGAAAAAAAGATCACCCTTTTTTTAGCTTGTTCCAAACATAAAATAATTGAAACAAAATCGAATTCAACCGTTTTTTTCGAAAAATATAGGAGTTCTAAATTTCAAAAATACGTGAAAAAGTTGAATTTTGCAGTCCTGGCACCATATATCACAAAAAATGACCGTGAATGTCGACGAAATCGACGTCAAATACGAGAAATTCTGCGGAAATTATTGTGACGTCAATCGGCCTGTCGAAATTTATGTGGTTGGTCTTCAGAAATCATTGATTTTCAATGATTTTCCATTTTCCAGCAAGCCGCTGCAAATAAGACATGGAACCCGAAGAACAAGGCCGTCGACCTACAGTATCCCATAGCCAATATCCAAGGCTTCAGACTCCATCTGGAGCGAAACTTCTTCGGCGTCAAGACCGATGGAAACTACTCGATTGAAGACGTCAGCAATATCAAGCATATCGAGGTGGGATTTGTTCCTTTTCGAAACGGAGAAGTTCATTCTAACAAGTTTGCTCCATGGTGAAAGAAAGGGACGTCATTCTTGAGCTAAGGAATCGAAAAGTGACGTCATTTTCAAGCAAAAAACCCTTACGCTGGGTTGACGTCACATTTGAGCGCAAAATTTTAAAAAATGACGTAGTTTTCAAGCGAAAGCTCTTGGAATCGGACTGACGTCATTAGTAAGGTCAATTTTCGGATAATGACGTCATTTTCAAGTTGAAACTTGTTGAGCTTCACTGACGCCATTTTGAGCTGAAAATTCGAAAAATGACGTCATCTTTAAAACAAAAAAACTCTTGGATATTAAATGGCGTCATTTTTGCGCTCAGAAGTTATAAAAAAAACGTAATTTCACGGCGGAAAATCTTGAAAAAGACCTCAGGAGTTCGAATCTTCGAATATTAGGGAGCTTCCGAAAATGAGAAGGTTTTTTCTCCCTACACGCTCTCTTGTTTATCAGCGCTCTCTAGTTTCAATAACTGATAGCTTTTGAAAAAATTTCTTAATTTTTATAAGTTTTCTCCGTTTTTCGCGACTTAACTTATTGTTTTTCTCTGGGCCCTCTTGCTCTCTAGACAACCTTCTCAATCTGACGTCCTTTTTTTTTTGTTCTGACCACGCCGGTGAGGGAACCAAGAGACGCAGACACGCAAAAACTTCCAAGTTTCGGCGAACAGACTATATACTCCTTTTTTCCAGCTCGTTTCGATGATGATCATGGCCGAGGTGAAGAACTTGGAGGAGTTCCAAAGGATCGGCAAATGGGAGCTGGAACTTTTCGAGTACTGCCGGAACTATACGGCCAGTAAGGAGACGATCATTGAACTTCAGGTAATTCTTTTGCGATTTTCAGAGTTTTCCCATTGTCGTGTAAGTATATCTGTAACATGTATAGAAATATAAGATTTGAAGAAAATTGTTTCAAATCGAAAAATTCGTTTTTCAGGTAATTGGGTCGGAAATCGTCGACACGGAAATGAACAAAGACGCCCAAAGGATGGCGCCCTACTTTGTATGGGGTCAGAAATTTTGAATTTTTCGTTTTATTTTGTTTTTCGAGCTTCAAATAATAGTTTTCTCACAGAAAATGCTCAAATTTGCAACGTTTTATGCTTCTTTTTTCAAAAAATGTGACTTCTCAAAATCCTGAATTTTTTGGCGTGTTTTTCGAAAAATCCTGAACAGGACCTACAATTTTTCTCAAAGATCTCTCGAAATGCTAAAATTCTTTCTTCAAAAAATCATAATCAGAGTTTAAAAATTTTTTTGAAGGTTTTTCGAATTTTTAAAAATTTTAGGCTTCATTTTTGAAAAAAAATTCGATTAAGGCGCATAATTGTTCTCGAAATCATAAGCTTCTATTTCAAAACGAGAAAAAACCTTGGTTTCTCGAGAAATTTTCAAAATCCCCAAAATTTGCAGGAGTCTCGATGATGGGCGGTATGATGCTCCTTTGCATGTGCGCCTCTTGCATTTTCTACGGCTTCTCGATGAAAACCACGCCCATCGTCTTCTTCGTGACCAACGGCGTGCCGTTCTTCTCGATCATCTCCACGTTCGGCCTGATGAACTTCCTCGGCTACCGGATCAACTCGCCGATGATGATCATGCCGTTTCTGATCATGGGCATCGGGGTGAACGACTCCCTGCTCGCCCTGCAGAGCCTCATGCAGCAGAACCACAAGATCCCCGTCGAGGCCAAGATGGAACGAGCTCTCGGAAGCGTCGGACCCAGCATCGTCGTCACCACAATGACCAACGTCGCCACTTTCCTCATCGGATGGGCCAGTCCCACGGAAGGTTGGTTATGAAGACAATGAACCCTGTTGGTTTAGTGATAGAAAAACTGCAGAAACTCTTGTTTTACTCTGAACTTGAGCTTCAAAACTCAGGGAAAAGTTGGGAAGCTTTTGCTTCGATTCCTCGGAAGTCGTTTGGAAGCAAGATGTCGAACGCAATCCAAATGGCTTCCCAACACCTTCTACTTAGAAAAAAGTCTGACGGAAGCCTTCCAGAAGCATTCCGGCAAGCTTCTGAAAGGCATTTTCCATTTTCACCTTCCCAACACCTTCCCAGGATTCGCTTGAGAAGGAAGAAAGGAGAGATCAACGGCGGTCTGAAGAGACGTTAGAGAAACTGGGAAATCGTTTTCTCTGCCATCTCTTCAGGTTGCTTTGATCTCTCGTTTCTCCTGTTTATTCTCAACCGAAGTGTGAAGAGAGACCAGAGACATTATGAAAAAGAAACTTTCATTGAACGTCTTTTCAGAAAACCAAAAATGAACGCACTTTCCAGAAATTTCCATCTTCTGCATGGGCTGTGCTATCGCCATGTCTTTCGCCTTCCTCTACACCTTGACCTTTTTCTGTCCGATCATGGCGATCGTCCTGAAGAGCGACTGGTATCGAGTCTCGGACTACAATCCGGATAACTCCAGGGTTGGTTTTCGCTCGCTTTAGGCTTACGACAGAGTTTTTCATTGTTCCTAGGAACGCGAGAGTGGTCCTAAGGGCTCTTAAAGGTTCCTCTTTAGTGATGAGCCTATCCCCCCTGAAGTAGGCACTAGAACTTGCAAAATTGGCCTCTCTAGGGGCGCATGCTGGTCTTAAACGCCTATAGGGATCACTTAAATCTTACCCTTCTCAGAAAAACTTTTTTTTATTTCTTTTTTTCTGAACTCTATGTCTGTCTGGTACAGTTGTATTTTATTTTCTAAACCCTATAGTGACCACTTTGGCTTTTTTCAGTTGAATTTCATTTTTCAAAGTCGGTAGCGAAAAAATTGAGTCGAAGGTCAAAGTTTTTAATATGGTTTTTGTTCTTTAACTAGCATTAACCAGTCCGTTCACCACTAGCTTGAGTCAGAAATTCTACACCTTCGCAGAAACTCCTAATAAAGATTCCTTAATCAAGTTTAAAGCCAGTGGTGAATGGACTATTAATTTTGAGCTCATTTTTGTATTTTTTGAAAGATTTACGATCTCTCACGAACCGTAAAAGGCATTTTTCAAACATATTTGTTCGAATTTCCAGCTCCACCGTCTCGCCCACTCCCTCAGCTCGTCGTTTTCCAAACTCATCGTCAGCAACAAGACTTTTTACGTCACCCTGGCCTTGACGATCTTGTTCTGGATCTATGCCGGAATCGGGGTCGTCAACATCAACGCCAAGCTGGACACTGGGAAAATCTTGCCCCTGGACTCGCCGATCCGACGGCCCAATCGTCTTATTGAAGAAATCGGTTTCATTTTTTCCAAAAAGCCAAGAAATTGTTAGTTTTTTTCAGTTTGGACCGAGTTTTATCCAGTGACAGTGATCGTGAATAACGAGTTGGACCTGAAAAATGATCAACAAATGGCTCTTTTCGACGATTTTGTCAAGGATTTCGAGTCGTTGCCCAATTGTCGAGGTTCATAGTTTATTCATTAAAAGAGAGGCTCTGAGAAAAAATGGGTTTTTTCGCTTTAAAAATTTCATACTTCATTTTTTCTGAATATTTTTCGATATATACGAGAAAGGGTCTCAAGCGGACTTTCTATCAGTTTAAAACAGCTTTATGTAATATTTAAAGTCTATAAAAAAATAATAAAAAAACCTATCAAATGCACTTTTCATTTTTTTTTTAATACTCTTTTCCTATCTTCAAAAGCAATTTTCAGGATCGGAATTCACGATTTCTTGGCTGCGAGACTACAAAGAATACTTTTTCGGGATCGGAGCTGAAGATTTTGACTACGACAGTGATATTGATATGACGAAACCTCAAGTTTTCGATTACTCGGTGAGGTTTTTACAAAGTAATCTCATTGATTTCTATGAAAAAAATATCGATTTTTTTCTCATCAATTATTGATTTTTTTCCAGAAGCTTCTCGCTTTCCTGGCCAGTCCGATCCACAAACACTACTTGGCCAATGTTCGAGTTGCACATCGCGGCAAAGAGTTTGTTCATTTTATGATTTGAAAAAATTGGAACGAAACTATTATCCGTTTTTTGTGACTTGAAAATGCTGTTTCTCTCTGCGCACAAGAGACGCCAGAGAACGAGACTTTTCTCGTTTCTCTACCGTCTCTTCAGGCCACATGCTCTCTCTCTTTTTTGATATAGTTTTCAAGAAGCTGTTATTTTGATAAGTTATCAGAAAACTGTTTAAATATCTGATATTCAAAATTAACTTTATTTTATCTGAATTTCAAAACGGCATAAAACTCATTCAAACGCAGGCTGATTTTCTTTGATTTTCCTGATTTTTTGATTTCTCAGAGTGGCGGTGACCAACTTCACGATGACGTTCGTCTACCAGAACAGCTCCTCCTGGGAAGATCGGATCAACATCATGAACCAGTGGAGAAGCATCATTAAGAAGTGACCCGCCGTGAATTGTCCTTCATTTTATCGCGGTTTCCAGACACCCCGAGTTGAACGCCTCGGTCTGGAACGTCAACGCCTTGTTCGTCGACCAGATGCAGAGTCTGAAGCGGTTGGCCATCGTGGTGAGCAGCTTTCTCTTATTGAGAAGGGCCTGGATTAAAACGATTGATTGACAGTGTGAACTCTAACGAGCTCCCTTGGATCCAAAGTTTTAGAGAATTCGTTTTTTTTTCAAATAAAAATAACCGTAGGGTATTAAATTAATCAGAAAGTGAAAGAAGGATTTTTTTAAAGAATCTAGCGCCATTACGTTTCAAAAAAAAAATGTATAGTCCATTCATCGCGACTTGAAAGGACTTTTCTGCGCTCTCCTCGTCTCTCCGCAACCCTCTCATCTTGGCGTGCTATTTCCATGTTTCTCTGACCTCGTCGGTGAGGGAACAGAGAGATGCAGACAGTCGAAAAGTTTCAAGTCGCGGCGAACGGCCTATATAAAATTACAAAACTATAAGAAAGGTTGAAAAAATTAGAGAGGAGGGAATTTCTTCCACAAGTCATAATTGATCTGACAAGGTTCTTGGGAATAAACGGCTAGCCTTACAATTCGATTAGAAAAGCATTCAGAACATGTTCACGACGCTGCTGTGCATGTTGGCCGTCTGCGTGATCTTCATCTCGAACCTGGCGTCGATCGGCGTCGCCATCGTGGCGATCATGTCGATCGCCCTGGGCGTCGTCGGATACGCCTCCCATCTCGGCCTGGACCTCGATCCGGTCACCCTCTGCGCCACGATCATCTCCGTCGGCATGGCTGTGGACTTCGTTGCCCATCCTGCTTACCATTATCAGGTGAGGAAAAGGGAAAATGAGGTCGGGAGAGGCTTATGGTCACTAGAGGGGCAACTTTAGAAGCTCTCGTAGGTTCCCTTCAAAGTGCCATCTTGCTTCTTCTTACTTCTCCATTCAAGGTTGCAAAAGTGATTAATCGACCGGTTTTAGATAGTGTCCACTCTAGGGGAGTAAGTATTTTTAACTTCCAAACAGAACCAAAAGTTGAAAGCTCCAGTCTTCTAGAAAACACTGTTTTGTCCATTATAAGCGCTTTTTTCTTCAATCCCTATAATGCCCACTCTGGCGTTCTTAATTTGCAAAAATTTTTATCCGTAGAACTTTTTTGAAGAATATTTTGTCAAAAGAAGATCTTTCTCCAACTGTTTCAAGTTATATGTAATCAAAACTAACCATTTCCAAGTTTGAAAAAAAGAAAAATTTTGCTTTTCCGAACACTTGAAAAGTGGCCAATGCTCAATTTTATTCAAAGAAAAAAAAATTCGCAGGTGAAACACGTCATCGAACTGAGAAACGGCCGGGAGGTCCGTGTGAGGCTGAAGACGCCCTACGAGAGGGTCTACCACAGCGTGTCGATGATCGCCTGGCCGATGTGCCAGGCCGCCGCTTCGACCCTTCTTTGCGTCCTTCCGGTCATCTTCTTGCAGGTTCGGTCTTCCTTTCTTCTTTTAGTTGAAGAGGAAGTGAAGTGGGAAAAGATTCATTTTTTTTTTTGAACGAAAAGGTATTCTGGACTTGGCTTCTATAAAGCTTCAAAGCCAGATCTGCTGAAGAGACGGGGCAACCGCAACGCGCCCGCGGGCGTCCCGCGAACGGTCACATTGCCAAAAGGGCCATTTTTCTTCGATTTTTCACCAGCTTGTTAGGCGCAGACTTGTTCTGCTCCATTCGGGTTTAGGCTGAGTTGGAAAAAAAAATGAGTGTTAGGGGGATTTTTACTCATTTTGGAATTTTCGGGTCGGGTCGTCCCCGGGCACTTGCTCGAATTCGCGCGTTGACCCGTCGGCAGCCCCATTTGAAATGATCGATTTGAAGGAGGTCTCTTTCAAAGCCGAAATGAAACGTGCACCGCTAGGATTGAAATTTTGGCAGCGGAATTTTTCTAGAAAACAGAATTTCCAGAACTATCTGCCCCTGGTTTTCGTCAAAATCATCTCTCTAGTCGTATCCATCGGAATCGCCCATGGCCTTTTCGTTGTCCCCGTCTTCCTTGCTCAGGTTTGTCTTTTCGAAAGAAGTTTAATAAGGAAAAGTGACGTCATGAATCGGCCAATTAAGAATTCGTAGAAATAACTAGGCTATTTCTGAAGAGCTTTGAATTAGTCTCGAAAACAGTCTTTCCACAATAGGGGACACTTGGAGAGAGGCTCGAACTTTTTGGAGACGTTTCTAGGATAGAATCGCCATATAAATCTGTTTGAGGGATTGATTTGAGCAGAGTTAGATTGTATCAGATTTCCAAAGTCGGTCTTCTAAAGTGACCTCTTGAAAGACCAAGGGACTTTTATGAAATCCAATAATTTCGCTGTCATCCCTTAAAGGATCACTTGAAAATGCTGAGTGAATAATATAAGTTTGAAAGGCTCGACTAAGATCACTCAAGTGATCACTTGATGGCTGTGAGACCAACAGCTTGACTGATGTCACTTTAGTGATCACTTACCTTCTCAATGACGTCATTTCGGTTACAGATTCCGCTGACTTGGTTCGACAACAGCATCTTCCAGTTGATTGTCGGAAAAGATCACGTCGGTGACGTCAGCGACGATGACGTCAGCCTGGAGGACGAGGTCGCCGCCGAGGAGCTTGCCATAATTGGCACGACGCCAATCCAGCTTCTCTCCGAGGCCACGCCCCTTTCCAAAGAGCCTGTCTGAGCTTTTTCCAACCATTCTTTTAGTTCCATTTTTCTGCACATTTTGTTGATTTTTCCACGTTTTCCCCTCGGGTCCATTAGAGTTTTTTTAAATTTTTCTTTCTCCGATCCTCGGGTTTCCGATATAGCCATATATAATGTATAGACCAATCGAATTCGCTGCCTTACTTCTTGTGATTTGAAATTCCTGCATTTCTTTAATCTGTTAGTATTTTGATGAGCAAACGGGAGTACCCTGAAAAGTGTTCGTATTTTCCAAATTGTCTAGGTATCCGTTTGACGCATTCATTTTCCCCCACCCTCACCGGTTCCTCTAAGTCTTGCCCCCCATTTTCAGAATGTATATATTTCTTCATTAATAACCAAAGACTAATGCATTTAAAATAATCAAATGAATAACTTTTAAGTGCCTAGAGATTATTTCGACTAACTTTCTTATTCACTTTCCTCTCGATCAACCAAATTACTCACTTCACTTTATTCAGAAGTAATAAAAGAATTGATCAAATTGACAATATGCCATACTGTTTAACATTTCAAGGCGATGACTTCCACCTCAAAAGAGACAAAAATGGAATGAGAACATGGGGAAAATTTGGATTTCGCGGCTAGCAACAAGTTTTAAACTCGACAGGCGCGATTGCAAGTTTTCGTGCACAGTTGCATGACTTGCTCGCGGTCGCAGAGTTGCAGGATTCCCCAGAGACGACAGTAGCTACCGTAGTCCAAGCAGCGGAGCGAACTTGACTCGTCAATCTGCAAAAATTTGTTGCTGGAAAGTTGGGAAGAGAAATGACGTCATTTCAAGAAACAGATTATGTAACGTCTTAAACAATTTAAATAAAAATTCTGAAACAGAGTGACGTCATTTAAGTCACACTATGAAGTCATTAAAACCTATACTTGGAATTTATCAGGGTCAATGACGACACAATGACTTTCCATTCACCGTCAAGCTTGATCAAAATAAATAATAAATGACGTCATGCAAACTAGAGGTTATGACGTCATGGTCTCAGTAATTTTTAATTCCCAAAAAGTAACGTCACAGTTTGAAAAAGAAATCCCAACCTCGATCGGAGTCACCGTAGGCCGTCCTCTTGGTCTAATTATGAAAGAAATCGGCGTTGAACTTGGCGAAATTTCGACGTCGTCTGTTTTTGTCGTGGTGGAATCTTCTGGAGGCGTCGTGGTCGTGGTCGTTGAGGTCGACGTCGTGGTTGACGTCGAGGTCGTAGAAGGCTCGGGCGTCGTGGAAGTCGTCGTGGGGACTGTGGTGGTCGTCGAAGTGGTTGTGGAAGACGTCGTCGGTTCTGGAGTCGTAGTGGTGGTCGTAGAAGTAGTGGTCGTAGTCGTTGTCGAACTTGTGGTCGTGGAAGGTTCTTCTGAAGCAAATTTCTTCAATTTTTGAAGAAATTGATTGATGGAGACCTGCAGAAGTTCCTTCAGGAGTTTCAGTCGTGGTGGAGGCCGTTCGGACAGTTTCGATGAGGTTATAACCGCGTCGGATTGGCGGTGGACCTGGGTGCAATAAATGGTTAAAAGAACCCTGGGCTCAATTCAGAATCGAGCTGATTTTCATTTTGATTTCTGGATTTTCTGAGAAGTGGTCGGAAGAATCAAAAATTCAGGAGAAAAAGGTTCTAAAAGTTTCTCTTGTTTTTTTTGTTTGAAATAGCGCCAAAACATAGTAGCCAACTTCTTTTTCCTTTGGGTCAATACTTCGTAGGACCTGCTACTTCTCAATTTTCTAGGCACAGTTTTTTTCGCAATAGAAGTCTGAAGATGACAAAAATTCTCAAGGTTTAAGTTCCGTTTTCAAAGCAAGTGACCGGAAGGTCAGCCTGGAAATGGTTTACAGCAACACATGAAAATAATTCAGCTGGACTTCATGAAAAATATATGACCTTGTGCTCAAAAACTGACTTAAAAACTTGTGGAAAAATGTAAAAGTGAATTTCAAAAGTCAGTTTTTCAGATTCCGCTCATGTTTGATACTTGTGGGCTGAGACCATTTTCTTCTCAAATCTCGTTTCCCAAACTATGAGAAGAACTGACTGGAAGAGGAGAGTTTGCTCTTGATGATGGGCTCGACGAACTGGGCGACCATCTCCTCGGCGACCACCTTGATCGCTTCGAAGGTCTCCAGCCCGGTGGAGACGATCTCCCTCTCCGGCAGCAGGAATCCGTGGCTGACAGATGGTTTTTTTGCAGTTTTTGAAAGGCTCAAGTTTGGGAGTTCCTAGGGAGAAAAATGAGGGAATCCTCACCCCATTAGGGAGTTTTTCGGGCGGAGTTCGACCAGATAGGCGTAAGGGACTTTGAGTTGGCCTTTGGCCCAATCATGAGATCCGCCGGAGGCTTCGTCTGAAATTGGAATATGAGCGTAATTTATTGAGAAATTGACATAGAAAAAATATTCAAAAAAGAGAAAATACAATAAATAATCGTGATAACAAAATCCTATATGAGATTAAGCTACTGGGAGAGTTTTTAGTGGCCACTATAGAGGCTCGCCAAAGACTACTTGGACAGGACACTAAAGTGGCCACTATTTTCCGTTTAAGTGATCACTATAGAAGTCCTCTATTTAGTGGCTACTTCAGTAGTTTATCATCCAGTATCCCTTCCAATAACTCTGATAATTTCAAAACAAACAGATTGGACCAGTTATGTTGATCCATAGACCCCTAAAGTGGCCACTAGAATTTTTAGTGGTCTCGTAGTTGCACTTAGACATTTATAGTGGTCTCTAATTTAGAACCCTTTAAATGACCACTAATTTGACTACTATAATGGGCACTAAAACGTCAAAACCCTATAGGGGCCGCTAAAAACATTCCCAGTATGCTCGGAATTGAAAAAATATTTTTATTTTCGTAGTTTTTAAAGTTTTATAAACCAAAAAGCTGCTGTGAAAAAAAAAATAATTCCTTGACAGAATTCTCAAGCTTGAACCCTAAAGTGAACACTCAAGAAGTTCCATGGAATTCTCCAAAACTCACACATCAAATCGGCGCCAGTTCCAACTTGATATTTGGTTCCATAAAGCTCGTACAAAGCTTTGGTCGCTCGGAGGGCCAAAGGTCTCTGAAATAATCCATTTCTTTTCAATTTTTTTGATTATCTCGCTCAAAATAACCTAAAAATTTAGTTTGATCAACGGTTAAACCCTGATTTTTCCCGCTAAAAAAATCCTTTTTTCTAAACTTCCACCTGTAAAAATCAGCCTGATTGAGTTTTCAAGCAACTAATCATGACTTACCAAAGCCGTTTGGAAATCCTGGGGATAGCTTCTTTTGCGGTGACCGTAGGGGATGAGCCACATTTGGGAGTAGGAGTGGAGAGTGATGAACGCCTAGAAAATGATTACTGTTTTAAGAATTCGTGATAACTGAAACAGATCAAGTAATGGTTTTTTAAATTTCTTTTTCGAAGTCTCAAAAAGATTATTTTCAACAAGAAGTCATAAAAAAAAGTCAGAAACTGCTTTTGTGACTGCTTTTTATGATTTTAGAACTGTTATTTGATCGAAAAAAATTCCTGAGTGATTTCATCCTACGACTTATTAGCTTTCTGAAAATTCTCATTCTCAAAAAAACCTTCCTGATAAAAAACACATTTTTCTCAACAAAAAAGAGTCAAACTTTAAAATACTGCATATTTTTTCTACAACCTTCTTAGAATCTCCAGAGTGGTCCCTCTAGGGGCAACCTTAAGGGCCTTTGTAGGGTTTCTTTAGAGACCATTTTACCTACCCCTACAGGAGCCACTAAAGCTTGCGAAACTTGGACTTCTCTTTTACAAAAACCTTTTCGGAAAAACAATTTCCCTAACGAAAAAATCTCCCATCTTTGAATATTTCTGAGAAAAATTCTCAAAATGCTCATTTTTTCAAGCCTTCTTAAGCTTTCAATTCTCAGAAACCATTATTTTCACACCAAAAAACTCGAATCACAAACTTCGGGAGTATTTTCCTCCAAAAAGTCCTTGACGGCAAGTGATTCCGGCTCGGAAAACGACGAAGGACCGTGATAAGTCTCATGACAAGGATCCGAGGAAGATCCGGTCGCTGAAATCGAATTTTGAGCTGAGAATGATTTTCGAACAACTGACAAGCCCAGAACCAGTCGAAATTCCTATTGAGATCGACTCCGGCGCAGCAAACCGTGTGGAAATGTTGCCGTTTGCAGGACGCCGGCCGTCGATTTTTCCGCCACATTCGGTTCTTCAATTCATGAATTAAATACTCATTATTTTCCTACGAATCCATTATTTTCAACTTTCCATCAACTTTTTTCAAAATCAAAATTTGAATCAAAAATAAGACTTTTTTAAATTTCCTCTTAATTTATTGAGCCATTCTCTTGCGACCAAATTACACCGAGAAAAGAATCAAAATCTCTTCAATTTTTTCTCTAAATCCTTTACTTTCAAACAAAACTTTTTTCCTCGCCTTCGAACTTCAAGAAATTCTCAATCGGAAAAAATATCAATAATTCGAATTTCTTTGGGGAGTTTTTTTGATGCAAATTAATTTAAATAAAAATAAAAAAATAGGTTTCTTCAAGCTTCTTGGAGAAATGGATGAAAATGTTAATTGAAAGAATAGTTTTTAACTTAAATTTATAAAACCGCTGAAACGTGTTTCTGATTATATTTTCTCTGCTTGATAATAAGTTTTCCAACAAGTTTTTTTTTATGTTCGTCGGGGTTTTCTACAAAAAAAGCTTTAAACTTCGAATTTAAAAAAAGTTTCTTTTTTTATTATGAATCGAATTCTTTATATTCATATCTCTTTCATTTTTTTAAAAAAATATAACTTTTTTTCTCGATTATTTCAACCTTGAAATGATTCTTTCTTCGAATTTCCTCCCCCGAACCTTAGTCCTGGAATATTCGTAGCCGTCCGGATTCATCACAGGAAGAATATAAAATTCAACGTGATCGAGAAGTTTCTGAACCGTCGGATCGGTCTCGTAGTTGTGGATGAGCTGGAAAAATCAAATGTTTCCGATCGTTTATTAAGTCCAAAAACTTCGTGAATCGTATAAAGAGCCGTGGCTGGGGCGATCCATTCGCGGGCGTGGATTCCCGCGTCGATCCACATTGAGATTTTCGAGCCCATCGGATTTCTTCGACCAGTCACCTGGGACATTCATTTTGGAGGTTTTCCAATGTTCAGAGCTCTGCTACAGTACTTAAAAAAAATACTGGAAGGCTTCTTTTACAAAGCCGAATAGGCGAATTTTAGGCAATAAGATATTTATTCGTTAAAAAAACAAAAACAAAAAAATTTTTCTGATTTAATTTCAAAGATTTCTCAATAAAAAGTCTTTTTCGAAACTCAGCTAGAGCACTTGAAAGAGCATTGAAAAATCGTATAAAAACATTTCAAAGCTTATAGGGGACAATGAACTTCTAAACCTGACATTTATCCCTCTCAAATCTAAATCAAGTCTAAATTTCATTTCAAAGATTTCTCAATCAAAACATGTTCAAAAATTTGCTAAAGCACCTAAAAAAACATCTGATTTCATTATAAACTTTAAAAGTGAAAGAGGCGATAATTCAGTCCAAAAAATGATATATTTTATCAGAATCCTTAAAAAAGAGGGAAACTGTCTGTAACTTGGCTTTGATAAGGTTACCTGATGCACTGACCCTTTTAAAAGAACTTCAAATTTCAAAGTTTTTCTCAATCTAATAAAAAAAGTTATATATCAATTTTTTTTGTGATTGAACTCTTCGTATAGATTATATGCATCTTCAAAAGGATTATTTCCAACCTTGATGACAAGCAAAGTCCGGTTCTCGTGACTCTGACCGATGTCGATCAAAGTGACCATATCGGGCTTCTCTTTTTTGAGCCGTTTCAATTCTCCATGGATATCGTCCAGGGAATTGTACCGATCATAGGCGAATCCATTCGCTTCAGGATGGTAGTAGTTTTCGGGAGATTTTTCGTTGGCAATCGCTCTAAAAGTGAAAATTTCTTGAATTTTCTAATTTTCTTGAGAATCCATCTTCTCTTCAATTTATTATCATCTCCAAGCGCAAAAAAAAAATTCTCTGAAAAGTGGTGAATAAAAGTTGATTTTCAGAGCATTCAAGAACACTAATCAATACAAAATCCTATCCATTATTCCCTAACTTTCTAATCTTTATTCTTTTGAATTTTCAAGCCACTGACTGGGCCAAGTCGTTCACCGCCACGATGTAGTTCAAATTTTTCGATTCCAAGTCTTTGACAAAAATCGGGGCGTCGGATGGTGCAACTGTGACGTCGACGATAGCGCCTTAATTTTTTTGAAAAAAATAATTAGGTTCTTGAAAAATAATCAATAACCAATATGAGTTGGCGGCTGCCAGAAATCGAGTTCGTATGGTGAAGATCCTTCGTACAAAGCCTTTAGGTAACTGAGATTGTCTTCAGTTTCGGGGTTGATCCGGACAAGCTTGAAGCTGAAATAAATATATTATTTCCAAAAAAAGTCTGAAATCTCCATTAGGCAAAAAAAAAAAACGCTAGAGCGTTCATACAAGTTTTCAATTGCAAAAATGAAAAGCCGAGAGTTTTCCTTGGAAAAAAAAAGCCTGAATACTTTTCAAGATACCTTTTACTGTCACATCTAGGCGCAAATAACCTTATTTTGAAAAAGGGAGAGAAACTTTTCAAAAATTGGAAAAAAAAAATTGCGCGGAATAAAATATTGCGCGTCGGATGAAATGTTTTCTTCATGCAGCACGACGCGAAAATGCATGCTACAAAAGGGAAAATTTGAATATTTCATTTTTTTTTTTCGAACGAGTTTACTTTGACGAATTATCATAAAGCGCAAATATAGCTTTCGTCTGCATTTATCACAACTCATCATTGTGACATCGTAATTTTGCAATTTCACTTTCTTTTTCGCAATCTTATCCAACCGAACGCCTACTTCCTGAAACTGTGCGGCTCATCGTCGTTGTAAATTGCGACGGCGGCTTGGATCAACGCCGCAAAGACGACGACGACCTTCATCGTCTCCGTTTGGCCCTGGAAAAGACGGGGAATGTCGTCGGACAAACACACGAAAACGAAACACGACTCGAGTATGGCATGACCAAACACTCGCCTCCGAAAATTCAGTCTTGTGGACAGTACAAAGAGTGGAAAAAGGCTGAGGTCAAACAGTTTGGTCAATGGATCGGGATTGAGAATGAAGAGTAGTGGGAGTGAAAAGCTGAAGAAGACGAAAAAAAAAGTTCGGTCCACTTGTAGATCGCAACAAAAGTTTTTTTTTTGAATACTTGGAGAGGTTGAAACTCTTGCGTTGTTCGTTGTCGAAATTTAAATTGACGTATTGAAATAATGACGAAAGATAAAAATAATGATGCCAGCTTCATTAGATGTACTTTGGAACGCCAGAGGGGCCCCTAGAGGGCTTTGGGTCTCTTCTTTAGGGTTTTTTTGGACTGAGCCCTGAGCCTCTAAAGCTTGATCGGCCCATATAAAAAGCCTTTTGATTTTTTTTAAAATTTTAAAAAAATAAAAAAAGACCTATAGGGACAACTAGCATGCTACCCCAGAACGGCCCCTTATGCGATTTTAAATTCCCCTATAGGGGGAGTCATTTGGTCCGTAGAGAGGAACTCTCAAGTGTCTCTAAGCTGCCCCTAAGGTCCAAACTCATTTTTTTGATCATTTCTTGGCTAAAGAGAAAAAAATGTTTGAACCAAGGTGGGATTTTTTTCAAAGCCCCAAGGTGGACCAAACTTCGTATGTTTATTGACTAACGATTCTCCAAAAAAATGATTTTTAACTTTTGGAAAAATTTTTTTTTCAAACTTTGAGGAATCTGGAAACATTCCGGTGAAGAGACCAACGAGTCAAATTGAAATCTAAGATCAATAAAAAAATAACAAATATAGAAAAAAAGACTGCAACTAATTCTTATAAGGACATATATTGTAGATAGTTTTCGAAAAACTACGTAGTCTAGTAAAGAAATAACATATCGAAATAAATTTTTTAAAAAAGTAGAAAAAGCAGAAATTGAATCAAAACTAATCCAACCACTGACGAAGGACAAAAAAAATATCCAGGTTAGAGGTGTACAAATGGAATTTTTTTTTTGATCGATCTAAAAAAAAATTGAACTGATTGAACTAGGGAAACATAAAAATGAGATTCTTTAGGTTTGAATTTTTATAAAGTGAGATTTTTTGATATTTTCCAAACATAAAGAGACCTTCTCTGATCCAATAACCTGAGAAACAGAATAATTATGTCCTCTAGGTTAAAAGGTTCAAATGGAAATACTTTGAACGATAAAAAAAAAGCTGAACCGAGATCGATTTAACCAGTGTTCTAAGAAAAAAGTGAGATTTCTTGAATTTTTTCAAGTGGAAACTACTGAAAAAAAAAAATAAAAAGATGAGGTTTAGTTCATTCAGTGGTTTATGAATGAAAAATATTAGATTGATTTGAAAAAAAAAGCTGAATCGAGATCCCCAGCAAAAACTTCAAACCTGGAGAGCCTCATTTTTGAGTTTCAGAAAAAAAAAAATAAAGTTCTTTAGATTTGCAGGTCATATATATAAATGGAAACTTTCGATTTTTCTTTGGGGCCGAGTTCAATCAACTATCAAAGAAAAAGTTCTCCAGCTTTAGGGGGAGGATAAATGTAATTTTTGATAGGGGCTTTTCTCGAAGTAAACCCCAGATCAACCCCGCCAACAACAAAACACAAAAAGGGCAACTCCAGAAGGAGCTCTGACCGGGAGACGAGCCGCAGATTAGTGCATCTCGATCCGAAAGAGACAATGACAGGGAGGTCGTGAGGAGGGTTGGAAGACTGACGCCTTCCTCCGAAAACCGACAACCCAAGAAGACAGCTCGGCAAACAAATCGGGGAGGAGCTCAAAGCCGACAGTTCTTGTCGTACAACATTGCGTCGTCGCTTCTTATCCAACCCGAAAAAAAGGAGGACGTGTGACGTCGAAAAATCATTTCGAGTAGAATTTGAGTTTTTCCAAGAAAATAAAGATTTTGACAAAATTGAAAAAATTCAAAGATAGTGTCACTAAAACGCAGAAAAACTGACGAAAGAGGGTTTTTGAGCAATTCAGGATTATTTCTGCTTCTCTTCCAACTCCAAAAAAGGGAGCCGTGTGACGTCGAAAAACCATTGAATTTTCGAAAAAAAACGATAAGTTGAAAAATGCTTAAACTAGATAATTACAGAATCTCTAGTTCACCCATTTTTTAGGATCGGCCCGAAATTATTATTGAATAAGCGAGTAAACTGACAAAAAAAAAATATTTTTTGAGCAAAGTTGGCAGCAATTTCTTCTTCTTCTTATCTAGCCACAAAAAGGCCGTGTGATGTCGAAAAATTATTTCGAGTAGAGTTTGAAATTTAGGAAAGGGGGTCCAAGAAATATTCTCGAAAAATCAGGAAAAATGAAAAAAAATTGAGCAAAGTTAGCAATAATCTCTGCTTCTCGTCCACCTTAAAGAATACCGTGAGAGGTTTAAAAATAATTTAACGAAGCCAATCAGGAAAATGCCAAAATCAGTCAAATAACTCTTTAAACGTGAAATCAGAAACAGATTTTGAGTATTTCGCGAAAAAACGTTTCTTTTTTGCCCTAGGCCTATTTTTCTAGACTCGCTATTGTAATCCTCCACATGCAAAAACATTTTTTGCAAGTTTTTAAAAATTTTGTGAATGAAAAAAAAAATCAGTGGGAGAATACACAAGTTTGCTAGAAAGCAGATTTTCTAATCGATAATACGTCGGCAAATTTTCGGAATTTTCCAGAAAATGCTGTTTTTCGGTTTCAAATCCACTTTGTTTTTGCAATTTTTCAGAGTATGGTCATTTTTCAGTTCTAGGTCTTCGAAACACGCTCGGACATGGGTAACGAGAAACAGACGTGCTCTGGACGTTTCTGGGCGATTCTAGGGATCACTTAAGAGTTCTGAGGCTACTAAAGTGGTCACTAGAAATGCCTCGACACGTCCGATTCATGTCCCGTTCGCGTTACCAAGGTCCGAGCGGTAAATTTTGAACGAAGGAAAATTACTAATAGGGCACAAAACTCGTAGAGCAGAAAAAGAAGTTTGAAATGTGTAACTTTTTCGGGGAAATTTTCTTGAAAAGACTCATAGCGTTAATTAATTTTCACACGGGTTTCCGGTTTCAAAAAAAAAAAAGAAATCTCAAAACGGTATAAAAATAAAGTTATTAATAAACGAGAAAAACCTTAAAAACAAAAAAACAAAAAAAGTTTTTTGATGAAAGCTTAGAAGGGATGGTATTGATAAAAAAGCATCTGAAAAAAAAACCTTGGTTGCCAAAAAGTCCTCAAAAAAAGTTACCAAATACAGTTTGAATTTTTTCGTATGTAAAAGACGTCGTTTTACAACTTTGAAAACTTTTTTTTAGACTGGACCACATAGAAGCCCTCATTTTCTCGACTAGACAGTTCTCAATCCAAAAAATGAACCTCTACTCTTTCCAAAAGTCCATCTTCGTGCAAAAAGCCTCTCAACGTATCATTTTCTGACCTTTTTTGCATTTCAAGAGCGTCAAAAACATCGGATCTCAAGGGGAAACACTCAAAAACTGCAAGAAAACGTACGGAAGAGGAAGAAGCGACGACGGGAGAAATGGAGTTAATCGGGCCGGGGTCCGAACGGTCACAACCGACGAGGTTGTAGGCAAATAGGTCCCCCATTCCCGAGAAGAGTTTGCTTTTCGAAAACGGCTCATGTTACCTAAAAGACCAAATATTCGAGGGGAGAACTGTTTTGAGTGGACAGACCTTTGAAAAATTCGACGAGAAGATGAGCTTCGAGTCTATTTTTTGAAGGGAAGTCGAGGACATCTATGACTAGAACGATAAAAAAAAACAGATACATGTTTTGAAAAAAGCGTATTCTCTTAGGAACTACAAAATGGTCCCTATAGGAGCAACTTTAGGGAAAGTTGAAGGTTAAGTAGTCCCTTTGGGGGTTAAAGACCACCCTAGGAGAGCACTCCTTTATTGGTATGAACTCGTTGAGGAGTAGCATTCACATGCAAAAAATCTCAAAAAATTGAAGACCCCTATACACTTGTAGGAGTTGTTTTTCCCCCCAACCCCTGTAGGGGCCACTCTGCGTTCCTTCAAAAAGCCTTTTTTTATGATGAGTTTCTACTTTATGGATCAACTTCTCCCAAAAAACTCATCCTTTACTTTCAACTCATAGAAAAATTCAAACTGGCGACAGAAGTGCAACACGTCCACGTCGTTTCAAACATTCATCGAAACATTTATTTCTTGGGAAAAAAATCAAATTTCAATTTTAATTATTCAATACAACAACAATGTACACACAAACATGTCATTAAATAAAGCTCGCAACGATTTTCGGGGAGCGAAAAAAGGCACCGGAGAAGAGGCTTGAAAAAATTGATCAAAAAATGATATGACAAGTTGATTTAGTAAAGAATCGATACATGAAAGACAAGGGTGGGAAATTCCAAGAAGAAGCTGAAAAGTAACAGTTGAGGAGCCCCTAGAGGAGTTTTTCAATCAGAAATAACCTCTGAAAAAGGCTTTCCGGAAGATTTTTGTTTCATTTTCAACTTTGGGATCTTGAAAAACAAATCCAAAAAGTCCTTGCCGGATTCGATAGATATTCAAGAAAGCTATTAGAGGAAATATTTCAAAACTAAGTCCCAAGTCTAAGTGGCAACTTAAAAAAACTCAAGATTACTGCAAGCGGTTTTTAAATCAAAACTTTTCTCCGTTCTTCTTGGCAGCTTTTGCAAAGGCTAATCACGTAAAGATTGTCATTTACCCAAGTTGACTAGACTTTCCAAAGAAAAACAAAAAAGTTAACAAAAGGCGCAAGAATAGGCGCAATTCTCGCGCATGAAGATGGGGACCGTCTGGCAGAGATCCTCCCGCTCCCGAACCCAACGTTTGCAGGCGTGTCGGAGGTCGTAGCAGGATCCTTCGGTCCCGTTGCCGAACCGGAAGCCTTTCGCCGTCGGCGCTTCTGAAGATTCGAGGGGTTTTATGGATCTATGCGGCTATTTTGAAGGTTTTCTGGCCCAAAACTTTTGAAAAAGGATGCGAAAAACCGCTAAAAGAACCCTCTTTGAAGCTGCTAAACTTTGACAGGGCTTCCTGCTCAAGAAGGAGTAGAAAAAGGTAGAAATAGAAAAATTGACAAGTAATAGTGAGAAACAAAAAAACACCAAAAACGGCATAACGGAACCTTTTGCCATCTTATTAGAATTAGTTATAGTCTGTGTGCCACGACTTGAAATTTCACCGAACGACGTTCCGCTGCGTACGGTCGCTTTGCCTTTGCGGATCTAGGTCACCTTTCCAGGCTATTTTGTTGCTGATATATAGATCGTTCCACTGCGAGTACTTGAATGAAAGAAAAAATTGAAAGCGCGACCGAGATTTGCAAAGGCGCCCGGTGGAACAGCGGAATGTCGTTCGGTGAAATTCCAAGTCGTGGTACACAGACTATAACAAAATTTTGACTTGGCCAGTGAATCCACAATAGTTTATATTTCATCCCCCTTTTTTCAGAAATCTCTATTTTTCAAAGGATCGTGTATTATTACAATAAATTGACCGTATTTTCGGAAATCTGATGGAAGTTCCAAATGACTCTCAGACGGTCAGAGGGTCGTACTCACGTTCATTGACTCCTCCGACTAACCCGCTCACCTTCGACCACGTTTGCGCTCGCCTTGATGCTCCTCACCCGTTCCAGAACAGCATCAGCCACCACCTGCAGACATCTTTCTTACTTTAGTTGAATATCAACTTCCTTGCAAAAATAATTCAATCGACCCCATTTTTGTATTTGCAGGATGCACGAAACTTTTTTTTTTTGCAGAATACATAACAGAATTCAAAAACAAGAGAACCCAGAAAACCAGAACCAGAAAATTAATAACTCATGAGACTTTACTCCAACTTTGAAACAGCAGAATTGGTCTACGTAAGACCAAGATTTTTTCAGAGACACACTGAGTTCAAGAATAAGATTTCTTAATTGTGACAATTTTTAAATATCTCGATTCACCAGAATTTCCGCGGATTTTCGACTACACTTATTAAAAAGTTAAAAAAAGTCCTTTATATCGGAAAAAGTGAAATTTGATAAAGAAAAATATTGTTTTTTTATTAGGAAAAAAACAGAGAAAAAAACTTTTTTCTCATTAAATGAAGCTCAATATTTGTTTCTGGAGTCGGACTTTTTTTCTGAAATTATATCAGTTTCTTATTAATATTGGTCATCATAAAACCAGAAAGTTTGAGAATTGAATTTTTATATGAAACATTTTTTTGATCAAAAAAATATGTTTTTTTTATCTTTTCTAACGCAACTGTCTTCACGTCAAAATGTTTCATGAGCCTTTTTCAGTGACTCCAAATGAATTTTAAAGCTTTAAAAAATAAATAAATATTCTCTGACCAACCTTGACGCCTTCCCAAGTCTCCCTGGCCGTCGGAATCAGCTCCTTTTCGTCGAGAATGAATCCGTCCCAATCTTTCAAATCATTCACATTTCTCAATAATATTTTTCCGCTCACTTTTCTCATCGGGTCGCAACTCCAACAGGTAGACGTACTTTACCTTGGCTTCGTGCTTTGCCCAATCTTCCGAACCTCCCGAGGCAGGGTCTTAAGAAGTTAGGGACTTCAAAATAAAAGTTATTGTTTATTTGATGGAGCTTCCGGGTCAACTTAAATCTCGAATTTCAAGCTTTCTTAATTTTCCATATGCTGGAAAAGTCGGTCGGTTATTTATAATAACCTTTTTTTTCTAGGGAACATTATGTTTTCCTCTATATGGGGTTTTTTTTCCCTAAACCCTCTAGGGGCCACTCTGGCGTTCCTGAGAATGCTACTGCGAGGTTTCACTGCGCATCAACTCACAAAGCGTGTCAGCGCCACTTCCAACGACGTATTTTGTTCCATAGAGCCGTTTCAGAGCCCTTGCCGCCTTCTTTCCAACATCGTACTGATGAAATGTCTCATGATTATTCTTTTATTTTCCGCCCAACCAAGTCCCGAATATCTCCCGGATAGGCGTCTTTCTTATGACCGTAGGGATGTATCCAAATTTGGGAATAGGTATGAAGAGTGATGAATCCGTCGACTCGACCCTTGTACCTTTTGGATAAAAGTGCGTTTCGGACCGATCTGAAATCATTTTTATCAGAATAATTCGATGAACAGACAGCGAACTTGCTTTCCGGCTCACTGAAAGGACTGGGTCCTTGGTAGATTTCGGAGCAGGGGTCATCGCTGGATCCGCTTTCTGGAAGGTATGAAATACTTCGAATCCACCAAAGATTGCCTAATAATAATAATAATAAAAAGTAATAATAATGATAGGTTTATTCACTGCATACTGTTAAAAAAATCTAATTAAAGAAACATTAGTTTACTAAGAAACAGGTACTGTAAACAATCAAATTTTTTTTTAATTTTTTTAAAAATCACGGTACTCAAATGACCGTCACCTTTTCATACAACTTTATTGAAAGGAAGATATATTTTTTTACATTCTCAAAGTTTGAAGTGAAACAATTAATAGACAAAAAAACAAGCTTGAAAAAAAGCCGTTAATTTCCAGGGAAAAAAACGGGTCCTGGAGCAAAAGTATGAATTCACAGTTTCTTCGAAAATAGAAAAAAGAGAAAAACCAAAAAAAGAAGATCCCTCATCATTCGTTTTTTTGTCAAAAACAAGATTTATTCTCAACTAAAAATAATTCTTTATTTATTTTTTTGATTTTATATAGAACTTTCAGAAAAAAATATAGTCTTGGCTTGAGAATGATCCTAAAAACGAAATAATTTTTTTTTTGTGATTTGCTTCTTGTTGACCCTCAAAGTACTCTAAAGACAGAACCGAAATCGGTATTTTTTCGAACAAGATAAGTGAAACCCCGAAAATATGGAATCTACTCCTTGATTTTTTTGAAATTATTAAAAAGTTGATGTCATTTCTATTTTCAGACCAATAAGGAGAAACTTCAGAAAAATATGGTACAATTACAAAAAATTCTGAAGAAAATTGGTCTGTAATCAGTCATTTTTTGTCTTTTTCGAATCTATATAAGAAGAAGAAGTCACGACTTATGTCTTTTGAGCATTTCCTAGTAAGTATGACTCAAAATTATCAACTTTTTAATCTTCAGAACCTCATTGATCCCAAATTAATCATCATTCCCTCCTTTTGAATAAATATGAGGAGAAACCTCGGAAATGAAAGTCAAAGCTGCGATTTGAGTAGTTTGAGAGCATTTTTCAGTTGAAACGTTTCGAGATGGTTTAAATTTTGACCCACAAAACCCTTTGTAGTTCACAGATCTCACAGTAGTCATTATTTTCTATAGCCTATTCCGCGCTAGCTTGTCACGTTTTTCTTCCCGCCAAAAAGACCGTATACCAAATTAGATCAAATCTCTGCTTTATAACGGGAAGAAACAAAGGACTTGAAGCGAAAGTTGGTTAAATTTGACCTGGCCTTTTGGCGGAAAGAAAAAAGTGACAAGTTAGCGCGGAATGGCCTATATTTTCGACTCATAATGAGAGGAATTCCGGAAAAAAGTCCTGTAATTTCAACTTTGAACACTGAACTATCATTACGAAGATTTTGAGCATTTTTCTAGCTCAAGTGGACCTCGGCTTATCTGGAATTCTACTGAGAGCTGAGAACATTCCCTGGAAGCAACTGTTCCACTTTCTGACCTCCAAATCCTCTAAAGATCCCACATTAGTCATCATATTCTCTTTTCGGATCGATCTGAGGGGAAACCTCGGAAATGAAAGTCAAAGTTGCGATTCAAGTCGACGCCGCGGCAGCAGCGGTTCCGACCCCAGATGTCCTTTTGGCACTGCATCGCCGACCTGTTCTTGCGCCACAGCCGAATCTGCGATCACATTCCCCTTTTTCGAAGAAAGTGACGTGACGTCACTCACGTGGGGGTTCGACGATGATCTGGTGAACTCGTAGCCGTCGGGGTTGAGGCAGGGAACGATGACGAACGTGATCTCGTCGAGGAACTTCTTGACGCCCGGCTCGTTGGCTCGAGATGTAAGCTGAAATCGTAGAGATTCTTGGAAAACTTTTCTACCACTCGAAATTTTTTCCTTCTCACAAATAAGGGGATTTTATTTTGCGGTGGGGAAATTTCTAGAAATTGGTCCGTATACTTCTTGATTTACCAGATAAAGTCCCTGAAAGCCTCCAGCTGCATGAATTTTTAGTTTTTAATAAGGGGCACGTCCATAATAGAAAAAACCCTCAAAATCCTTTAAAACTAGCTATTTCGGAAATTTGAGCCCTTTCTCGAAAAATGGGAAGTCTTTCAGAATCTAATTCTGGAGTGAAATTCATCAAGGAGTGTTCTAGCCAATTTCTAGCAAATTCCTAACCGAAAAGTAAAATGACCCTCCTTGTCAGCAAAAGAGCTGTAATGACGAAACACTGAATAATAACCAACCGATTTTTAAAAAATTGATAGATATTTGTTGATCATGAGAATATGAGAGAAACCCGATTTTTGCCTTTTTTTTTGAAAGAGAGTCGAGTTTAAAAAAGAGTTTTGAAAAAAACACGAAAAACTTTTCTCGGGCAAAGTCGGAATGGTGGATAATGGCCGCTAAAAGGGAGATGCTCAAAAAAGGCCGCAGAAAGGCAGCAAAAAGGCAGCAAAGAGAGTCCCTTTGTCGAGCCTTCCATTTTCTGAGATTCTAAAGGCTCAAGAAACGCTGAAGAAAAGGGAGAGGCAGCAAGAATGGTGCATAAGAGCCAATGAAATGGCGCAAAAAGGCAGAAAAAAGGAACCTTCGTCACCCTAAAAGGAACATTTCTATGGAGCCTTTTTCCACCCTTTTTGACTTTGCCCATGTTTCCCGCATTTCTAGGAAAGATTTCAAAAAAACTCTACACTTTTTCGTTCAAACTTAAAGTAAAACAGCAGAAAAAATGTCTGAGCTCCTAAAAAAAATGGAAAAATAGTATCATTTGTAACTTCCACTAATTGTTCAAGCAATTTGCCTAATCTAACTGAGCAATTATTCTTATTCTTAATAAAAAATGATTGACCTGGTGGATGAAAAACAATGCGGTATGAGGAGCCGCCCATTCTCTGGCATGGATTCCGCCGTCGATCCAGAAAACTCGCTTCGAAGGGTCACTTCCGCCGACCTACAATCTTTCAGGGTCATACTCCTGAACTCATAAGCCGCTAAAACTAAAGTGGTCCCTATAGGGTCATTTTTTTCATTCCGATTTGTGAGTTAGAAAGACATGCTTGATCAATCTTTTGATATTTTTCATTCAAAAACGCAAATTTACCGAGTTTTTCTCATAGAATGCATAACAATACTCAACTAGCATGTCCCTATAGAGATCACTTTTGTAAGCTTAAGTGTCCTTTATATGTGAAGGTAAAAGGATCTTTCCGGTTGCCCCTATAGGGACCAATTTGGAGCTCAAAAACTCCAAAAAAGGTCAATAAAGAGTTTCGCAATTTCCCGAAATACTTGGTATTGTAGTAAAAAAGATTTTCTATAAAAATAACTATTAGATTCCTGCAATATTCCAGGGTTTCTAAAAGGACCTCCCTTATAAGGGAATTGTCCCACCTCGACGCCATGGATAGTCCTGCCTTCGTTGGAAGTTCCGATGCTGATCATCTGCACCATGGACGGCATTTTCCTGGCCAACGACTTCATCCAGTCGGTCATCCTCGTGTAGGAGCCGTAGGAGTTGAAGTCGTAGGTCGACGAGCCGGAGACGTCGTCTTTCAGACGTCGGTCCGACTTTCTCGGGCTTCTTTCCCGTGTCGCGATTAGCCTCGAAATAATATTAATCTATTTTTTTCTTTCTGATTTTCTTGAAGTTGGTTCACACACTCTTCTATCTACCACTTAAATATTGTCAACCCGAACATTTTCTAATTTTTTTCTTTGAAGGAAAAGCTTATGCCGTGTTCAATTTGATTCCGCGAAATGCAAAATACCCGTTAGAGAAAGGAAAAGATCACTAGATTTTGGAGAGTCAGAGATCATTTTGCATTTCGCGGAATCAAATTGAACACGGCATTAATATCTCGACAACTTACCGTGTTCAGATTATCCTTGCAATTATGAAAAATTTGTTTTTCAACCATTCCAAAATCGGTTCAGACCCTTATTTAAATACAAGTCAAATGTTTCCTCCCCTCTACCTTCCGAGTGGTCGGTCTTCATTTCCGCTCTCGCCTGAGATATAATCCGACGCCTGCCAGCCCTGGACAAGCTGGGCGCCGTACTGTTCCTACATGGAGAAGCAGTGATCGCCGGAGCGCTCGAAAGTCGTCTACTACTATCACAAGAGAGAGGAGAGGCCCTACGCGCCGTCTACGCTTGATCAACAACCTTTTCGCGAATCGACAAACAACTCTTCAATGATTCCATTATTCAGCAGAGAAACCTTCTATGAAGACTGAAAAATAAAAGTTTCAAAAAGTTTCAAAAGTTTCAAATATTTCCAATTTTCCAAGCTCCTAACTTGAAAAAAAGGCTCAAAATCTTACTGGTTGAAACTTCCAGGATCATTAATTTACACAAAAAAATGTTCTTTGACTTTTTGAGAAGAAAAAAATTAATCTATAAAGATATTATGAGAAAAAAATTGAGATTCTTGCAAGAAAAAAATAATATCTCCAGAAACTGCATCACTGGAATTTCGGCTTGATTTTTCTTATTATTTGAATTTCTTTAATTAACAATATTCTTATGAAATTTTTCGGTTGTTGCTTGAAAGGCCCTAATAAAAAAATGATAAACTAGCCTAAAAATAGCGGTATAGTCAATTCGTCAGGACTTGAAAGGCGAGAAAGGCGGGGAAGGGGGACAAAAAAAACCTCACTTTTCGACGTCGTCGATCGTTTTCATGTGAGAAATATTGAGTTGGCTCAAATAATTCAGCAAAAAGTCGGAACTCGTTTCTTCGGCCATCACGTCCCAGAAACCGCTTTTGTCTTTGGCCGCCTTCCAAAAGTTGAGCTGTAAAACTTATTATTGATTATTTTGTTTGGCTGAGAAAAGGCTTACGAAAGATCTGTCAAAAAGGAATTTTTTTAAGGTAGGTAAGATTTTTTTGCGACGATTTTTTTATCGATTTCCTCGAGATTTTCAAGCAATTTTAAATAAGAATTTCATAATAAAAAATTTTTCCCCTAAAAAAATAATTTTGAAATTCTCAGAAAAAAAGATAAATGAAGAAAAAGCGAAAAAAAGTACTTATTATTATTTTTTTACCTTTTCTCATTCAAATAGTTTTTTTGCACAAAGTAAGATTACAAAAAAATTCAATATTTCCAGATATATGTGCACTTTGTAACATATCATAAGTTGGAATTACGTTTAAAAAGAATTTTCAAAATTAAGTTCCCGTGAGCTTTCGTAAAATAACTTTTAAAAAAACCGCAGAAAAAAATCATGAATCGCTTGAATGAACGCAAAATCCACCAAAAATTTCATTTTTTAACAAAAAAAAAAGGAAAACGCTAGCAAATTGTGGATGAAAAAAACTTGAAACATAGAAAAAAAGGAAAAATAAAAAAACTCACATCAAGATTCGATGCATTTTTGTACAGACGGCTGACTGCTTCAAATTCTTCCTCGTCCCGTGGTAAAATTCGATAAACAGAAAATTTCGGTCGAGTGGAATTGAAGCTGACTGTGGCTGTGGAGTTGGTATTGGACGCTGAAATGCAAAAAAAATAAGATTCTCTGCATAGAAAAATAAAAAAAAAGCTGTAACACCGTGTACAAAATAATTTCTCGGATTTTAAAATCTACGCGTTATTCGTTTGAAAAATACGCAAAATTGGAGTTTCGAGATGTGTTAAAAAATTGGGTTCTACAATGATATATCGCGGTGAAGCGACTTTTTCGCCAGGAAGAAAAATTTCCGTTAAAATATGCTCAAATCAGTTTAAAATTTTCTAATGGCTCCAGGAGCTCCAATTTCGCGTATTTCGCGATATATATTTAACCGAATATTGCTCAGACATCAGCTCAGACCTACAAGGACCCATCCCGTTTTTAATGCGCCGTGACCATACTAGACCTTATTCGACCATTTTTGTTTCTATTTAATAAAACAAGGCTATTTTCGACATTGATAGCGAACAAATTTCAGAAAATACGATTTTTTACTTACCTAAGGCGGATTTTTCAAAACAGCCCATTCTTTAAAGACTTGCGGGCATTTGCAAAAAATTGCTTGTTGAAACTAATTTTTCATCTTTGAACGCTCTGATTTTTTTTTTCAAATCTGCCTTTTTTGTCGTACAAAATACGCGTTATTAATGAAGATATCGCCCAAAAACAGGGATCGGTGTATGCACAATTTAAAGCTACAGTGTACCAAAACGGACGGGCTGAACTGATGTGACGCGTCATTTTCGAAAGATATTACTTTGAATAGAGCATAAAAATCAAAAAATATTCGATTCGCGGTAGAGCCCTCATCTCGCATTGGAGCGCAAATGATAGGACAAGTCCGAAAACTCACTTTTTTTAAAGCAATCGTAGAACTCAGCATCATTCAAAAGTTCTGGAACAAAAATTTTCTAACTATGGTAATGGTAAGAAAAGTTTGAAAATAATCACGGAAAAAACTTTAAAAAAGTCTAGAAAAAATATAACGCTCAAGAAAGCTTTCTGCATTTTTTTTTCAATATTTCTCATTCTGTAACGATTTTTTTACGTTAACAATCCAAACCACCATCGAATTTCCAACTTCCAGAGAGTGCATAAATATTAGTGCGTCGACTAATCAATGAACGTGGCCTCCATAAAAATCGAAAAAAGCTAATCTCCGCGCCGAAATCATTAAGGATTCCTACCTTCACTAATCGGTGTTTCAGGCAATTAGGGATCAGAAAAAGTGTGACAAAAACTACTTGCGTCTTGAAGGTCTTTAAGATCATCTGGAAATCGGTTTGAATAATAAATTTGATCACTAGGGTTTGGAAAGTCTCCAAAGTCATGGCAAAAAAGTCGATAAGATAGAAAAAAATTCGAACATCTTTTTGAAGCTTCGACAGAACTCAAAACATAAGAGAAAGGTAAACAAAAAAAAATTTTTTTTCTCCTTTTTTTTCAAAAATAGAAAAAATCAAAAAGCTCAAAGTACAGTAGCACTTTTAAAAACCCTTCGAGTCGTACCCATACTTGGAAAAAAAAAATCAATATCAGAACTTTTTCAATCGTGTCGGACTATAGATCTAGAGAAAACCCTTTGTACCGTACAATCTCAGAAAGCGCTATATATCGTGACAGGATTCAAAAAAGCTCCAGAATCACCGGTGACAAACCAGTAAGGCTTTCCAAAATTTGCAAAAAAAAACAGCGGGAAATTCAAGAAGATGCAGAAAAAAAAAAAAAAATTCATACCAACTTTTTAATATTAAGGCTTTTATAATACTAATCTTAAGAAGTTGTTCTAAAGAAGCAGAGCTACAGTAAGACCTCAGAGAAGCATTGAAAATCGTGCCGGGACACAAATAAATTTGAACTTTTTCAAAATTAATGTCACTGTATCAAAATACTGATCTTAGAAAGTCGTTCTTGATGAGCAGAGTAAGATCTACAGTAAGATCTGAGAAAAGCATTGAAGATCGTGCCGGGACCCAAAAACCATAGAACTACCAAAGACAAACTGGTAAGGTGCAGAATGATCAGCAGGACGGCCGAAAGAACTAATCTACATTATCAATCATCTGAGAAAATGATATTCGAAACTTGGGAAAGTTGAAAAACTTCAGAAAACAATGAAAATCGAGCCAAGCAAAGAAAAATCAGAACTTTAAAAATTAAAACCCCTTCAAAAGACTTTTCTAAAAAACATCAAAAATCGCGCCGAAACCCGAAAAAGCCACAGAACTGCAAAGACAAACCGGTGAGGCTTCCAAAAAGGTGCGGAATGATCATCAGGACAGCCGAGAGGAGCGGCGCCATCCGTGCTTCTTTCTTGGCGCCGACTGCCCTTTTCGTCGGTGGTTTTTCGGCGTCTATCCTTTTCCTCCTCCTCCTCCTCCTCCTTCTTCTTCTTCTATTCCTCCTCCTCCTCCATCGTCAACCCATATGAACGAGCGTCAGAAGCAAAACGCAAAGGAATGAGATGGAGCGAAGGGAATCCAGTTTCCGCCCCAATCCAAAACCGTCTCCGAATCGACGCGCGTCTTTTCAACCGCTTCTTATCAATCTTTATCAAAACACTGCATTTATCTATTTGATACTTTTTCGGAGGATGAAGAATTGGGAGGAAAGCTCAAAAAAAAATTTAAAAAGTTAGAGGTTGAGAGAATGAATAAAATAAAACATTTCACGCGATCTCCAGAACTGCTGTTATCATTGTAGTAACCTGGGAAGAAAAAAAGCCGTGAAAACTAAAAATGAGTTAAGCCGTCGAGGAATTGTCATTTCAGCAGTGGCGCTAACCATGGTCGATCAAGGCAAAAGTAAGAATTCTTCATCTTTCTTAGTTTTTTTCGGTTAGGAGCTTGGAACTGTTTTGAACTTTAAGAAAACATTCGAAAAATTCCAAGAAAAGATAAAAGTTCGATTCAACTTCCTTAGAGCCAAAAATTATTGACTAAAATTGGCAGATTTTCAAATGGAACTAGACCTTCTAGATACAATTATTTTCACGCTCATTTCGAATCCGTGCTTGTAAACTACCTTGAAAGACAATTTAAAAAAATTGAAGAATAGTCCGAAATAACAAAAAAAGTACCAACGGAGCAGTACGAGCTTGCTTGTTTGTACGCATGTGAAAAAAACTTGTGAAAAAAAGATATCAATTTCCTCCAAGAAACGAAAAAATTATTTTTCAGTCAGAAAAATTCGAAAAATGAGTCCCATAACGGACAAAAAAATTTTTAAGATAACTTTGAAAAAAATGTGAAGAAAAAATTTGAAACCTAACTTCTTTTTTTCAAAGAAGATCAATTTTAATCAGGCGTAGGAAACTAAAAGAGGGTTGCAACATCAAGAGTTTGAAGAGAAATTGATAAACTTGAGTTGGTTTGAGCTTTCTTCATGATAATAGTAATCTCGATAAAGCAAACCGAAATTACCTCGGACATTTCTCAACACTTCAAGTAATCACTTAAGAGTTCGCGTTACCAAAGACCGAGATGTTTTTTAATCTTTGAAAAATTTACTTCAGAGCTATTTTACACCGAAAATTCTGCAAAAAAAGATTATTTCCCTTTTTTTCAGGACGTATAACTACAACAGAGGCCGGACTAAGTTTTCGAGAATTTCCATCAAAATTTACAAAAACAACTTTTAGTGGAGGATATTCCACTGGTGCCAATTTTTATTGGAGTTGGGGTCGCAATTGTTGTGGTTGTCGGTGTCGTTTTTATCTATCGCTACGTTTCGGTAAGACTTGAAAAATCGTGGTCGCACTTGGAATGGCTCAAAACTCATTGCGGCCGGCTTTCGGAGCAAGAAAAAAGTAATAGCTTTGGGAATTCGCTGAAAATTCGAGGAGACGTATTTTAGAACAGCCTTGATTGAACCAAATATGGATTTTTTAGGCATTTTGCCTTTTTATCAAGTAATAGAACCTCACAGTGTGTACTTCCTGTAGAAAATTACGGTTTTGAGCGGCAAATCTCACTCTACTCAAAATTATAATGCTATAAAATACCTCACATCCCAGTTTCAGCTAAATCTCAGAACTTTTTGAAATCTTTTACTCGAATTATTCCTCTGAATTTTTCCGATTCCAAGTTTTGCGCCGCGGTTCGAGCCATTCTCCGTGCGACCGTGAACTTGGTTATTTAAAATAATTTCGATCTTTTTCAGAAAAAGAACACTGAAGCCAAGCGCAAGAAGGAACAGAAAGAGATTTCGAGACTGAGAAAAAGCCTCGAAAAGAGGTTTTGAAATTGGAATATATTGACACAGAGAAATTTTTGATGTATATTTTTTTTTACCTCTTTATTGGCCTCATGCCTTAAAAACCTCATAAATCTTCACCAATCCTTCTTTCTTGCGCGAAAATGAAATTGATTTTTTATCAAAAATAAAGGCTTCTGCAACATATTTCGACGCAAATCCTCACAATACGACTAAAAATCTGATCCTCTCCTGATCCCTATAAAATCCTATTCGAACTCACCCAATCATACTATTCTCAGCTCGAAGTCGTCGTCCACGGCGACGTCGACGGCTCCGCCTACCTTGCCGCCTGCGATGTGTCCGCCAGACGACGTCGCGACGGCGATTCCCCTCGATTCGCCCTCGAATAGCCCTTCGACCAATCAGAATTATCTCAGCTCTGAAACAGACATCCAGACGATCCCGGCGGGAGCGCCGACCACCCAGGTCATCGTCAACTACGGCAACAAGTGGCGCATCACCGACAAGGTTTGTTTTGATCAAACAATAGATGTGCTTGCCAAAATTCGACGAAATGGGTCTTATAGACACTTGGATATCTTGATTCAGATTTTAATCGATCAAAAAGTGTCTTCTTCGCTTTTTAATAGAGTTCTAACACTTCAAATTAAAAATTTCACCTTGTCTAGTTAAGAATAAAAGGGTTTCTGGCGTCTTTCTGGCGCTAAAAATCTAATGAGCGCAGTTTTCCAGCGAATTCGAATCAGGGTGTATTAAAAATCAAGTTTTTTTGTCCCACTAACTTCAGAAAAAAAAAACGGAGCTGAACTTTTTAATTTCGGAGAGTTCTGCTCATCTCTGCTTCCCTAGAGTGGCCACTTTTGGTTCTTTAGTTTTGGCACCAAAGGGAGCTAATGTGGTCCCTGAAGGGAAGCCATCCTACCATAAGCGCCACTAACCTGCAGCTTTAAAATGCCAACCGGTGCAAGCCGCTTGTGGTCGGGTGCAGATTCATAGCCTGCTTCGCGTTGAGCGTCCTGAAAAGTCGATAACTTCAATTTTCAGCCCCCACCGGACTTTACGTTTTCGATCGATAGCGACTAGAGAATTCTCCACTCTACTTCTTTTTCTTTTCGTTATTCTTATTTTTCTATGAATTCGATTGTTTATCAATGCGCAACAAGTAAAAAGGGACGAGGAAAATCGTGCTTTGCAAGAAACCCGATGAAATTGACGGATAAAGAGGCGTTTTTGTACAATAATCATAAAATGAAAATTAATAAAGACTAGATTCGCGTGAACAAAAGCTTCCGGCGGCTTGAAAGCATCGAATAGGGGAATGAAAAACACCGGAAAAGCGTCAAATTCAAAAGAAACGGACTAGCGGAATCGGATGAAAGCGCAAGTTGGGAAGGTAAAAGGCCTAGAAAGTGTTGAATATTGGGGAAATCAGATCACTTGAGGGTCAGAAAAAGGTTCTCATAGAGATAAATAATATATAAGATTCAATATTAAGTGCAGACTTTGCACGAACGGGGACATCTTTGTCGCATTTCGGGCCAAGATTCGCAGGCTCCGCCTTGAGCCCAAGAGCCGCACAAGGAGTCGTGATCGATGCACCTGAAAATGGAGTTGAAGTCGTGGAAACACAAATGTCTCGTAAGAGTTCATCAAAATGCTGAAGTGCGCACTTAAGAGGTCATAGAACTGCTGGAGGGAGCACTCAAAAGACCCTAGAAATGTTAAAGTGGTCCCTTTAGAGATCATAGAAATGCTGAAGTGAGCACTTCAGAGGTCTAGAATTGCTGAAGCGAGCACTTGAAGGATTATAGAAACGTTGAGGGGCGTATTTAAGATGTCATGGAAATGATGAAGTGCGCACTTAAGAGGTTACTTTTTTCCACCTAGAAACCTGAAACTTGAGATTCTATTTTCAGTTTCAGGTCTTAATAAACCAGTTTTATTTTTACCTTTTCAACGGTGACCGAGCGACATTGGAGGGAAGGCTCAGGGTTTGCTGAGCGATGACTTTCACGGCTTCCCAGGTTTCACGAGCCGTTGGAAGAATCTGGAAAACTTCCTTCCTTATCCATAAAATGTCCCTATTCTTCCATTTTGTTGATTTTTTCTCAGGCAAACACAACTTTAATCAGGAACGAAAATCTTAGAGATCAAACCTGATTCTCGGCGAGAAGGAAACCGTCCCAGACTTGTTCCTCGGGTCGGAGTTCGAAGAGGAACGAGTATTTGACGTGCGCCTTGCCTTTGGCCCAGTCTTCGGATCCGCCGGATGCCGGGTCTGCCAACATTTTTTTCTTCTTTTCTATTCAAACTTGGTTTTTGAAGAGGAGAGCGAAAAGATTGAGAGTTCGTGAAAAGAACTGGGAAATTTTTTTGAAAAATAAATTTGAAGTACAACTTTCCAGCATCGTTTGAAGATCAAAAAGTATCAATCAAGAGTAGATTTTTTTATTTGCTTTGAAATCAAAAATATTCAGACAAAACGTTTCTCTCATCAACCGGGGGATTTCAAAATTAAAAATTTTCTCAAATGCTGTACCAGAATACTCAAACCTATCCTTTTTTTTGATTTTTTTTTTTTTGAGAGCTGGTACTTCATCAAAAAATAAGACATGTTCTAGACAAAATCGAAAAATGAACCAAGCTAGAAAATTTTTTTGAATGCGTTTGAGAATTATCATTCGAAGTCCATTTTTTCGAATCTTCCAAAGAAATTGTTCAGTTGCATTTGGAATGGCTCGAAGCGGCTCTGAAAGTGTCAGAGATCTTAAAAGTCTAGTTTTCAACGTCAGAGCGCGCAACTTGTTTTTCGTCGGGACATAATACGAGTTTCGAAAAAAACTCTCCGTTCGATATTCTAAGCTTTCTTCACTGAGTTTGCAAAAATAAAGCTTACAAAGCGTGTCAGCGCCGGTTCCGACCTTGTACTGGGTATTGTAAACGCTTCGGAGCGCCTGGGACGCCAGAAGAGCCGTCGATCGCTAGAAATCTTTCATGTTTCAACTTTCGAACTTTCTGTTGAAACCAAGTCATTGAGGTCGTTGGAGTAGGTCCGAACTTGATGGCCAAAGGGGTACATCAAAATCTGAGAGTAGGAATGGAAAGTGAGGAACGTCGAGATGCGGTGGCGCTGGACGAAATCTCGGACAGCCGAGGTTTCCGGCTCGGAAAAGGCGAATTCTCCCTGGAACAGAAAGATGAAATAAAAAAGTGATATCCTTCAGTAAAAATCAACTAGGCCCTGATCTCTTTGAAATCAGTTTTTTTTTCTTTTTTTTGTCTTTCCCACGTTCTCTCATTTTTTTCGTTTTTTTCCAACTGTATTCTCTTGATTGCTTTGTTCTGACAAAAATTCTTATCATTGAAGAAAAAAACTTCTTATTTAGAAAAAAATGAGCTTACAGAATGAAAAAGTCTAAAAAAATCACCAGGAAAAAAATATTTTTAAAAAAATCTACAAATTAGTTCTTTTTTTGTGATTTTCAAGTAACACAACTTCGAAAAAAGCTTTACAATATATTTTTTTGTATAACGCTTGAATTTTTTTATAAATTTGCTCAAGCCTTTTTTTAAATATCGTACCTTTTTTTAAGCTAAAAAAATAAATATTTTGAAGCCTGATTATGGATAAAGCGAGCTTGAAAGTTATACGGGAAGTTTGGAATTTTCTTCTTCCAACTAATTCTGATTCCTTTAGCCTATGGGTTCGGATAAAACCTGATAAATTTCTGAGCATGGGTCCGTCGATGATCCAACTTGTCCGAAGAACCAATCAAAATTGCGGTTAAGATCAACGCCTTGACAGCAAGTGGTTGTTGGCGGTTGGAAGAGGCCTGAGATAATATATAAAATCGAAATCTTGATTTTCCGTCATCAAAGTTCAACTAATCTCTTCTCTACTGACAATAAATTTGAAGATCGAAAAAAAACTTGTTTTATTGAAACTGAAAGAGTCCTTCTAGATTAGTCTAGAATGTAAGAAGATTTGTACAAAATATTCCTGAAAACGGTTTTCAAACTCAAGCCATGGCTATCAAATAACTCTGCTCATTCTTCTACCAAAACAAAAGTCCTTCTTTTTTTAAGAAGAGCTCCTTTTTTCGAGTTTTGAAAACCATTTTAGTAACCTCGATTTGAAGTAAAATATTTATTTCTTACATTCTCCAGACATTTTATGAATAAAAATATTTTTTGAACTTCTGGGCATGTTTTTAGAAAATCTTCGCTCAATCTTCTGACAAATACGAAAAATCTGCATCTTTTGAGAAAGACTCTTGGTTCACCTGCTGGTAGCACATTTTCGTATTTTCTTATTTTCCCTGATCAGTATAACAGTAAAAAGGCGTAAGAAAACCCCCTCTTACTTTTGAAAAAGAGCTCAGTTTTCTAGCAACTTTTTTTTGAATATTCGGGTTCATAACTTTTTTCACAGACGTATTGGGCAACTTTTGAGACCAGATTTGGAATCAGCGTGAAAAACTACATCTAGAAAAGCTGGTCTCATTTAGAAGTCCCACTGCGTCCAAAGACCATTCCCTGGAAAAAGTTTCGATTCACAGGAGGACGTTTCCGGCTCATTGAGCAAGATTATCAAAGAGTTTCGCTCAGTTTTTTCACCAAAGTTTGTGAATATTCGGAAAGAAGTCTCGATTCACCAGAGGACTGCTGGATGCACTTGGCGGGGCTGCGGTTCTTGCGCCACAGCCGGATTTCCGGGTCATTGCTACTGCGGCTGTACTCGTAACCGTCGGGGTTGAGCAGCGGGACGATGTACCTGAACAAAACGGGTTGGCCTCTCCAAACCGTCTTCCACGACAAACCACTCGAGGCTGTCGACGAACCCCCGAATCTGCGCGTCTCTGTCGTATTGCGTCACCAACTTGAAAACGATTTCAGGTTATTTTTCTCGACAAGAGTTTTGGAGGGTCAGTGGCCTCCAGTTGAGAGGAGTTTTTGGTCTTATAAGGAAAGCAATTTCACTTTGGGGTTGAAAATTGGCCATAATGCTCAGTGATATACCAGAAAACTATCCTGAAAATCTCAACCGGCACAAATTCTTACTTCTCCTCCTCGAAGCCCTAAAATAGCTCATGTAAACGGATTTTGAGGGTTTTCAGGTGTTCTTTCTTGAAACAAGAACATTTTGGAAGTTGAAACTTGCAGAATATATTTACAGTATGAAAATAAGCGTTATAACTGTCTGCTCTCGCCTGAGATTTCATCCGACGTCCGCCAATCCCGGACCAGGCGCCGTACTTTTCCTACATATAGAAGCAGCTGATCTTTGGACTGCTCAAAACTCTTCTACTACTTTCAAAAGAAAGACGACATTTTCTACTCGCAGTTCTTGAGCAACTGCAAACCCACAAACTACTCTTCCATCATCCCATGATTCAGTAGAGAATCTTCTCTGAATAAATGGGCAAAATGTGTGTTTGGATCAGTTTTTAATATTTTTCAAGACTTCCAAACGCATAGTAAAATGACACTCTTTGTTAGTTCAAATCAACAGCGCTAAAAAGTCAACCATTTTTTTGAAAATTCGCAAAAAAACTCGTTTACAAGTCGACTTTAAAAAAATATATATATAGTTAAAAAAACAAAGTTAACGAAGTAATGATAAAGTAGGTCGAAAATTGCAACAATTTCAGGTTTTTTTTCACAACAGGGACCTTCAAGGGTCGACTTTTGTTGAAAAGACCGAGAAATTTGTGAGATTGTTCAACTTCAAGAGTGTTAAAAATTACGGTACACAACATTTTAGTTTTGATTTTTTTTTTCCAACTCGAAGACAGACAATAAGAGTACTCGAAAATTTCAGGTTATTTCATTAAAAAGACAAACTCAAGGGTCATTCTTTCAAGAGGCCATCAAGGGTGAGCAATTTTTTTACTAATTTAAATTGAGAGTGCCGATGAAATTCGCTGATCCGGTTTTACAAAATTTCAAGGGTTCATTTTAAAGTTCCTCCATTGAGTTTTGATCGAGTTTGGCATATACCTGATGGATAAAGTACAGAACAGTCGAAGGCGAAACCCATTCTCTGGCGTGGATTCCACCGTCCACCCAGATCCCTCTTTTCTGTCCAACCGACCGTTTGTTGGTGATCTGAAGAATTTATTTCATTACATAAATCATGGAAAAAAAGCTCCAGAACCATTTTTTTAACAACAAATAAATGAAAATTTCTCTTGATCCCCATAAGTTCTAAATTCTTTTCCATTCCGCAAATTTCGTTGGGAAAAGTGCGTTATAATCTATCAAAGTCCTCGGAAAACAGGTCAATCGAAAGTTTGGATGCACTGATAACATAAAAAAGTTATCTGATCCGAAGCGCAAAAGACGCTCATTCGCTTCTCGAATTCATGAACTAAAAATAAATAAGAAAATTCGGATATTCCTTTTTTTCAATTCTTCAAAGTACAATTCATTTTATAAAATATATGCTTTACCATTTTTTTTATAAAAGTTGAAGAATAGAAAAAAAGTTTTTTTTTGAATTTTTGCGATGCCTCCGAATCTCCTTGAAACAGACTATTTTTTGTAGAAAACTCCAATTGAAAAACTATCAATAAATATAAATGAACTACCTTATAACCTATATAACAAACTGCCCTGATAATAAACTTAAAAATCTCCTTGCTACTTCGCATGATTTAAAAGAACTGAAAAAAGGGAATAAGTTTTAAAAAAAAAGAATTCTTTCAATCTCGAGTAAATATTTGAGGAGTTCAATTTCAAGCCTCCTTGGTTTGACTGTAAATTTCATCCTCATCTCCGAGAACCTTTGATGAAACTCTGACTCCCAGAGAAGCTCCCCAGTTTTCATCTCTTCCTCGAAACCATCATTGAACGAAAAGAAGAAACGAAAAGTGAGTGACCACTCGCGTCGCCTTGTCAAAACTCGTGCATTTGTTTGTCTTTTTCGGACGCCCGATTCGGTTGCGCAACTGTTTCGCGTCTTTCAACGACCCGTGCGGAAGTGATTGCGATAGGAACAGAAAAAAAAAAATGAGTCTAAATAGCCGAAAGTTGGAAAGCGTTTAAAAGTGAGAGGGCAGGCGTTTTCTCTAAACCCTCTGATTTTTAAGTGCTTACTAACTTTCAATGAGTCGAGGCTCGAAGATTCAAAGATAGAAAAAAAAGAAGAAGAATACTAAATTGCGATTTTAACAGGAAGTTCCTGTTCAGGAACCTTGATATAAGTTAGAGAGCGTTCAAAAAGTGAGAGGACAGACTTTTTTCTCTGAACGTTCTCTTGTTTTCCAAAGCTCTCTAGATTTCCAAATATCGATGTCAATCAAAAATAAGAAAAATACCAGATTGCAACGGCAATGTTAAAAAAGAGTCTGAATCTTAGTGAACTAGAGAGCGTTCAAAAATGAGAGTGCGGGTATTTTTTTTCTCTCTAGATGCTCTCTTGTTGAGCAGTGCTTCCTAGCTTTCAAAATTAGAAACGAAAGAAAACCTTGATCAGAGGAATCTGCCGTCCTTCATGAGTCGTTCCGATCGGTTGAACTGAAACCCGGTCGGGGTACGTCACGGCCAAGGCGTTCAGGTAGTTGATCACGTCGGCGAACGAGTGGTACTGCGCCAGGTTGAATTGCACCTGAACTCTTCTGTTTCAATTACAATCCAAAAATCTTGAAAACATTTTTACTTTATTATCGTAGTGCCGTTAAAAGTTTTTTTTTGGAAACCTGGACTGTAAGTCAAGTTTAGGCAGATTCTTAAAAATTGAATGATTATGCTTCAGTTTTGTTATCAAGCCAATAAATTGAACAGAATTCAGTCTTTGCCCTATGTGTGAAACAAAAAAGTTCCTCTGAGGACCCTCGTAGAAGCTGAAAAGGTTCCGTTAAAGCTTCTGATGAGAAAAAGTCTTATGAGCCACTTTTTCATAGCCTCAGAGGATTTTTTTCTTGAATTTCACCCGAGTTGTCATTTAAGTGCTGCCTTTTCGTTTAGAAATTATTTTTAGTCGGTACTTTCTTATTGAACTCTCGTTACCTAGAGTCAACTGGCCTTTTGGATCATATGAACAATTTTTAAAAAAGCAAGAAAGTCACTCGATACAAAAAGATCAATTTTTTGAGTCTCGGAAAGTATCAAGCGGGAAGAGTTATACAAAAAAAAAATTGTCGTGAAATCAAAAACGACAATGAAAACAGTTTTTGATATCAAATAAATGTCGAATTGATAAAAAAAGGATACGTTAAAGGGAGCAATATTTTTAAGCAATAGGCTGTCAAATTATCCCAAAAAAGCCCTCATACCATTATTTTTTCTTCGAAGAAGTAAACTTTGACTGTAGTTGACACTTTACCGAATTTTTGCAAAGTGCAGTGCCTATGGCGGCATTCTGCAAAAAAGCTTCATGCATTTTGCGAATCAGTGCTTTGCATTTTGCACAGAAGTACCTCGCATTTTGCACTTTTTTTCGCCTGTACAAAAGTGAGCCAAAAAAGAAATGCAAAATGCGAGGTTCTTCTGGGCAAAATGCAAAGCACTGATTTGCAAAATGCATGAAGCTTTTTTGCAGAATGCCGCCATAGGCACTGCACTTTGCAAAAATTCTGTAGAGCAATGAGAAAAAAATGATCTCCATGATAATTTTAAAACCAAACATCCAAATTTGACTCAAAATTGTTTTCAACAAACCTTTCCTTCCCGCCAATCCCTCATCCGCACCTGCTTCCGGAGTTTTATCCGTTTTTGTTGTTGCTCTTCGATGACTCTTCAAATAATCCATATAAAATTTATAAGAAAAATCGAATGAAAAAGTCATTTCTTCTCAAAAAAATCACAAGATTGGAGCTTATAATTAACGAAAAACTTGAAAATTAAAATTCATGGTCTTAACTCGGTAAATTTTCTCTGTGGTTGGATATTCCCTGGGAAACAGCCGTAGAATTCTTTGATGTGTCAAAAGAAGGTTTAAAAGTCAACCTGCAAAACTTTCTAGTTTTCGAAAATAAGGGCCTAATGCCCACGGATTCAAAATGTTCTTTTTCGAAAAATAGAAAGTTTTGCAGGTTGAAAATTTAATAATCTTCATCTGGTACCTCCAGAAGTATTGTGGTCAAATTTCAGGGAAACCTCAACCGAAAAGGAGAATGACCTCCTCGTGGATCATACAAAAAATAAATAACTGAAGATTTTCAAGAAGTATAGAGTGCCCTATAAGAAAAAAAATCAACCTTTTTTGGAAGACTTAAGAAAAATTAAAGCCACCATTAAAAATGTTTGAAAGAAGATAGATTCAATAAATCCTGTACAATGTTCCTTTTCAAGTAACGATTTCCAACATTTAACGATTTCCAACAATTTCCGAACCTTTCAATTAGTATCTGGTCCAAAATGTACTTTAACATGACACCAAATAAATCCACGGCTATTTGTAAAACCCTTGGTCGCGTTTTGCCGTGTTTTTGTGTGATATATCACTTTTTGAGGGCGAATGGATGGACAGGTTTTGGCGGCTGCCAACATGCCGGCGGCCCGAATCGGAAGAGCAAGTGAAAGCCCGGTCTCCAACTAGAACTTGATAGCCGCCAGGTGGTTTAGTATCCGAAAAAAGAGAGGGGAGGAGAAACCGATCCACTATGGTGGCCACTAAGACCTGTGAGAACTACTTTGTGGCCTAATTTGGTATCTATTCTGCACTGATTTTAAGTCTGATATCCGAAAAAGAGAGGTCATTATAGACTGTGAAAGCTAAGAAGGCTACAAAATGACAATTTCGTATCTAATCCACAATTTTTTGGCTGTGTTCGTATCTCGACACGCCGTAGCGCAACAGGTTGTGTGCCTGACTGTGGTCCCCAGGGTCTCATGTTCGATCCCTGCCGCAACCCAACCAAGGAGTTCAAGAAATGTTGGTATGCTTTTTCAGTTTCCGAGAAAAAAAAGAAAGCCAGATACATTTTTCCACCTGAAGAAAAAATAAACTTTTTGACGTCGGCGATCATCACAGAGTGGGTGATGTTCCTGGCGTCGAGCAGGGGCAGAAATTTGGCCTCGACGTCGTCCGGCAACATCACGTGCACCTCCTTCCCAACTTCTGATGGCGATTTCCAGAAATCGAACTGGAAGATTAAGGTTTTGAGCGTAATTTAGACCTAAAAAGCTTGTTTTCAGCTGAAAAATCAATTAAGTCAAAAGTAAAACAATAAAAAAATGAAATTTCATAGACAAAAAAAGAAAAAAATTTAAGTTTCATTTAAAAAAACTTGAAGATAAAAAAATCCTTGAAAAGCTTGAAGTTTTTTTTGAATATTTTTTTCTTTCTTGAAAAGCCTTGAGCAGGCCAAAAAAATGTCCAAAAAAATGGCAAAATGATAAAATCAAAAGCATTTTTCATTGTGAAAAATGCATTAAAAAAATCGGCGGTATAATTTAAATATATTATTGTGAACCGAAAGAATAATAAGAAAAAAAGTTATTTTTTTGTCCATTATGACTGAAAGTTTCTTCCTGTCAAAAATACATTTTTTTGATATTTTGAAATTTGAGCAAGTCGTTTTTTTGTACAATCGGTCCACTAGAAAAAAATTTTCAGAGAAATAAAAAAATTTAAAAAAACAAAGTTTTTGCATAATCTTCTTGTTTTTTTGGTTGAAGAAGGACGTTTTCAGAAAAATACAAAAAAATAAAAATCGAATCAAGTAAAGTAGATATTTTGCTCCTAAGCGATAAATCTGTAGGTTGATAACCTCGCAGATATCTTTTCTCTTCAAAATCTCTTCACTTCGCCAACGCGACCAAGATGTTTCACTCCAATTGAACTTGACCTTCATAACGGGTTCTTTTTTCTCACTTTTCGATGATTAACGATCGCCGTTCTTTTACATGGCTGTAAACCATGGCAATGGCTACACAACTGTTTCATCCATCGGCGGCGAACGCCAAATCCGATAAGAAACAAAAAAAACAACAAGATGTGTAAGGCCTGAAACCAGTTGGTCATGATCATAGTTTTGATAGAAAAGTCACCGCCAGCTGAGAATGAATCATGCTTTTCGCTCCTTTTTTTTTCAAATGCATGTTAATTGATTCGTCATCAGAAAGATTTTTTCAAAAATGATATGAAGGGGTAAGTTCAAGATTTTTTTTTCAAAAACTTCACTGATTTTTCATTCGATTTTCAAGAAGTTCGAGACCGGATAAATTTTTTTATCGTTTTTTTCAAGCTTTTTCTCTTTCTTTTGAGTTTGGATAGCTTAAAAAATGGAAAAATGACGCTCGAAAAAAAGGGGAAAGCAAGGACTATATAATTTCATAAAAGATATTTGTGCCGAAAAGACCTTGATTTTCACCATCACCGATAAAAATTTTCGAAAAGAAAAAAGTTTTCTGAGTTTTTTTCATAGACTAGAGAATTCAACAACAAAATACAACTCCTAGTTGTTTGTAATAAATGTTGAGTTTAAAATTTCCACTGAAAAACTGGATTTCCCCCATTTTAGCTCCAATCGCAGAGTTTTCAAAAATTCGAAAAAAAAAACGAAAATATCTTTTTCAAGCTTCTTGTCATCATAAATCCTCGGCTACTTAAAAAAAAAAGATTCTGTGAACTTTCAAGGAAGGCTCAAAGAGTATGAAAAAAAAGAGATTCCTACAAAATTCCATGCATTTTTGTGGGAATCTTGCAGCTTCGTAATGAAGCTTTCTTTAAACCTGACAAAAAAGGAGGAATTCAGCAAAAAATGTAAAAAAACCCTAATAAATAAAACTTCAAAGTTTTCTTCAAGGGTAGAGGGATCACTCAAAGTATGACTCATTCGCATTTCTTTTTTTGAATTTTGAAAAAATTTCTAAAGAAAATTTCTGAAAAAAGGATTTCTTAACGAGAAAAGAGAAAAAAAGTTGAAAAATAACACTGATTGGTTTTAGGAAGCAAAAATAAAAGCTCGAAAGCTCAATTTACAACTTAAAAAATCAAAAAAATATTTACAAAAAAATATTTTTTCAAAATTCTCCAAGTTCAACCAATCTTCCTAGAAAGCTGTCAAAGCCCGCGAAACATACGCGGGTGTGACTTTTTTTCTGAGATTCGACAACTCGTATTTTCACAGATGGCGGAACGTCGTGAAACAACACAGAGACAGAAAAAAAGGGGGCCGCCAAAACTACAATTGGAAAGCGAACCTTGACGTCGTTCATGTAGACATTGTGCAGGAAGTCGATCTGATCTTGCTCTTTTGGCTGTAGCCGCAGCACCGAATACCGTCTGGAAAGCCGTTTCTTAAGTAAAAATCTTCGAAATTGATAATTGGTTATGAAAAACTTTGAAAAACGACCTTTTATTTAACTGGACCTTTTAAAAATATAAAATTAACTCTTATTGAAATTGACCTTTTCGAACCTTTTAAAGGGACCTCGTATCAAACCTGGACCCTTTTTGAACTTTTTTTGAAGAACCATTTTTTTGGATGACTTATACTTAAAATTTTAAAAACTCGATTTCTTTTTTTAATATATTAAATATTTTAATCTAATATTCTCTATTTTTGAAACTCTTTGTTCGCACGTCGAATGGTTCTGAGCATCATGAAAAAAATTATCTTCTCTAGGACCTTAAGCGAAAGTAGTTTTGGGTCTGCCGCGTTTCTAGACAACCATTTTTTTCCAAATAAAAGTATATCGAACATAACTACTTTGGAAAATTATTTGAAAAATTCCATTCACTGTACCTCGTACGTTCAAAAATGAAAACCTAAAAAAAGGAAAAAAATATCCGAATCTGCGATAAACTTTTTTAATGATACAATACAGTGAGGAAGGGTCAAAGAGCAATTCTCTTTGAAAATTATTCAAACTTTTAAAACTTTTTCCAGTTTTTCTGAGTCATTCTTTATCATTATGCCTACGATAGTCAAAAAGATATCTCGAAAAAGAAAAATTTTCCCTTTTGTTGGGTCAAATATGTTTTTGAAGCATGTAGTTTAAAACTGAACCTAATATTATTTTTCTTTCGTTTATTTAAAAATTCAAGATGAAACGAATTCAAAGTTGAACTCACTCTAAAGCTACTCTAAAGCTTCGGAAAAGTTTCAAAAGAAAAAAACTTTTCTTGGTTCAAAAATCAAAACATTTTTTGACAACACGTTTGGTAATTAAAAATTTCTAAAGACGAGAAGTCCATAAAACTACATTTGAACTCAAAAAACAAATTTTAATGGCACAAGCTGCGCTACAAGTTTTCGAGAAACTCCTTGGAGAAAATGGGAACGGGAAAACAGTTTTTAATTGTCTCAAAGTTCTTTATCTAGTTCCCTACTCAGAATTGTGGTTTTTGATTCCTGAAAACCCTCGAGTTTCTTTTCATTACAACTACTTTCAATTTTAAAAAGATTCTAAAGACTAGATGAATTGAAAAAAACCTTTTATTGAATTTTTCTGTGTCCAAAAACCTGATACTCAATTTCCGAATTATTCAAAAACTACCAAAGTTAAAAAAATATACAGTGAAAAAGAGCAAAAAAAGATTTTTTTAAAAGTCATTTAATAATAATTTATTGACAGATTAGTCCATAAAACTATTGAATTATTTTTTTATTTGGAAAAAAATAATGATTCCGTCAGTAGAAAAACTTTTGGAGTGAAAAAAATATTTTTAAATCTTCAAAAAAAGGATAGTTAAAAAAATAAACAAGTTGATTGATTCGAAAAATTTCAAAAAAAGCAATGTATTCTAAGAAACCTTAAACTAAAAACCTTTCAGAGAAACTTTTCTAAAGAAAAATTCCAATTTTAGAAGTTGAGTCACAATGGAGCAAACAATCTAGGAAAGAAAACGAACGAAGAAAAAAGTAAAAAAGTAAAGAAAAACGAACTTTGCATAACAGAAATGGAATAAATTAACAAACAGCAGGAATATTGATAATAATAGGCGCATGGCAGGCGGAAGGAACTCGGGATAATATAAGCCGGAGAGCCGCTCCTGGACTTTTTATCAAAGACCAGCCGGTCCAGTACTACCGGCTCTTTGTCGGACGTTTTTTTGCTTCAATTTTTTTACGTCTTGGAGTTGCTGCTCTTCAGAAAATGGGAGCAAAAAGCGAGGAGGAAGGAGTCGGTTGGGTCGGTCGGTGGTCCGTCGGCGGCGGCCGCCGAACAGGAGGCGGTTCTTTTATTTTTGGCCCCGCCCACTTTTCTCTCGGCGGAGGACGACGACTGCGACGGCGACGACACTGTCGCGGATGGTTGCGCCCCGGTCCGGCCCGATTGAGTTGTTAAGCAGAGGGATCCATCCGTTTTTAGAGTTCCGATACGCGTCGGGGTGGTTGAATTTCGAACGTGAGTGGAAGAAGTAAATTTGGACCATAGACATCTCAAATGTGCTAAAACGGAGCAACAACGGGAGCAAAAAGCAGGACTTTCTTTCAAAAATTGGAGACACAACTGAGCTGAAAAGGTGCTCCAGCTCTGGTAACAAAAAATGCCGAAAGTTCTACTGCTTTTGCTTATACGGGTTTTATACAGGGTGGACCCGGTGAGAGCCCTTGTTAGCATGGATGGTTCACGATCCCCAGAAGAAAAGTGCTTTTTTTCGATTTTTCAGACGTATATCTATCCTTACAAGTTGTCAAGTTGACTCAAACTTGAATGTAAATCCTTATTTTGTTTTTTGAGCACAAGAAGGTTCAATGATCCTACGCAAGGACTTGAAAAATGCAACGGAGCTTACTGAAACGCGTAGCTCGCAAGGAAACTTAGGAATCGCATATTTAGCAGAAAACTTTGTGGAAGTAAGTTCTAACCAGTAAGAAAAACATAACCGGTAAGAAGGAGTTTTTTACAAAAATGTATATATCGCTTATTCCGGGCAAGCTTGATACCTGTTATTTTCCACCGAGCTCCAGAATCCTTCATTTTGCCTAATGTTTCCGTAATTTAAAGGCGCATGCCCAGAAACAGCCCTCGCGTTTCGAAGAAAAGGGTTCTGTAGCTCGGAAGACTGAAATGCGTGTCAAGAAGAACGTGCGCGAAAGAGGCCATGATAATTTGACAAACGCTGCAAGGATTCAAAAGAAAGAAGGTTGAAAATCTGCACAAGAAACATTTTTCATCAGATTTTTGGGATCAAAAGTAATTTTCGCGGTAATTTAAAATAATTTCTGACTATTCAAAATTTAGTTATCTTATTCGCTCTCTGGCGGCTGATATGAGTTTTGCGGAACCACTTTGAGCACGGCATTTATTCGAAAAAAAGAGATCTTACTTAAATCCAGCGTGGATCAAAAAAAGGCTATCTGAAAATTCTTCTTAAAAAGCGCCAAGAAATCTTTCTATTTCGCTTCTTCTTTTTTTGTTTAGTTGGCCTCTGTCTTTTCTCTATTTTTTTTGTAAAATTTGCTTCTAGACGACTTAATCTCAGCGATTTTTCCGAACTTTGAAAAAAATCTCCGCAATTTGGAATTTCAATTCGAGAAAAAAAGAATTAAGATGTTGAGATCCATCTCTATTTATCGATCTGTTGAAAAACATTGTCTAAACCCTAAAACTCACACAACTTTACAAGCTTTCCTTAAGCCTTCCTGTGATATTTAAGACGAAGAAAGAGCTCTTCCTTCGCCTTAAACATCACAGAAAAAAAATTCTTTCTAAAACGTTGTTAGTTAACTTTTTTTAAAAGTTGACGAAAATTTAACGTAAAAGCAAAATTTTGGAACCACTGGCTGTGAAATGTATTGTTATTCAATTTCTCTTGTTTTTCGGTAAAGCAATGAAAAATAGTTTTGGCATGTCATTTGTGTCCTTTAACTGATAAAAAATAATTCAACATATATTTTCCCGAACTTTATTCCAAATTCTCCGTCAGAAATTTGAGAGAAAGCGTTCCAATACAACTTTAATTTTCTTCTAACGGAAATTAAGTATTTTCAACCAATCTCATTTATTTTTCCCACAGCACTGTTTGATGTTCAAAATTAGAAGAATTTTCGCTCGAGAGGGAAAATTAATTGATAGAATACCTCATTCTAGTTCCATCAACTGTCCAATCCAATATCATAAAAAGCGCGTCTCGAAGCCATCATCCTGAAATTAGAAAATTGGACAATTATGAAAGGCAACAAAACAGTGAAAAATTTTTTCTCAAACGAAATATCTCTCAAAAAATGCTATAAAAATTTTCGATAGATAAATAAACGCAGCACAAAAATCGAAAAAAAACGTGAAAATCTCAAAAGCGCGTGGAATAAAGCGCCCACTGTGCATAGAGTGTTCACGCATCGCAATCATACTGTAACTTTATTTAAAAAAAAGTACTCAAATTTGAGTAATTTTATTTTATTTTCATGATCTTTGCTTTAATTTATTCTAATATTTTGACTCAAATAATGCAGTCTGAGCGCCGTAAAAAAAGTTTTATTTCTCGCAATTTTCCGCGGTTGGAAAAAAAGGGATTAGCCTATTTTGGTTAATCCTTACCTGTTCGAAGCTTTTCCATCCTGCGGAAAAACGGTGCCAGACCCACGGTTGTAAAGACCGTCTCCGCTCACGCATCCGCTGTTTGTGCGACGGTTTAAGGCGTTAAATTTTCGCATCCGTCAAGTTTAAGCTGCGAGCCTCGACGTCCCGCACGACATTTCCTCATCAAAATAAACCGAGAGCTTTTCTTGAGCAGAAGTATTTTTAGAATCGATACTCAATGACGAAAGCTGTTTTTCAAAAAAATTTCTTGCTGCGAGCCTCGACATTCCGATTTTCGAGACTTTGACTTGAAACATTCACCGGTTTGTAAAAGTTTGATCAAAATCACGTTCAAAAGTTATTTAGAAATAGCAGTTTCTATTTCAAAAAAACTTAGCACCACAATTTGGGTTGAGAATCGAATCATTCTCAGTTTGAATTGCGGTACTAGGAAATTTTTTGAGCCTATATTCCAAAAAAAAATCATTTTACATTCTCAGGCAAAATCGGAATAGTGGATATATCCGATGATAGCCGCTAAAAGAGAGAGGCTCAAAAAAGGCGGCAGAATGGCAGCAAACAGAGCTCCTTCACCGAGCGTTCAATTTTTTTTTAATTTTAAAGGCATAAGACATGGTGGAAAAAGGGAGAGGCATCGAAAAGAGTGCATAAGAGCCGATGATATGGCGGAAAAAGGCAGAATAAAAGAGCCTTCCTAATCCGAAAAGGAAAATTCTCTTGAACCTTTTTCCAACCTATCGGACTTCGCCTATGTAATTTTTTTTGCTGTTTTATTTCTAATACGTGAATTTGTTCTTGAATTCGCCAATTGATTGCGCCATCAGTTCAAAATCATGTATTAAAAAGGAAATGTCGTTTGAATCCGTTTTAATTCATTATTTGATGATTTTTCAAAAAATTTTCAGAAATGGGTTCATTTTCGCTCCCCAAGCTGATCGATAACGAAAAGTACAGAAAAACAGGTGAGAATTAATTTGCAAATTCTGGAATTTTCACACCTTTTCTCGTCCATCAGAACTCAATCATCTCTCCCTAGAAAAAAGGCGTGCTGAAATGAAATGGAAAGAACTGGAAAGGGAAAGATTTTTGTCGGTCAACCCATGTGGGTCAACTCGTTCGCCATCAGCCATCAGTGCTTTTTCCCACACTCTCTTGTTCTCAATTTCAATTTTCTTCCCAAGTTTGGTTTTTCATAACTTCTATTTGTGATATTTTCCTTTCAAGATGTCTTCGGAAGAGGAGGACCGGAGAGAAATCGCCTATGGCGTCACGATTGTAGTCAGTTTTGCCGTTGTTCTGACCACCGTCATTTCTTTTACTGCCACGGTTCCGGTTCTTTCTGATTTAGTTTTTGAATCTCTGCGCCAGTCAACGTCTGATGCGTCATTCTGTGAGGTAAGCCTAGTTTTTTGGAAAATTATTCAACTTTTTTTTTAGTTCAGACGAATCAGTATTTTGAATCATCGTTTATTCGTCTATTTACTTATGAAACAGTTCTCCACTAAAATGTTTTTAGTTTTTTTTTTCTTGAATCAAAAAGTTCTTGTTAGAATTGCCACTAAAAAAAATAAAAATGAGTCAAAAGTCGTCATTATTCTTTTTAAAAAATTAATAATTTGGAACACCAATAATGTTGATTATTGATCCAACTTGTCAGTCCTTCGCAAAAGTCTTTTTTTCGAGAAAAAGTTCAGGAAAGCTTTCTTTCGAAACGAGCAAACAGTATCTTAAAAAAATATGTGATCCGTTAAATCCTCTCAAAATATATTATAAAAGGGCTAGTATATTTCTAAAACTTTCCAATTTATTTGATTTAAAATTTTTTCAATTTCTCTGATAAACTCAACTTTAAACTTTTTTTCAGTTTCTCAATCGAATATAATTTTTCCATTTCCTTTCTTTCTTTGAAATTTTTTTATTAAAAAAATTAAATTATATTCTCATGAAGATTTGCAGATTTTAGTGCTTTTTATGGCTCCCTGAACAGGTTTCAAAAGTTTAATTTCTAGGCGAATATGCGAGAAATCGAGATACTCGTTTCCAAAGCTGAAGTCGTTGATCTTGAAGCGAATTCAACGTCTTCTCGTCAGAAACGTGACGAAATTGACGAGTATTTGAGGCAAACCGGACAAAAGGCTTCGAGTTCTTGCAAGTGGGTGATTCGAAATTAGTTAGGGAGCTCAGAAGAAAGTTCAATTTTTAATCTGCTTCAGTTCGAAATCCGTTCATTTTTTATAAACTGCTTCATAAGATTCTCTAGTAGGAAAATCTCAGCGCGTAATTCAAAAACAAAACCCATCTGGTTTAATCTTTTTTAAAACTATCAGATTGAAATGTCAATCGATATTATTGGCTTTATTTTTATTAAATAATTACGTTGAAACTTCAATACCAGAATTCTTTCACAATTTTGTATACATTAACTTTATTTGACTCGAAAGAGGGCCTTCAAAAAACGTTCAGATCATTTTGAAAAGTTTCGATTTGTGAAGATCTTTTGAGCTGTCTTAAAGTCCTTGACATTTTTCTCAAGGAGCCTTTAGCAATTTTTGAAGATCTTGAGACTTTCAAAGTTTTATTTTGAGCCATACAAGTCTTCTGATTTTTTTTAAGCCTCAGCAAGGAGTTTCGAAAAAACTTGAATTGGCAGATGTGAACACCCGGCGGGTCGACCCGGTCTCCCCGGCCGGGACGGTCTCAGAGGCTCCCGGGGAACAGAAGGAGCTCCAGGTCTTCCAGCTCGTCTCCCCTGTGAGGCTCCACTCGACCGGAAACAGTTTTGTCTCGATCCTTGTCCCCGAGGAAAACAAGGCGCTACTGGAGTTACTGTACGGTTTTTTTTTGATTTTGTGAATTTTCTGTGAATTCTACCTATTTGAAAAGAATTATCGAAGTCTCAAAATGAAGAGGACTTGTAAAGAGAAGATTTTCAATCAAAATTTTTTCACCCATATTTCAAGTTTTAGGGCGTCAAAGGAGACAAAGGGGCCCCCGGCTTACCTGGAACCAACGGAAAAAGAGGAGAAGATGGAAAAAGTTTATAAAGTCATTTTTTTATAAGGGGAAAATAACAAAAAAATTTCAGGTTGGTCCGAAAGGTCCAATGGGTCCCATCGGTATACCTGGACTTGATGGAGAGGTTGGTTCAAACAAAAACTTTTTTTCCGTGTAAAAATTTTTCCTCGATCTGCTTCCTAATTTTCATCGAAATTCTTTCCTTCAGAAGTCTCAATTTTTTGTTGAGTCTCTTTACAGGTCGGAGACGCCGGTGAAGACGCGGCGCCGCAGCCGTTCATCCCAGGACCACCAGGACCTCAGGGCGACGAGGGAGTCCCAGGACCGCCTGGTCCTACCGGAATGCCCGGAATCGACGGCCCGATTGGGCCCGCCGGCCCTCGAGGCAAAAAAGGAAAGCCCGGATATCCTGGAACAAATGGAGAAAACGGCGCCGAAGGGCCGATGGGCGAACGAGGCGACGAAGGAAAGAAGGGGGTTCGAATAATTTTTTTAGCTCCTCTATTAAAAAAATTACTTCAGTGCTACTATATAAACAGGATCTTTGAAATATTCTCATCATTTTGATAATATTATATTATCGGAAAATTTATTCATTTTATAACTCGACTGAACACCTTCACGCTCAATTTTTCATTTTTTTTTTTTTTTCATCTGTCATGTTGTGAAGGGGGTAATTTCAAAACTTTCCTTCTTAAAGAATGGCAGGGCTAAACTTAGAGATTTAAAATAAAAATAAAAACGAATTTTCGACTTTTCTGATTTCATCTCTGTTAGCCTCTCTTCAGGAGTTTTTCAAAATTCAATATATAGTGTATTCCGCGCCACACGGTCACGTTTTGAAAGCTCAGCAGAAGAAGAGCCACCATAAGCACAGCTTTGTTTCTGTTATGATAAAGTCACATGATACAGAACTTTTTTGTTCGATGCACGCGGCCTTTCTCTGTGCGTGCGCCTTTAATTCAGCCTAAAAGTTTGTAATGTATGAAAGGCGCATGCATGTAGACAGTTACCACCCATCGAAGAGAGGGGTTCCGTAGCTCGGAAGGAGAAAAGATGTGGAGATTCCAGGTATGCCCAACGTACTGCGCGACGGACGGTGGAGTCTTTTTCGTTCAACCGCCAGATTGGATGTTCCACGATTGAATTTATTAATAACCTTTTCTTTTTTCCTCAGCATCTCAGTGTCTTTCCAACATTCCACTCTTTTCCCTTGTATATTTCCGGATGTGATAATAAAGAACTCATCAAAAATTTTTGAATTGTGAAGCCCGTTAGGCGGTCAACATATTGCTTGAAAAGTTGAAGTTGAAAACCTTTCTCTCCAAATTTCAAAGATAATTTAAAATGGCGCAGAACAAGTGCGCCTAATTTCGTGGCGATTTTGATGTTATTTTCAAAAAAAAAAGATATTTATAAAATCCACTCGCATGCTGGTGAGTAGCACCCGTTGGGCTAATACGTCATAAATTCCCACTACCAACATTTCTTAAACCCCTTGGTTGGGTCGGGGCGGGGATCAACTTGTGACCCTGTGGACCGTAGACAGGCACACAACCTGTTGCGCTACGGCGCGCCCCAAGTAAAAGAATAATAATTAACTAAAATTTCTACAAGCTCCTCCCATTCTTTCAATTTTTCACGTACATTAAATAAAAGCTTTTACTCATGTTTTTCTCGTTTTCGAACATGAAGTTGACGTCAGGGATCCTTGACGTCACTTTATTCCGATCCTTTATATACTCGACATTTTCTTGATTTAAAATGAAGGCATTCTATTAAAAATTTCAAAAATGACCTTGAAAAACGTCCGCCGCTGATAATAAATAAATGAAAAGGTGAAGAGAAGCTCAGTTCATCCTGCTATTTCTATTTTTCGTCTTCGACTGAGCGGCTGCCTGATCCCTCTGGTACTTTTGCTGTCTTTTATTTCATACCAGGGTCACATGAGTCACGAAATAAAATTCGTACTTCTCGATTTTGTCCCGTGTCAATTAAATTACTCTCGTGCATCTCTTTTTCATACCGCATTCTTGTTTGAAGGTTAAATTATAGTACCCAAAACCAATTTTGTTTCAAAAAAGCTGTTCTATCTAGTCAGCCCAGTTTAAGAGTTATCGGGTTTTTATAATTTATTCTTCAAATTTCTCCGGATCTGGAGCTTGAGAGTCTTATCACTTTTTGAGTTCTAGAACTCTCTTTTCATTACAGAAAAAATGTCCGTGCGATTTCTATTTATAGCCATCATCACTGCGGATACATTTTCAGTTGCATCGGGCGGTCAGTTTCGCTCTATTTTTCGTGTACGTTAAAGAAACTGAATTTTTCAAGATTGTTTAAAATTTTTCTAGTGCGGTGTAGCACATTCCGCGCCAGCTTGTCTCTTTTTTTCCCTAAAAATACCGTATACCAATTTTGACGGAACTTCGCTAAAAGGCCTTTGTTTTTTTCTTACTTTTACAGTACCTCTGTTCTTTTTTTCCGGGTGTTTTTCAAATGTGACCGTCCTGCGCAGTACATAATATACAGAATGTAAGTCAAATGTGTGCCCAATTGTCAAAATTTGCAGTTGAATGGTGCAAACGACCAATGTTGTGCTATGCGTCTGGATGTGCGGTTCCGGACGAATGTGCTGTTTCCGATTGTCAAAACACTGAAGCACCCATCTACGTGGAAAATTTAGCCTCCGAAGAAAGTGTTCATACTTTCCTAGCTAGAGCTATTAAGATCAGTACTCTGACCGTAATTGGAAACGAGAAACTGTTCTTACCTGAAAATGTTATTGAAATCATCCACGGCGGGACAGGTACGTTTTTTCCTCTATTTCTGTTTTTGAATGACCAATTCAAAACTCAATCTTACCAAGGAATGGCCTCTGGACGCAGCGGGACTTCTGAATGAGATCAGCTTTTCTAAATGTAGTTTTTCACTATGATCTCAAATCTGGAAGCAGAAGCCTGATACGTCTTTGAAAAAATTTAGGAGAAAAGTAATTTTTCCTATTTCGAGAAAATCGCGCAAATCTACTTTTTTCGGTAAAAGATGATAGTCATAATTAAAAACTGCGACTTTCGAAGAATTTTGGAGAAAAAAAATAGTTCTATTGGTTCTATCAGCGTATCTGTGACCACATGGTATCATGGAACTTTTTTTTCGCGTTATCGCATTCTCCAGACTTTTTTTCTTGAAATTTAGAATTAAAGCTAGTAACTCCTGAAACTCACGAAATCTTTTTCCATTCGATGAATATGAAAAAAATATTAGAACACGCTAAAAAAATATATAACTAAAAATATATCTTGAAAAGGGAGAACAGACTGTTCTTTTCGTTAGTGAGAAGAAACCGAAATTCGATCTTTTTCATGTATTTTTCATGCTCTTTTTAGTATCTCTTCCAATATGATCTCTCACTCATCGCGGATTTTAGCCTCCATTGGTTTTTTTTTTCTAAAAACTCACAGGTTTTTTAGGACCGGCAGTCACTCTAAAGAATGCCAAATTTGACGAAGATGCATTTAAAAACTTGGAAAAAATAACGGTTGATGATCCATACATTTATTGCGACGTAGAAAATAAATTAATCGACATAGAAGGAGTTCTTGAACCACAAGTGAAAGGTCGCCTGGAAAAAGTGGCGAGTCAGGTGGGTTTTTTTTCTTCTGAAAGTTGAGCTAAATTTTTCCCTCCTGAATTGATGGGCAGGGAGATTTGCAACTGCTTCGGATTTTTAATTCCGAAATCACAAAAATAGAAAAATCGGATAAAATCAGTCAATTTTTCTTCAATTTCGATCGGCATTCTCTCAGTACCCTAAGGCGCTAATTAATCTCTTTTGGGTTTACCTGCCACTACCATTCATTCAAAAAAAAAAACAATACAAACGCCTGAGGTTGCCGACAATCTTTCTCATTTGGAAGTTTGTAATAGTTTAATGCACGGTTTCTCGAAAATTTAGTGGAATCAGTAACAAAGTCTATTATTAAATGTTTCAAACTTTCTTTCAATTTCCCGAGTAAGTCCTTTTCAGACGCTGGTCATGTGTGATAAGCCGAGACCCGATTTTGATGCCGAGTTCAATTCGCTGGTCGTCAGTCCATTGGAATCTCCTTTGAATGTTAGTGAGCAAAAAAATGTACCTTCTGGCAGAAAATGCTTCAAATATGGTTTACTTTTTTGAAATTTTATTCGTAAACTGAAGTCTTTGAAGATGCCGTTTTCTATAGTGCCAGCGTCGCAATCGGAGTCCTTCTTGTTTTTTGCATCGCTCTGTTGTATCTGTGTGTCCAAATATACAGAGCTCCTCTTCCGAGAAGGAGCGCTCATTCATCAGGTGATTAAAAATCGCAGATTGTTTGAACAATCGCAGATTGTTTGACAAATGTAAATGAAATTTCGAATTTTACACTAAAAAATTCAATTCTGAAAAATCTGTATTCAAATTTTACGTTTCAACGATAAAAGCTTTCTATAAATCTTTATCACTTGAAGTCAAAAATTTTCGAATTAATATGTATAGAAAAATTTTTTTGTATTAATTTGCTGTGAGCTCCTTTCAAAAAGTTGGACAGAAATTAGTGTAATTTTTTTTTCTTCCCTTCTCTCTTTAATGAACGACTACAATCAGTAAAAGTATGTTTTCAGGCCAAAAAAAGAGCAAAGGAACCCGACAAGGTGGTGAAACGGGGCGGCAAAGTAACGAAACTGGGCGAGAAAATGACGAAAAGGCCTCGACAGGTAGCGAAACGATTCCGAAAAGTAGCGAAAATGAGCGGATATTCGCCGAAAAGGAGCCGAAAGTTGACGAAAAAGAACAGAAAATTGGCGAGAAAGTGCAGATAAATGACGAAAAAGCCAGTAAAAGTGACGAGAAGGAGCCGAAAAATGACCAAAATGCACGAAAAAGTGACGAAACAGTCCGAAAAAGTGACGAAACGATTCGAAAAAGTGACGAGAAAATGCAGAAACTTGACGAAAAGGTGCAGAAAAATGACGAAAAGGCTCGAAAAAGTGACGAGACGGCCCGGAAAGAGAGCAAGAAGGAGCAAAAAGTTGACGAACAAGCCCGAAAAAATAGTAAGAAAGAGCGGAAGGTTGACGAAAAAGTCCGAAAAATCAGCGAAAAGATCCGAAAAAGTAGCAAGAAGGAGCGGAAAAGCAGAAAAACGACATCTTCTGAAAAGAAACCCGACTTGAAATCGAAACGGAAAGGTGCCGGATCAGAAGTTTTGAAGTTGAAGGATGCCGTGGGAATTGGAAGAATCTATGAGGGTAAAAAGAACGTCAAGAAGGAAGATTTGTGTTGACTTTCCTCGCTTCTCCTTCGAAACGAGGTAATTTTAAAGAATATCTGGGCTTGCTTTTTGTTTGCCAGTCGGAACTGAGATAGATGTTCTTTCAACTTTGCGATTGCAAGTTTCCTGAAAACTTGCCAGAATCTTCCTTGATTTCTGGATATTATCAAAGTCTAACTTTCGAAAAATAAAGGGACTTAAAGTCTCCTAATGGCAAATTTTTGTTTTTTAACGGATTTCTTGTGAAGGGAAGGTCTTCGAAAAATAGCCACGTTATTTAACTTTTGAATTTATATTTTCAGTAAACAACCAAATTCGCAACTGCATGGATCTTGAGCCTTTTTGCGACATCTTATTTTTTTTTTTTTTCAAAAGCATGAACATTTTCTGATTATTCATTGCATGTATTCCCGGAGTTCAAATTGTTAACAATACTGCCTAAAAAAATCGTCCTAAAAAAATCGTGTTATACAACATATTTGATTTATAGAAAAAAAGTTATCATCTCGCCCTTTTTTTCCAACTCAGCCTAAACCCAAATGGCGCAGAACAAGCCTGCGCCTAATTGAATTTCGTTAATGGTTTCATTGTTGTTTGTTGATATTTGATTTGTTTTTTTTTTACTAGTTTTTGAAATAGACGCAAAGCTTATCGCCTTTCTTTTTACAGTATGGGACGTCGATAGAAAATCCAAGCAGAAAGATTTCAAAACTTGAGAAAAGGAAAAAAAAATTACATAAAAAAAAGTCAACGAAGGAATGGGTTGCGAACTGGCACTGGACGAGCACGATCAGCTAATGAAAGTGGACGAACGATTTGAAAAGGAACCGGCGATCGACGACAGGACGAAGACTAACAGATGGAAGGAGAAAAAAAACTGGGCGACGGTGGACCCGTGGAAGTTTTTGAAAACAAAGCACGAGCTGCCGGCGTCCCGCATACACTGCAAGCGCTATTAAATTCGATGAGAGTGCTGAAGTTCAGTGGTTAAGCGGTGGCTGGTTTGCTCGTGTCGTTGCGACGAGGCTCCTGCCAGGGAAGCGACGAGGCTCCTGCCAGGATTGAAGAAAAAAAATGATATGCTTTTTAGCTGAAATGGACTCAAATGAAATCACTTGATATCAGAATCTTTCGGCGAGTCCTCAAAATGAACTGCAAAAGTAAAAAAAAAAAAGTCGACGACTTTGTTAGAGATGCTTCGACTCCGTCTCAACGATTTGGCCAGCAATCGAAAACTCATTTTTGGGAACTAAACATATGACCAAAGCCTACGACTTGTCGTCGTTGGAGACAAAGGTGGAGATTACACGAAACTAGCTCTCATAATATTAAAAGTAAAAAAAAATGTAACTTCCCAAGAAGTTTGTTGATTCTGGGTGTTATGAGGGAACAGAAGAATCCTCAAACCTGTTCATAGTCTTTGAAGACGTCATCAGGCAAGTCAACGAACTTCAAGAAACTGATTTTTCCGCTGACGGAAATGATGTGACGAAGAGAGTTTCGAAGCTTCTTACTGGGGACCTCAAGTTCCTTTCCACTATAGGCGGCCACAGAGGAGCAGCAGCGTCCAACAACTGCGTTTTCTGTCTCCACGTCAACTCGAGAAACCTTCTTATTTCTAATTGGAACCCTGCAAAACGTCCTCAACTCCGCACATTTAGTTCATATACTCGCGATTCTTTGACAGAAGCGAACGGAGTAAAAAGGATTCTAAATGCTTGTTCGAAATTCAAATGAGCATTGCTGAGACGCCTGCACATGACTATAGGTCTCATTCCATATCCAATTGACCGCTTACAAGCACAAGCTAATGAAATGGATTCTTCCGAACTGTGTGACCTTTCCTTGAAAAATCAAAGAGCTAAACTTCAGACTGAAAACAAGTTTTTGCAAACTTCGAAGAAGAGCTTGGCTGAAAAACGTCAACTCAAAAAGGAAATTACGAAGGTTGCTGTGCTCCCTGCAAAGAGAAACGCTGTGCAGCTGACTCCAACTGTCTTTACCGAGACAAGAGATTTTCAGTCTCGAAGCCCAAAGAATCTGACAAACTTTCTTGGGCTCGTGCTGCAAAAAAGACTCACAATACCTGTGTGGCGGAGTTGGACGCTGGAAGATGAAGAAAGAATCACGCACTCACCCTACGAATGCTTTGAATGCAGATCAAAAACTTCCCCAGCCGCAAAAAAAAAGCGGAAAACTGCTGGTTGAGCTGAGCGCTGAAGAAGTTTTGGCCGATCAGGCAGTTTGTGCACAGGAATTGAAAATAAATGACCTCAACAAAAAAGGTCGACAAGCTTGAAATTGTATGAAATTTACAAGAAAAATCATGCGCAGATTGGGGCCTGGCATCAAGCTTGGACTGGCAACCAAGTTCAATGGTTGTTGATGCACTGTTGGACGCTTTCCCATCGAACTCCCAGAACGTAGCTTCCAGAAAATCTTTGTATGCGCTCTATCAAGTGCAGAAGCTCGCCAAAGCTGCTTATCTGATCGAAGCGACTCGGAAAACATGTTTGAAAGAAAACGTTGAAATTTTCATAGAAAAAATCATAATTGCTTGTCCAGATCGAACCGTAACTGAAAAACTTCATATTCTCTCTTCCCACGTCATGGACTTCGTTATGGCTCATGGAACATGGGGTCAATATTCAGCACCCAAATTCATTAATTATCATCCGTTATGAATTGCACAAAAAAATTCTCCAAAAAGATTCGAACCCTGACCACAGGTTCCACATGTGATATGATTCTTGCGTGCAAACTTTGAGGGGTCATAACTCCGCTAAAAGGCAAAAAGCGTAAATTTTTTTTTCTAGTTCTCGATTCAGGGGACTTGGAAGTACATCTCACCAGAGTTTCATCAAATTCTCAAACGGTGTCTTTTTGCACTTTCCTTGTCAGACCTACAGGGACCTGTCCGGTTTGCACTGTGCCGTCTCCGCTGGCCATACAAGAAGATTTTCGACAATTTTTTCTATTTAATGAAATGAACAAGGCTATTTCTATATATGATTGCGGAAAAATCCGGACTACTAAAAATTCTGCTCGCTCTTTCGGAATGACCTTACGAAAAAGTCGCTCGCTTAAAATTAGATAAAGAAAAAGTGAAGAGAAGAGAAGCTCATTGCGATATTTCTATCATTTGCATCCAATTGAGCGGCTGCCTTATCCCTCTGGTAATTTTTTTTAAAATTTCATACCTCATCCTTGTTTGAAAGATAAGTTACAACACCTAAATGCAATTTTGTTTCAAAAAAGCTATCGGGTCAGCCAATTTTAAGAGTTATCGGGTTTTTATAATTTATTCTTCAAATTTCTCCGGATCTGGAGCTTGAGAGTCTTTTTCACTTTTTAAGTTCTATAATTCTCTTTTTTTATCCCAGAAAACATGTCCTTTCGATTTCTATTCATAGCCATCATCACTGCGGATACATTTTCAGTTGCGTCGGGCGGTAAGTTTCGCCCTTTTCTTCGTATACACGAATGAATATTGGATCTGTCAAGATGGTTCTAAAGTTTTACTGGTGCGTGTAGACCATTTCGCGTCAGCTTGTCCCGTTTTTCTTCCGAAAAAAGTACCGTATACCAATTTTGACGAGACTTCGCCCCATGACCTTTTTTTGCTTTCTTTTATCATACTTTTTTCGGGTGTGTTTTTAAAATGTAAGCGTCTTGCGCGGAAGTCAAATGTTTGCCTAACTGTCAAAATTTTAAGTTGAATGGTGCAAACGTCCAATGATGTGCTATGCGTCTGGATGCGCGGTTCCGGACGAATGCGCTGTTCCCGATTGTTTCAACACTGAAGCACCCATCTACGTGGAGAACTTAGCCTCTACTGGGCCGCTCCATTCTTTTTTAGAAAGAGCTAGGCAGATCAGTACACTCACAATAATTGGAAACGCGAAACCGATCCTCCCTTATTATGTTACTGAAATAGTTCACGAGGGGACGGGTAAGTTTTTTTTCTCTATTTTCAATCGCAAGATAAATGGTCAGCAAAGATGTATAGCCCTTTCCGCGCCAGATTGTTACGACTTTAATTTACCTTCGAGCTGCCGAACCCTTCCGGGCAACTCTGTAGCTGTAGCCCAAAGCTTTCGTAGGTTTAAAGGCGCATACTTAGAAGCGGAACGCGCTCAGAGAAAAGCTTTCCGGAAGGGTCCTATTGCTCGGAGAAAAAAAAAATAATAAAAATCGCGGTTAACCTGCGAATTCTTTCATCTATTTCTTTTCTCAAAAATTGGCAGGTTTTGTAGGGCCGGCAGTCACTCTGAAGAATGCCAAGTTTTTGCCCAAGTCGTTCAAAAACTTGGAAAAAATAACGGTTGATGATCCGTACTTTTTTTGCGACGTAGAAAATAAATTAATCGACATCGAAGGGTATCTTGTTCCAGTGGTGAAAGTTCGTCTGGAGAAAGTAGCGAATCAAGTGGGTTTTTTTTCTTTTGAAAGTTGAGCTCAATTGAAATGGTTTAATTTCAATATCACTATTTTCTAGCGATTTATCCTAGGCTGTCACGTAAGCTTAAAAAAACGTTCTATTTCCAACCGGTTGCCCCAGGGCTGCACGTCATCCAGGTCCATCGCGGGGTGCACCGAAAAAGTCAACGAAAAGTTAACTTTGTTCGGGGTTCACTGCGGATTACATCGTCTTTTTCGTTAGCGCAGGGCACGGAGTGTCAAGTAATAGTCGTACAGAGTGTATGTTTAAAAGTTGACCAGTATAGCGAATTTCATTGTGAATTCGTGGATGTCGTGCAGTGCTGCTGACGGGGCGTCCCGCCCCGCTGAGTAGATAAGTTGAAATGAAGTTTAAGTGAAAAAAATCCGCAGAGTACCGATTAATAAAAAAATCTATTGGTCGACGAAAAAAAAATTCATTCATATCATTGAGTAACTGTGGAGACATCTTCTAACAGTCCGACCGCTTCGCGGGGCGGGGCGCCCCGACGAGTTGCCCCGGTCTGGTTAGCAGCTCTGATGTCGTGCTTTGGAAGTTGAAAAAAGTTTCGCATAAAACTAATTATCATTAATTAATCTCATGTGCAATTATTTAAGATAAGATTTCAAAAAATCACATTATCCTAAAAAGTATAGGCTAAAAAAACACCCAGGTGCAGTTCAATCTAATTTTTCCAGACTTCTCTGGCAGATAGCCGTAAGGGAAAAAAAGTATCAGAATAAACAACTCCTTTTTTTTTATTATTATTCATCCAAAAAAAGGATTTCTGCTTTTGAGCTCGCCGACGGTTTTCGTGAATATAGGCCATTCCCAGCTTGTCACTATTTTCTTTTGGCTCCGAGCTAAATAATCATTCTGTTCAAAGCACGCGCGATTTTTCTTTGTCTGTGATTTTTATTTGGCCTAAAATTCCTGTTATAATAAAGGCGCAGATTCATAAACACTCCGCGCGCTTCGAACGGGATGACCTATAAAGAAAAATTCAGTTTACTTGAGAATTGCTTCTTTTTCAAATTTAAACGAGTCTTCGTCTTTTTTCGTCTGTGAATTAAAACTGATAAATCAGAGAAAAAAGTCTTCACAAAATGATTATATTTGAAAAATTCTCTTTCATTTTCCAATAATTCCTCGGCGAATAAGTCCTTCTCAGACTTTGGCCGTGTGTGATAAGCCGAGACCCGATACTGATGCGCAGTTCAGTTCTTTGGTCGACAGTCCACTGGAATCTCCTCCGAATATTAGTGAGCAAGGGAATGTATCTGCTGTCGAAAACTGTTACGAATACGGTTTGCTTTCTCAAATTTCAATCCCGAACTGAAGCTTTTTTTGAGACGAAGTTCTGATTGCCGCAAGCTCCGTAATCGGATTCCTTCTTATAATATGCATCTTAATGATTTTTGTCAATTTCGATATTTACAGAAGATGTCAGTCTGCAAGAGGTAACTCTTCTTCAGGGGATTCTTTGAAAAATTTTGAAAACCCTTTTTTAAGCCGATCACTGAAAGTTCACCAGAGGTCAAAGTTTGAGAATGGTTATTTTTCTTGAGAAAAAAAAATTTTTATTTAAAAATCACGAAAAGTTTCAAATATTCTAAGCATCATTTTTAGGCTTCAGGTTTTATTAGGCATTTGTTTTAGGCCTATTACTGGTCTGAAGGCGGACTTTTTAACAACTATTATCTCAAAAACTAGAAGTTCACGCAGTAATATACAAACTTTCACGAGTTGAAACTTGAAAGGTGATATGTGTGGAATGGCAAAGGTGACGTGTTGCGTACGCGATGCGGTTTTTAAAAATTGTGGGAGGAAATTAGAGATCAAAAGCGAGCCACAATTTATTCTAGTTTTTTCGTTTCTCTTATTTTATACCGATAATATATCATTTTTAAAGATTTGAAAGAAATTAATTAAACCCGCCGAAAAGGCGATTCGCGTTTACACAATACGTCATTTTCGCCAATCCACCCTCCTGGCGTTTCAAATCGGAAAGTATTGAATATTACTGCTTCAATTTCATAGACCTTTAGTGATTATTTCAACACCTGAAATTCGCTCAAAATTGAGCTTCTTTCGAAAAAATAATGCGTTTACCTCCATCTCACTTTCCTTTTTTTAACTGCGAACACGATCAGAAAGAATCTTTCTCCAGGCGGATCCCGAAAAAGGGGCAAAAGGACCCGAACGAATTGCGAGACGGTGCGGAAGATCAGCGAAACTGCGCGAGAAAGTAATGAAAAAGCCCCAAATGCTTGATAAATCTGACCGCACTTCCCGCGTCTCTGAATCGAGGTAATTTTTTCTCAACCCGAAAAAAAAATTAACTTTTTCTTAAAGGGAAGGATATGAAAAGAATGTCTCCTTTGACTTTAATATTTATAGCTTTCAGTGATTAACCAAAAAGCTGTCGATTTTCCGCCTCTGCATGGTTCTTGAGCTTTTTTTGCGACGTCTTCTTCTTTTTTCGAAGACATGATAATTTTCTCACTATGTTTTACATGAAGACCCATTCACAGAATTTAGTTGTTCATGAATACATCTTTCTGAATTTAAATATTCGAGTTGAAACGTTTTAGCGTTTTTTTAAAGAAAAAAAGCTCTTTTTTTAACACTCAAAAAGTTGAGTTCATTTTCTTAATAAATATTTTTTTCTGGGAGTGAAGCTGAAAAATAAAAATACCGAAACGTTTTATTTAAAAATTCGGGTTTAAAAACACGCCATGACTCATTCAGAATTATAACTTGTGGAGGGGGCGGGATTTCAGATATGAGTCATAGGCACAGCAAATGAGTTTTTGCTCCTTTTTAGGAAGACATCAGAGAACAAAAAAAAATAAAAATAAAAGTAGACCAAAAAACACTCGAATTGAGTCGGGGGCGTTCCGAAGTTGTTGATGAATGAAAACTCTCGATTTATAGAGTATTAATGGCATTGACAGACTTTGAAAATTCACGAATAAATATCTAAATTTTTAAATTTCGTGTTCATTTAGTTTCCATAGAAAATTGAGGGAAAAAACTCAATGATGATATATATATGAATCAAGTTTGAGATTTCATTACTATATTAAAAGGCTTGAAATTTTCATGCTCATTAAAAATAAAAGCACATGACAATAAATTTTTTTATTAAATTATTCAGTTTCATCTCTTTGCAACTGCTTTTTGACGCTTTGGGAATTTTAAATCTCTGATCATCTTTGTATTGATCCTTTTTTGTGGTTTTCACCTTGAGTGAAGTCAGAAATCGGAGTTTTTTGATACCCTGTTGTATGAGGAAGTCCAATTACTCGCAATGACTCATCCAGATTATGCAGCTTCCGCGAAAATAGGAGCTTTTCCTCGCTCTCTCAAAGGAATGAGTCATTCCGCCGAGCTAAATGTCAAAAAGGTGATCATTGCTCGTGTGCGGAGGGAAAAAAAAAACGTGTGAGAGTTTGTGCCTATCATTGGGGCAAACTTTCCGTACGGCTCTGCGCCCTCTCCTCGCAGCACGCTCTCTCGCCGAAGCCTCGCGATCGATGCGAAGAAACGCCCCGGGGTCCATTCTTATTCCGACTCGCCTGACTTCACCTGCCTATTATATCTTCTTACTTTGGCCCCCGAATCTGCTGGACGCCTTGAGAGTGCGGACATTTATGAACTGAGATTGGAAAGATGGTCCTTTTGGCCACCAGTCATGAGACCAAAATGAAATATGCGGGAGACCTCCGCTCCAGTGGCGTCTGCTTCAGAGCCCAGGTGAATTATTTGGAGGTTTACGAAGGTTTCGAGGGATAAAAAGTTGTTAGATTTTATAAACTTTAAGCAGAAAAATCGCGGTCGCATTTGGAATGGCTCAATTTGCATGAGTGCTTTCTCTTTAAAAACGTTTTAGGTCGGCTGCATCTCAATAAAACCGTTGCGCGTCGAGCCATTCCAACTTTGACCTATTTTTTCATTTTTTTAGTACTCAACTTTCCGTGATCGACAGTTGCTATTAAAACAAGCCAGTAAAAATTGTTTTTTTATTTCTCTTCTAAAAAGAAACCTCAGAATTCTCAAATAAACTGAATTTTTTTACCGAAACTTCTGGAAACTTAAAAAATTAAGAAAAAAAAATCGTCCTTTTCAAATTTGGGTATAAACCCAAAATAAACCCAGTCTGAAGCGTTCTCTACGAAAACGAACATCATCACTAGAAATTAGGGTTTTTCTTTCATTAATTAGTTGTTATGAAACATGGACAATGGGTTAAACTTAAAAATTGACTCGAATTCTTCAATTTCTTTAAACAGTAAATCAATCGTTGTTTTTTTTCAACTTAGTTAAAGATTTGATAAAAATCTAGGAAGTGGGTAATTTAATAAAGAACGGTCATTATTTTTCATCACTGGAAGCCCCCTTCTCAACATTTTTTGATTTTTTCCGAATTTTCTATTTTCATTGATGTTATCATTTACAGTATCTCGGCAGTGTTCCCATCGAAACATCGGTCAGCGAAATGGTCCAACAACTAAGAACTCAAGTCGTCATGTTAGTTCTCAATACAAAATTCAAAATTACTTGAAGAAATTGAACTGAATGAATTTTTTTTTTTTCGTTTCATATTGAAAATGAGATAATTTCTAAATTACAATGAATTTTCGAAATGTTTTAGGGAGTGCATCAAACTCGTCGCTCATAAATGCGGTTTAATACCGGAATTTTCGCTCAATTCTGTGGTTGCTATGGTGGGTTTAATTTGAAATAATGAGAAAAAAAAAGTTTTCAAAGACAATAAAAGTTGTTAATCATTTTTGATTTTTATGTTAAAATGATAATTTTCCACTTGATGATCTTCTAAGCGACACCAAAGTGGTCCCTAGAGTGGCAACCTCTTGTTGGCCCCTCAAGGGACCACTTTACTTCTACTATAGGGGGCACCAAAGCTGGCAAAAGTGGCCACTTTAGGGGAGCATCTTAGCTGTCCCTTGACGTCTTTCAACTTTCAAGTCAGAACAAAAAATTGTATGATCCTTGCAGGGACCATTTAAACTTTAGGGGTTTGATGGTCAACCCCTAAAGCCCTTCAAGGATCACCAAAATGTTCGTCTTCTAAAAAGCACTATTTTGTCCCCAGGAACTTTTTCTCCTATCCAATGTAGTGATCAATCTGGTGTTCCTATGTTTTTTTCATCCCAGAAACCGAATGAAATCGAAAAAATCGTTCTTTATAGCCCATTCCGCGCCAGCTTGTCACGTTTTTCTCTCCGCCAAAAATACCGTATACCAAATTAGATCAAAATTAAGCATCTTCGCTCCAAGACCTTTTTTGCTGTCTTTTAGAAGTTTTTTAGAGCAAAAGTTTGCATTTACGGTAGTTTTTTTCTTTTTTGTTCTTTCTAAAACGTGACCGTCCCGCGCGGAAGCGCTTTACATGGAAATTTCCAACTTCTAACTCGGCTTTCAGATGATCGGAGAGCCGGAGAAAGAAAATTACCCGATTGAAGTGAATGTCACTACAAGGATGATCAAAATGATAAAAGATAATTTCTTGTATCGGCGCCATCCGATGAAGTTCTTCAGCTATGCAGCTCAAGGCGAAAAGGTTGGTTTGATAAATGACTTTTCGAGAGTTCTTGCAAGGTTCTTTTTCGCTTCAAAAAACGGGTTTTCGAGACCTTTTCGAAAAAAAAAATAAAACCATTTTCAGAAGGATTTGCGTTTTGATCTCGATTTGATCTTTTGATATATTGAATTCTTGACTTCTCGATCTTTTGGTTTTTTGATTTCATGTGACTTATGCCCTAATAATTTTTTTTACTTTCATTTCGATTGATAAACCAATACAAGCACACCTCTTTTTAGCCCAAATTGTAAATTTTATTTTTCAAAAGGTTTTTAGTTGATAATTGATTGAAGAAGCAAGTATTTTTTAAAAGGTATTTTTCAAACCCTTTTTTTAGGAAACGGAGTTCATGTTCGCCTACATTGCCAAAAATCATCAGGAACTCGACCGGAGGTGTCACGTCATGCAATCAGAAGATGTTAGTTGTTTTTGGAGGTTTTCAGTTGGGAAAAGCCTAAAATGCCTGAGTCTAGAAAGCGAGGAAATGCCTACTTAGGTAAAGTCGTATGAGTCCAAAAAGGCTACATAGAAATATTCCTTTTAGGGTGACAATGGATCCTTTTTGGCTGCCTTTTCGCACCATTTCATCGCCTTTTATGCACCAGTTTTGCTCCTTCTCCCCTTTCCTACCAACTTTCGATCCTTTGAAAGAACAAATGGAAAGCTCGATAAAAAAAATTTTCGAGCCTTCCTCTTCTTTTCAAAGCTACTGGGAAAATTCTTAGTGGCCACTCTAGAGGCTCGCTAAGTACTACTTGGAGAGGACACTAAAGTGGCCACTAAACCCACCTCTATAGGGGCCACTATTTTCCGTTTTAGTAGCCACTATAGAGCATCTCTATTTAGCGGCCACTTCAGTAGTATTTCATCCAGTATTCCTTCCAGTAGCTCTGATAATTTAAAACAAACAGATTGGACCAGTTATGTTGATCCATTGACCCCTCATGTGGCCACTGAAATTTTTAGTGGTCTGGTAGTAGCACTTAGACCTTCATAGTGGCCACTAATTTTAACCCCTTAATTCGCCACTAGTTTGACTACTATAGTGGCCACTAAATTTTCCCAGTAATTTTTACCATTTTGTATCCAATTTTTCTTTTCCTTCATCGAATTTCTTGTTTTATCCAATACTTCATCCAAGTTTTAGTACTCCCATTTTTCATCGAAAAAGTTTTTCCAAAGCTTAAATAACCGAAAATCCCTTTTTCAAAAACAAAAAATGTATGAGAGTTTTGTAGGCGGTGAGAGCGATGAAAGTTCTGGCGGACGCGATTTTGGTTGCCAACGGCGACGATCCGCTGTCTTCGGACACGGTTTGTTGATAAGCTTCACCAGGAGAAGTGTGGAATTGTGACTTTTGAGGCACTTCCCCGAGAATTGAAGGGCCTGACGTCCAATGAAGACTCCAACTCGCAGACGTGGTCCCATCCGCCGGCTCGAATCGGAATGGAAAGATCTAGTGAAACCACTCCGAGACCCTCTCTCGCTGGGTATTCCGGTCAGTGAGGGAAAGGGGAAAACTCTGAAAATTGATGGTAGTAAATACTTTTGATTGTTGAAATATCAAAAGAGTTTAGGAGCTTATGCCGTGTTCAATTTGATAACGCGAAATGCAAAATACCCGTTAGAGAAAGGAGAAGATCACTACATTTTGGAGAGTCAGAGATCATTTTGCGTTTCGCGGAATCAAATTGAACACGGCATTACTTCTGACGTTATATTTTGCCCCTATTTTCGTTTTAAATTCATCACACAGACATCCTATAGGGGTAAAGGAATTTTACCAAACGACTATTTTGGCCTTCACTTCATTATTAATTTCACTTCTTTACGAAAATATACAAAAAATGATCTGGAACCAAGACTTTTTGTTCAGAAGTTCCCCCGCCTTACGATCCCTCGATGGACAACCTCATGGAACAGCCCTGGTACCACGGAGTGATGTCACGCGAAGAAGCCCACAAGCTTCTCAAAAACGAAGGCGAATTTCTAGTCAGGTAGATGGGCGGCGGCGGAAAAGAAGGAGCTTCACGGTCGACTTTGCAGGCAGAGTAATCGCTCGCCGGGCCAGTACATCCTCAGCGGCTTGCGCGAACAGAAACAGCCCAAACATCTGATTCTACTCGACCAGAACAAGGTGGGTAGCGAAAAAAAGAGGAAAGGCGGAAATGGAAGGTTTTTTTTGAAGAAGAAGAAGAAGGAAATGGCTTCATGTTTCTAATGGAGATGGTGTCATTAGGTGAAACAAAAAATAGGAATCTAGCTTGAAAGTTTGAATCGACTGGGCCAGAATAAGGTAAGTGAAAAATTATGTAAAGAATGAGAAGAGATGTTGGTTTTTCCAAAAAAAAGGAAAAGAAATAAAATAATTTCACTTTTCTAATGGATATAGAGTTATTAGGTGAGGGAAGAAAGAAAAAAAAAAGCAAAAGAAGAAAAAGAAAACAAGTTCAAGCCTTTGATTCTACCCGACCTGAACAAGGTAAAAAATGAAAAAAAAAATAGAAAAGCCGGAAAGGGAAGATTTTTTTCGAAAAAGGTAATGGTTCCATGTTTCTAATGGATATGGACTCATTAAGTGAGAAAACATGGCAAAAAAAACCGAAAAAAAAGGAACCAGTTCTCATTTTATCTAATGACCTGGGTAGAATTATTAGAGGCTAAGAAAAAATTTCAGTTCTCAATATTTAAAAAAAAAGACAAAAAAAGTTGAAATTATCGAAAAAAAATTTTAAAAAAAAGAGGTGAATATTCTTAATATTCGGCCCCCAATATTGGAGCATTCACAGTTTACACTCACGAAAGTTCGCGGACTTGAAATTCGGAAGCAAGAATAATTCCAAACATATATTTTAAATACACGGAAAAAAACAAAAAGGATAATTTCAGCAAGTGAGAACCCGTGAACGAATCTTCCCAACGATTGAATCGCTCATCGACTTCCACGTCAAAAATCGAGTCGCCGTCGTTTCCGAAGGCAGCACACTTCACCTTCTTTATCCCATCGTCAGGAAAAGACCTCTATTGAATCTTCAGAAACAAGTCTTCAGTTGAAAATTGTATATTTTTGCTTTTGAAAAAGTGACCTCGAAAGTAGAGTTGTTGATTTGATACTTGCACTAAAGCTGCGCCAGACCTTGAGCGGCTTTTGTAACTCTTTGCCCAAGGATGCCACTGAGCGCAAGTATTTGTCCTTGGCTACATTGTTTTCTGAGAATGATTAAAATTTGCCCATTTTATTCGAAATCGTTCTTCGCAACTTGAAATGATTTCTCTGCGCCCTCCTCGTCTCTCGGTGACCCTCTCATGTCGCCGTGCTATTTTCATGTTTCTCTGACCTCGCCTGTGAGAGAACAAAGAGACGCAGACAGGCAAGAAGCATCAAGTCGCGGCGAATGGGTTATAGTAGAATCATTTTGAGTCAATATTTATCCCAATCATCAATCTCAAGAAGTGTGAGGAAAATGTGTACAGTAACCCTTCTTTGTAATTGTTTTTCAAGCCATTGATTGAAAAAGATCTTTAAAGATTTTTTTTCTGATTTTACCAAGTTTTGTAGTCAAGTTCTGTGATTGTGAGCCATTATCATTTGTGATTTTCATTGATTTCCATTTTTTTGTTGAGATAATTAGCATTCAATTTCTTGTTGGTTTTAATAATTTTAACCATGGTTTTTTGTTCGAAACTCGTAGTATGATTCCTGTGATTTCTGGTTTTTCCATTTGTGACCTAAACATATTTTGTTGATTCCTCTTGTTCATTTATTTTATACCCAGTTCAAAAAATATTTTTCAACCCTCCCTTTCATATCTCTCTGCCTCCTGGCCTTATCTCATATTTTTCCTAAAATCGGGAAGCGAAACTTTTTTCAAAGAAACATATTTGAAGCATCTCTTTGTATTTTTTTTTCCCGCCATGACCAATTTGTGAGCTCTTCTGTGAGTTTACTAATAAAGTATTTCAGAAATAGGTTGATTTCCTCGTTTTTTTATATTATTTCATGAAGAAGGACTGTAAGAAAAGGGTTTTCAGGAAGAAAAATGCAGTTCAAAAAAATTTTGAAAATCACAAAGATGATTTTTTTTACATGGTTTGGTTTTAATTTATATTTTTTTCATAAAAAGTTTCTAAAACTTTTTTTTCTCACTGTTTTCTTATTGAAAAACCTAAACTTACTGTCCCGACTTTATCTGACCAATTTTTGAATATTTTTCGAAAGTCAGCAGTAAAACTTGCTAACGTGGTTCATCAGTTTCTTCTGGCTATTCCTTGACCTTCCAAGGAGCTTTACTCGTTTCTTACCTAACCAAACTATCAAATCTTTTACTATTTACTACGGTACCAATCCTTACCTTTTCAGCTTCTCCCTGACCACTCTGACCTATGTTTCCATGCCGGCAAACACGAGTCAAGGAAGGATCCAGAGTGCGCCCATTATCCCGTCACTTAGAATGTCTTGGAATGAAATGCAACCCGCTAATGCCGTACTCCTCACGGGGGGAAGGTAAGCAACAGAAGAAAAAAAGAATGGAAAGAAGACTCCGACTACGCAACCGGACCGCCTCAATTGCGTCGTCCGACTCGGGGTTATTAAGTGTACCAGAAGACGCCGCTCCGCCGACAAAACTTTGCTTCTTTTCCTTTCCTCCCCCAGTTGCCATTCAAATATTGGGTATCAACTTTTGCTTTTCCTTCTTTGTTGACCTTTTCTGCTTTTGTGAGTCTTAATTCATCTTTTATTTATTATTTGCTTAATCAATCAACTTTCAATTTTTTTCGATTAAAAATTTCACTGTTAACTCATCTTGATGTGGGTTTTTCTAATCCATCAGATCAAATCTGTGTTCAAAACTGTCAAATAGCTCTTTGAAAAAATCAGGAGCGTGAAAATTTCAAAAAATGTTTCATTTTTAGGCTTTTTTTTCAGTGTCGGTTGAAAAATTGGATAACAACTTTTGATTTTTCGATTCGATTATACATTTTTTGAGCCTTCTTTTGTGTGGACAGCCAAAGATGCCTGTCAAAAAAATTTGTCTCCAACTTTGATAATATTATTTCCTTTAGTCGGCTTTCTCCTACCCCCCTCCCTTCAAACTGCCACACGAAAATGTATCAGTTTTCGATTTCATTTTTAGTTGACCTTTTTGGATCTGCATCTCCTTTTTGGGAGTCTTACTATATCTTATATTTATTAGTTGCTCTTATAATATTCGCCCCCCAAATGAGTAAAATTTTTGAATTTTGGATCGATTAAAAAAGTTTTGAGTCTTTCTTTATCTAGATTCGCTCTTTTCCCTAAGAAAAAAACAGCGTGGGGTTCAGAATTTTGACGTTTTCAAAAAATTTATGATGTTTGAAATTTCCCTGGCCCAATTTGGAATGATCCAAGTCTTAAAATGAGATCAACTTTTTTTTTTCTCGAGTTTTCTCCCCTTCTGAATGATAATCCTGTTTTCTATTAAACTACCTCAAAAAGAATTAAGGTAAACGACCGTGAGACTCCTGAATACTCTCATCGGCAGCGCTGGCGAGATGCTGGCACGGAGCCAGCTTCTCCTCCAGCTCCTACCGTACCTCGTCCTCGGGGCGCCGACGATCATCAACACGTCGATCGCCTGCGACAAGGTTTCGTTTGGCCGAATTGCCAAGGACGTCTTTTGTGACACACACGAGTTAATTCCCACTTTTCCGCCTTTCTCGAGGCTCGGTTACGCACTTTTGGAGGTGAATAGGTCGGCCGGGAGTTCGTTCCAGTTCCGTAGGAAATTGGGCCTTTTTTGGAGAACGGAATGGATTTTTATGATGAAAACCATCTGCCCTTTCACGGGAGTAAAAGATGAATGGTCCACTTGGTATTTTCTTTGAACTTGAAATGAATTATATTTTTTTGAAGGAACTTTTAAAAGAGAAACCGTTTTTTTTATTGAAGTGAGAGCAAAGCTTGATGAACAATATATTTTGAAATTAAATTTCTTAGTTTGATTTGTGATTTTCTTTGAGCTTTAAACTCGAATCAAATTGATTTCAGATTAAATAGTGACTTTGACAACTCTTGTAAGCTTTGAGATTCCTCCATTTTCTCGGGTAGTTTGGTCTTTTTTGAAAGAGGTAAAGGATTTGTAAAGTGAAGATCATTTCCCCTTCTACTAAAATAAAAGAAAGAATGGATCCATCCAAAAGTTTGACTTCAAATTGTACTAACCAATGGTTTGAAATGTTATTTTTTTTCAATATTTGAATTTGACTAGTTTGATTTTTTTGGCAAATAACCAATTCTGACTGAAGTTGGAAGAAGGAAAAATGAGGCTCTGCTGAAAGTTATTCACCAAGAGTTTGAATCCTAATTTTTCCCAGTTCCACAGAAAATGGACCTTTTTAGAGAAGGATTTTGATTTTCAGGGTTCTATTTACTCTTTTCCTCGAGAAAATTAAGTAACTGGCCCATCAAAAATGGGACTTTTAATAATAAAACTATTTGCAAAGGTATTTTTTTGAGCTTTGAACTTCAAATAAACTAGTTCTCAGATCAAGTAACAATTTAAAAAGTTGGCATATTTTTTTATCGGCAAAATATTTAATAGTCAAACCAGTGTACCGTTATTAGGTGATGATTTTAGAAAATAAAAAAGTTCCGTCTTGTGAATATTTTTTCTTAATAGGAAAACAAGATTCATATTTCAAGAGCATTGAATTTATTGAAGAAAAAATTAATTTTTCCAGCAAGTGTTAGTTCAAAGTCACTACTTTTCGATTCCGATGTGCTTTTCGAAGTCGACAATGTTTCAGACCGACTTCCTCCTGAAGATCAAGTTCAACGAGACGTTCCACGGGAGCATTTTCACCCAAAAAGGGGATCCCAATTGCGTTTACGTCAATGGAACACTTCAACCCGATGAAAATTATCAGATCAAGGTTTTTTTTTTTTCGCGTTTTTAATACTTGTGATAGCACTGTGCTAGTGATCAGAACTCATTTCCCATATGTCTTTTGCAAGTTTTGCTTCTCAAATCGCGAGAAAAAAATTGAAATCTTCAGAAAAAAACGGAAATTTTTTTCAATCAACATTTCACTTGATTTTATGAATCTCCACTTCATATTTTTTTGAAAAAAAAACTTTTTCAGATTCCTCTGAATGGATGTGAAACTCACGAAAATAAAGAAGGACATCTTGAGAATGAAATCGTGGTCCAGCAGTCCAATCAGTATGTTTTTTTCTGATCAAAAAAAAAAAATGAAAGAATTCAGTTTCGACGTGGCCACAGACAAGAAGTTTCTTCTCACTTGCATTCCAGCCGCTCCTATTTTCAGGTTACTTTTTTTAATCCAGAAATAATGGAAAACATAAATTTTTTGCTTCTGGAACAGTCTGACCTGTCTGCGATCTCTTTTCCCTCACTATAGAAATATGAAAATAGTGCGTGGTTTGGAGAGAGTTGCAGAGAAATCAGGTTTTAGAAAAGCGATGATTTGTTTCAGAAAGATAGCGAGCTGTAATTTGAGTTTATTTCCCTTCTCTTTTGGTCTTTCCCATCTCAAAAACAGGCTATCATGAGCAATGCTGAGGAAAATGAAAACCGAGAAGGATTCCAGAGATTCGCAAGTGACCCTGTCGTTTGGCGGAATCACCATCGATTCAGAAGCCACCACGGCGTCGACCTTGGAGAATAAAGCCAAGGTAATCAATTATTGATTCCTTTTTACACACTTTTCTTGGCCAAAGATGACGTTTTTTTGAAAATTTCAATCCTATAAATTTTTAAAACACCAATCAATCAAATCTTTCAATCAGAATCGACTAAGCAGTGAACAAGAACTTTTGAACCAGACTTGTAGTTGATCAAGTTGAAATCATGATCTTATGGTTGACCTTCTTGTCCTTGTGTCCGTAGTTGATCCAGTTGTGTCTTGACGGGCTCAGAATGTAGTGGATGGTGTAGCTGGAGCCCGGAAACCGTGCTCTAGGTGAATGCCTCGGAACGAGAGCGACCACTTCGAGTGAAGACTTAGATTCATCCCGGAAAACGGATTTTTGTGTTTGAAATTTTTTACAATGCTGTTCAAATCCGGAAGACTTTTCAAGTACCAATCTATCAAGCTCTCTTTCCATTTTTCAGTAACCACATTTGTTTGCAAAAAGATTCTTGGCACAGATTAGGAATCAGCTTGAAAAACTGCAGTGAAAAACTGCAGTGATAAAATAAGATAAAACAAAAATGTTTGACCCTTATCATTTCTCCCATTTTCAGGTTGATTATGAAGTCAAAGTTCTGGACGGCGAAGATTTGGCCTCGAAACCATTGACCCGACCTCTCTCAGTTGGCGACAAAGTTGTGAGTTTCAGAAAAAAAAATCTTCGAATCATGGAAAAGTTTCATTGAGAGATAATCTAATGAAAAAAGCCGAAAAAGAGGGAAAAACTTAATTTTCGAGTTTTCCTTTCATTTTTGCATAAGATTACATATCTTCTAATTAAAAATTCCCACTTTGAGAATTTAATAATGGGTCTATCCAAGAAGTCAAAATCTGAATTAATTTCTTGAAAAATGCAAATTTTTTTATTCAATATTCAAATAATTTCAAAACCAAACTGTAGTTTCTAGCAAGCTCAAAATAGGGGAATGAAGCTTTTTCCTATCAAATTAATCCATTCGAATATATCGCCTCAAAAAAATTAAATAAAAAAAGGTAGAAATGGACTTAAGATAGCGCTTTTTGCTCTATCTGATCCTACAGATCACTTTTTTCTTTCATTATCGAATAATACTCTCTTTTCCACTTTATTTTTGTCTTTTTATTTCATATCATAAATATCGCAGCTATTGCATTGGAGAGCTTTTTGGGTATTTTTATGAAAAAAATCGATTTTTTTCCGCTTTTTTTGAGAATTTTTTTGTTTCATTTTTTTGTCAGATTTGTCCACAACAAGTCGCTTTTTTTCTTCTTTCACTTCAAAAATTTAGATTTAATCGTAGTGATAAATAACAATTTTTTTCACATTTTCAAAAAGTATTTGAAACAGTAAGGTTGCACAGTGGCTCTTTTAACAGTTATACATTTTTCAGAGCTTTTTGATGCTTCATCTTTTTTTGAAAACTGAACGGTTTCTTATCTTTTTCACCTTTCCCCACTCGATCTTAAAAATTTTTAATCTAACAAAAACTAAAACTATTATAAAATCCTTTCAGACCTACATGGTGGAGCTTCGAGGCGAAATGAAGAGCAGGATCGGCCGATGTTGGGCGAACGACGGAAAAAAAGTGAACTTCCGCTTTCGGATAGCCAGGGATGTTCCCTACAAAGAGCTGGCGATGTGAGGATTTTCAATAAAATATTTATTTTGGCGAATATTTTTTTCTGTAGGGCTTAGTCTCGGTCAACGTTAAAGAGCAGCAGAATATATTAAAAATATTTAAGAATATTTTTTTATTATAATTTGCTTTTTAGAAACAATTTAAAAAGAAGAAGGAAAAATGGGTTTTTCCACTCATTTTTTTCTTAATTTAAATCAGAAATAGAGCCAAGGCCGATGAAAAAAAGTTTAAAAACGAGTTTTAGCTTTTAAATTTGGGATTTGATACTTTAGAATAATTTTTTTATTTTTTTGAAAAAAACTAAATCTTCATCTATTTTTTCGAAAAGCTATGAATCCGGACAGTTTTCGAAACTTCTTGGGTTTGAGAAAGAGTCTCAAAATGAAATTTGCAGGTCTGGGGCGATTTCGAAGTGATCAGACACCACGACCGTACTTCTTTCATGAACCACATCAAGGCCTGGGCTTTCCCGACCAGGTTTGAAGTTTCGTTGAGATTTTGTTCAAGTAGAAGAAAAATTCACGATTTTTCACTATGGTTAGTAAACAATGCCCAAAATCATTTTCAAGAGACGCTCTCAAAGTTTTTTTCTGATGAGAGTTCATTCATTTAAACGGTGACTTTATATAATTTTATTATCCCATTTTTCAGTTTTTGGCTGACGGACCTATCTGAAGTTTTATAAGAGATAATGAAAAAAAAAAATTTTTGTTGAGATTTTTGATCCCGCCTTGTTCATGGAAATTTTCTTTTCTATTGCAAAGTAGGACATTTTTCCGTTATTTAGAGTTTTAAGACATTCATCCTGGGCTCACAAGACCCCAATGCGTCAATTAAAAAATTCAAAAAAATTGAAATCTAAGAAATGGGGGGTGGTTCTAGTACTATTTAGGTTTACTTTATTTATAGGTTTACTTTATTTTATTTATTTAGGTTTAAGTTAGCTTAACAACAGCAAAAAAATCGTCATTTTCAAGAAACTTCAATTTTTTTATTCTGGAAAGAAAAATCTTTCTGCGTCGTTTTCAGCACAAAAAAACTGTTAGTATAGGAAATTTTTTTTGTTTTTTTAAATTTAGCTTGAACCGATTTGCTCAACTAGGAAAAAGTACTGATTTCTATGGTGTTTTTTTCTACAGTGAGCCGCAAAGTGGGCGGAGCTTTATAAAAAAATGGTTTTAAATATTCTTATAGGCTGATTTTATCTATGATAGTGAGAAGAGCTCTCAGAAAAAATGATAAAATTTATGCATCCTTGGTTTTTCGAAAATATCGGCTAACGTTTGACCCCAAATAGTGCTGCTCATTTTTTTACCGGCCAACCAAATATTTCAGAAATTAAATCAACATCCTCATGAAAAATAGGCCTTCATCCTTTTCAACTTCCCTTAATTAATTTTAATGTTCAGCAACGAAGTGAACATCTTCTGCAACCTGCACGTGTGCGCCACCTGCGAACAGACCAACTGTCGGGATCGTCAGCGACGGACACCGGGACTCCCGGGAGACCCGCCAGGGATGCGTGACCCGTTCTCAGCGCCCATCGACACCTCCGACATCTCGCCGCCGATCCCGATCCGGACCTCTTTCCGGCTGAAACGGGAAAGCAATGTTGCCACCATGCGCCCGCAGAACGTCGGCACGTCTTCTGAAGGGGCGAATAGCTCGTCTTTTGTTGGATCTTACACAATGATTCTTGTCTTCTTCGTTGTTACAACCATTTTATTTTACTTATAGCGAGATTGATTTTATTTGAAATAAACTTTTTTTTTCATTTTGGTGCTTGGAAAGGTGAAACTTGCGTTTTAATGATATACTTCTTCATGAAGATTCTCTCAAAACTTCTTGATTTTGTTTGAAGAAAAAGATTTGATGAAGATTTGAGCCTGTTGAGCCCAGAATTCTGTTGGAAATGGTTTTCAGACCAACGTTTCTGTGCAGTGATCACTCTAGTGACCACTTTAGCGGCGTCCCCACTCTTAAGTGATCCCTAGACCTGCTCAGAAACGTCCGGCTGAGCTTCTCAGATTTTTCATCCGTTACCAGCTCAAATTTTCAAAACTTTTAACCTATCGTTTGAAAATATTTTTCCCTGTCTTCTTGAAAAAAAAACTATCAGCTAAAATGTATAGAGCCCTTCTCAGTCGAAAAATGATCTGGCACGAGCTTGTCAGAATTGTTTTTAGCTGCTCCAAAGTCTATCCGTCTTCCTCAACACTCCCTATATTTGTTGTGAGAAGGGCAAAAAATTAATCCGTGTATGACGGCCATCTGGCTGACAGACGACTGTCACTCACACTCGGAGCCGTCGGCTCCCAGAAGACGTGAGCTTCCGACAAAGTTCTGAGGGCTTCACGAAGTTTTGAGATCCCCAGAGGAGAGGAAAGGACCGTAAACACTTGCACTCGCCGGCCGACCGGCCCTGCACAGATGCGCCAAAGATGATCGATGTGGCCGACGTTTACAGGCAGCACGACGACCCACTCGGCGCCAGACATCCCCCTTTTTGACGAGTTGCATTTGGGAGACACCTAGCAGAGGCTTTTTTCGAAACAGTTTCGCGCAAGCTCTCACTCTCTAGACGTGTCTGACTAGGCCGTCGTTGAACTTTTATTGAAACTTTGCTAAAATGGAACCTCTGATTACAAATCAAGAAAAAGGGTTTCCTGACTCCACCAGTGAAAAATTGCTCGCATTAGATCTTGTTTTCGATTTGAAAGCTAAAAAGTTTGCAAAAAACGCAAATTATGACAAAAGAAAAGCGCTATGTCAAGCCTTTGAAGCGTTTTAATTTGAAAAAAAGATGTATTGCGAGACATAATTTTTTTGTCCTGGATCCAGGAGCTCTTAAAGTACACTTCAGCAAAGTTTCTTCTAAAAATTCAGCCGTGGGGGTAAAAACGTGCCCTAGTAAGGAGGACCAAAAAAACTTTTTTTCATTATCTTTTTTTGATAAAAATCCAGTTTATTTCAAAGTCCACTCCGAAATTTTCTTTTGTTTTTTTGTCATACATCAATTGAAGAACTATGAAAACTTCCAAAAGTAGAACTCCTAAGTGATCCCTAAAAGAGCTCAGAAACGTTCGGGCGCGTCCGATTTGCCTTATCGAGACCCGATTTTTTTCTTTGTTTTCTGATATAAATTAATTAAAGGCCACTTTTTCCGAGAAAAAAAAACCTAGAACCTTTTTCCTGTTTGGCTCTCCAAGAAAGTACTTCCCGGAGCCTTCAAAAACTGACACAGCGGTTGGTTTCGGTGGGGGATTTCGACCCGAGGCCTCGAGGGAGGCGCTCGTCGGTGAATTATGTCGGTGGCCGAGTTGGCAGCCGTGCCTTCCGTCGAGAATTCGCGGCTTTTTGTCAGAGATTTCTTCTTTTTTTCGTCTTTTTGGGTCGGAACAGGCTGGTACTCGAGGGAGAAAGAGTTGTTGATAACTGGAAGGAAGGTCGAGTCTCGGCTTGATCTTTGATGAGAGAAAAAAATCTGAAAGGGGTTTGGAAAGGCTTAAGAAATCAGACGGGGTCACTTCTTCCGTTTTTTTATTATCATGAAATGAATAAAAACTTATGATGATGGTCGCAGTGGGAATGGCTCAAAGCATTGCGATGACGTCGCGGTTAAATTCGTGTCTGAAGCCGATTCAGTGATTTTTTTGAATATTTTCTAATGCCTCTACGCGTAAGCAGTTTTGTGTCGGGCGCTGCCACGGATACAAAAGTTTTCTTAACTTTAGAAATATAGAGCGAACTTACCTGTAAGGAGATTTTGGACGATCACCTTTAGGATATTAAAAAAATCTTGTAACAAGTTTTAGTTTTTGTGCACAGCTTGAACCTCCTCCAGAGTTCAAAAACGATCAAAAACCTAAGATTTCGCTATTAGAAGTCATTAATGAAGCACAGAAGCATCATGAATAACGAAGTTTGTATTTTCCGTACAAAAAGAAAAAAAAATGATACAAGGATGAACTTTCCGATAAAGTATCAATAAAAAATTTCATGAGAACCAAATTCAAAAGGATCCGCTTTCCCATGACAAAATTTACATTTTTCGGGCGGTCGTAAAAATTTGATCATCATTTTTTGACTTCCAATATAAAATTCTTACGATCCGTAGAGAAGAAAATTGTACTACGAGCACCAAAAAATCTATTTCAAGCCACTGAATTTTCCTAAAATAACGACAAAGCAGTCCCATTTTTCTTCAAAATTCCTCTCCCGACTTTTTTGCTCCGATCCGAATGGAAAAAGCTGAAACACGACTCGGAAAAGAGCAGGGATTTGTTGGCACGTGCAAGGCGGCGAAGAAATTTGAATTCGTTTCATGTCGACCGCCGTCTGGCCGTTCCATCTTTGGCTCCTCGTAAATCATTTGCCATCGGATTTGACCCCCGCCTTCTTTTTCTTCCTCTCTTTCGCGCATGGTTATCAATCGGCATGCGAGCCAATGAACTTTTCAATTTAACAGCGTTGAATGACAGAAATAAAGAAGCAACAATAAGGAAAGATTTAAAAGATGATACAACGTTTGATTTTTACAAAATACGATACGTAGTCGTGGTGCTTACAGACTACAACTTGTGGTATTTGATCACACGCGCAATTTCCGTTGGGTGGAATTTTTCTTTTAAAATTTTTAAAAGTAAACTTTTTCGGAAGCTAACGTTTAAAGTAATTATTTTTCGATTTTCACGATGTGTTCTAAGTGTTCCGCGGTTTTTTTCAAGGTCTAGCCTTGTAATAAGCACCGATAAAAATCTTTTTCGCTCTGATAAATTCATGAAATTTTCCTGCGCTACAGAAACATTTAGTTTTCTTTTTCTTTCAGATTTCTTTTTTTGGTTCAAAGGTTTTTTTAAATCTTGTCGAAGATTCTGGAACAATAAACGTAAGTGTCTCACAAAAAAATTCCTGAAACCAGTTTAAAAAAAGTTCGTTTTGGCAGAATTATTAAAAATCGGCACGTCATTTAAAGTTTTTCAGAGCACTTTAATTTTCTTGTAAATTTTAACTTTTGCAGGAAAAAAACGGAAAAATATAGAAGCATCAAGTTATCGACATGTTTATGGAACTCGTGATTCTTCGAATAGTGAAGGTTTTTTTATTTTTAAACTAAAATAAAACTAAAAATTGAAGAAAAACCAATTTTTTCCATTCAAAAACTCTCCAAAAAGGGCGCAATTTTGACTTTTTTGGAAACTATGCCTTGAGAAACGATTTTGGCAACGAAAGAGCCCAGAAATCTGGACAAATGATGCACAAACAAGACCCAAATTCACTTTCGAAAGTTTCGCCATTGTTTGGGAGCAAGTTTCTCAGCGGAAACACAAAAGTTCATCAGCAGTCTTTTCAAAAAAGAAGAAGTTTGAGCGCCTTTATTTCAGAACTGAAAAGAAGAACGGCGTTCTTTCCTTAACTGGAAAAAAAGAGGGGAAAGTTGGAAAAGGAGCTAATTAGCTTTGTGAGGAAGCTTTTGAAGGGGAGAAAAGGGGGGGAGGATTATTGGGTGACAAGGAAATTTGGGTCGCTTTCCTTGCTTTTTCTGGAGTAACACGAGGATTTTTTCGAAATAGTTTGATTGAAACTGCTTGGTTTTTCAAAAAAAAAAGAAGAGCTACTGGGAGTATGGAGAGCTTTTCAAAAAATTAAAGTTGAAGTTCAGAATTTTTTTGAGAATAAAAAAATTGTTGAACTTTTTCCTAACTCTGTGGGGATATTTATCGATTTGCAACTATTTTTTCTGAATTTTTTTGGTACTTTGGAACCCAGATTTAGTTTCTTTTTTTCTCCCACTTCTTTCCGTGAATCCTTAATTCCTAGTTGGATTTCCATCTTATTTTTTTCTAATTTTCATTTTAAAAATTTTAGAAATAGGTTAGTATTAATTTGACTTTGGAGCAAAATTTGAATTTTTTTCACAAGGAAAGTTTTTTTTTTTTTTAAAAATCCAGTAGTAAAGAGATTAATATTTCAATAATCTTCACAAATATTTTTTTCTTGGAATACAAGCTGGTTGAAAAATTTTAAGCGGATTCAAATTTTTTTTTGGCTTTCTTGAAGATTTTCCAAACTTTACCTCAAATCTCCTTCTCTTGTACTTTGAATTGAATAAGCCAAGATGATCTGGAAATTACTCGGCTAACTTTCCCCAAAAAGAAACAGTACGGGAATCAGGAAGAGACCAGAGAGATGGGCGGCGCCTGAGACCCCGCCCCCTTTTCTCTCGCCTCTCTCTTCTCTCTGCCTCTATCGTCGGCCCATTCCATCCGTCGCCTTTATTGCTGCCATGCTGACCGCCGGCAGCAGCCAGCTGATTATCAGTCTATTTCAACTTTCACTGCTTTTCTCACCGATTTCCGCCGGCGTTGGCCGTTTCGAAGTCGGTCAGAAGGAAAAATGCGAAAAAATCCAACATGAGCTCTGCAACGACCTGCCCTATAATACCACCAGGTACTGAACTTTTTCCGGATCATGTACGAAAATCCTCGCGGAGGCGTTTGAAGGAGAACACAATTTAAGGAAGGTCTTGAGGCGAGAAGCCGTTTTTTGCAGGATTTTAAGCTTAGGCCAAAAAGTTTTTGCACTCAAACGCCTTAACAGAATTTTATGAACATTTTTAATCATTTTCAATGAATTGCTTGTTTTGTGTTATTTTTTCGGGAAAATGAGGGAATCTCTTCATTTTTGCTTTTAATTGAAGCTTTTTGTTTTGCTGGTGTTTTTGGTTTCTTCAAATCGTTCTTTATTCAAAATCTGTTCGCTAGAAGCTTCCTTCTGAAGATCTAACATTATGTCCTTACATATTTTTCAAACTTCCAGTTTAGTCGTTTTAAAGGGCTTGCAAGGATAAATCATTATTTTTCCTTATCTTCCAACTTTTAATCAGTTCATGAATTTTTTTTATGAGTCATATAGGCCTTTTTAGCTCCCTTTTTCAAGCCACTGGACTGAACATGACACTTTATTTCGAGAAAAATAGATTTCCTTGAGATTTTTAGATAAAAGTTGACAATTGAAAATGAAAATTGAGATCAAAATGGAAACCTGGATTTTTTCGTTGATGTTTCTGAGAAAATTTTGAAAATTGAACTTTTTTCGAGCGTGGAAAAATTTTCGAATAAAATTGATTATTTTCAAGAATTTTTGACAAAACTCCAAGTTTGAAAAGTTCTTCTAAATCCACAAAGTGGACCGTTTTGAGATGTTTTTTGATTCTATTGAAAATATCGATTAAATATATGACTAAAACATCAAAATCATTGAGTGCTTGATTGATTTATTGATTTATTATAACAGTTTGCGCTGTCACAACAAACAAGATGATATTAGGGTCAACTGATTATTTGGGAGGGGCTATTGAGATGATGATTATGACGGTGGTAGATCATTTACGGGGCCAACCCGATCGATATCTCTGTACCGCAGAAAAAAAGAGAAGGAAAGTGATAAGGAAACGTGAGCGCCGTGTGCAGCAAACATGCTAATGGCCTTTTTTTTGCTGGATCGAGGCCAAAAATGGACATTTTTGCAGAGGATTTGAGAGGAGTTTAGGCGGAAAGGCTTGGATTTCTATCAGATATACTTACTCTGAAAATAATTTTTTAAATCAGTTGATAGTTGTTTGAAGATCATTAAACATGTCGATTTTTTGAAAAGAAATTTTTTCGTGGAAGTTTTTGATTTGATAGAAAGCCATTTTTCGTAACTTGTCTGTTCGAAAATCATCTTCGTAACGTGAATTTCACTCAAGGAAGCCACCGAAATTCACTGAAAGTTCACTATTTGTAGTTCAAACCGATCCAAATCTGTCCTAAAACAATACAAAAAGGCATCAAAACGGAAATCGCGCCTCTTTCGCCACACGACCAAGCTGACATGCAGCTGTGGCGAAAGAAAGAGCGGCTCGTAATACAATTTACTCGTTCGCTAATTTTTTCTTCCTTTTTTCTCATCTTCCTCGTCATCACTTCTCGCCAATCTTTCTGCACAAAGTGGTCAATGCCGAAAAAGGTGCATTTCCGGAGTGAAATTGACGTTCCAAAGGGAGTTACCGGACTAGAGAGGTGCAACAAGTCTCCATTTTTCTCACGGAAAAATTTCAAGCTTGAGTTATATTAATGGAATATTGATCTTGGAGGCGTTATTGTCTTTTCGGATTTTTCAGATTTTTTAAAATTGTATTTTCGGAATTAAAATTAATGAATAAGTCAATTGATTTTCAAGCTTCATCATCTAATTATTAAAAAAGTGTCTAACCTTTTTTCTTCCCATTTCTAAAAATAAGACCGTCATTTCTTCTTTTCTTTTCGCAACATTCGGTTTCCCATCGACCAATTTTTCAAAACAAAGAAGTCAAACAGAGAAAGAAAAAAAATAAAGTTTTGGGACGTCTTTTTCTCTCTCTCTCTTTCTCGCGTCGAGACCATTTTTCATCCGACGGCAGGCCCCTCTCTTTTGCCTCGCGATTGCAAATCAGATACGCTCCAGGGGAATCTTTCGAACCGTTTTAATAAGAGTTTTGAGCTGGGTTCTGGGAGAGGAGTGATTGCAGTTCATACACCGATGACTTGAGAATACATTGAGCGAAGGTCTCGGAGCGGTTGACGATGTATTGTGGGAAAAGAAGTGGTTTATAAGGATCTGTAGAACTTCTGATTAAAGGGAGAACTTTTCAAAACGCTTATTGAAAGTTTTGAGGGGAATTTCGGAAGTATGAAAGAGGTAGTTAATGATTTTGCCTTTAGAATAAAGTTTATCAGGACCTAGACTGTCAGGAACGCCAGTGTAGTCCAGAGGGACAGCCTTACCTCCTATGGCAGCAATAAAGCTTACAAAAGTGGCACCTCTAGGGAGCATTTTGTCGTTCATTATCATTTATTCTATAATAACCACTTGATAACCTAAAATCTTGAACTCCTATAGAGACCACCTAAATTTTATTATTTTGTCCCCTACGATTTTCGCTAACTCTTAGAGGGACGCTTCCGACGTTTCCAAGCAAGATTGATATAATAGAGTGTGAAAAGAAGAGGTTCAGAAGGGTAATCCTGGCTCAAGATAAGAGTGAATGTAGTATGTATAGAATTAAAAGTACAGTTGGGGAAATCGGCAACAAGTGTCAGGTGGTCGTTTTGGGGGGGCAACTTGAGTGCCACATTAAAGTTGATCTATTGAGATTGGCGCTGTAGATCAATGTAAACTGGGTGATCAGGCGTGTGACGAGGAAACATTTTTTTTTTTTGGTTTTGCGACTAGAAAAGATTGGATATTGATTGGGGTTTGATTTATTTTTGTGGCAGAAAATCTAAAAATAGCTATTTTGAGGCTTTTTGAGCATCTCATTAGATTATTATTTCTTTACACGTGAGAAACAAGTTTTTCACGGTTCTTCGAGTCTGTATTCTTGTTAAAAAATGCACCATCTTCAATCAATCAAATCAATCAAATCATTTATTTTGTTGTTTTAGTCTGATGTAATCGACTAGGCGGTGAACAAGAACTTTAAAAGCTATAACGAACAACCGCCTTTGGCGAACTAGAAGTCCAAACGTGTAGTCGAAAGAGTTGAAAGAATGGTCTTACGGTCCTTCGCCTCGTCCTTCTGCGCGTAGTCCATCCAGTTGCGCCTTGACGAGCTCAGAATTTAGCTGATGTTGTGCTGGAGCCCGGAGACCGTGCTCTAGGTGGAAGCCTCAGAATGAGAGCGACCACTTCGAGTGAAGATTTTACACGGAATTTTACAGATTTTACACGGAAAATTCATATTACAATATTAAAAAAAAACATCTTGGCTCAATCTGAATGCAAGAAACCGCAACGCTGCCGCGACGCTTCAAGTCACTCCAAGTGCGGCATGGTTTTCTAAAAAAAAACTTCGGATGAAGATTTACAACTTAACGATTTAAGTTGGTCTGCAGAACTCATAGCTTCTCGGAAATGGGTAACTGAGTTAGGAAAAGTTTATTTTTAACCGTGTTTGCCTCAAGATTTTTGCAATGCCTTTTTCGTTCCAAAGCACAGCTTCTATGCATTCTCTATCATTATCAGTTATCAGTTGGCCCGAGGCGCTTATCAGTGCCTCGCTGGCAGGTCCTTGTACTCCCGGGAGCGAACAAGTAGCTCTGATAACGAACACTATCAACAGTGTTGGTGGAAAATATTATTAGAATGGAGAAGAGTTAGGATTTTCGACCTTTTGTTGAAAAATTCGAAATGTGAAGAAAATTGATAACCTTCTAGTCGTGTGCAAGCTCAAAGCATTGCGTCTGAAGTTAGAGAAAACGCGCGGAAGTCGTTTTGAGGTCGGGTGTACTTTTGGAGTGGGTTTATTGTCGTTTTTTGCTTTGAACCATTCCCCATGCGACCATTTTTCAAATTGGACTAAAAATGAACTAGATGAAAAATTCCAGGAATGAACAAAAAAACTGAGAATTTGGAGATCGAAAGAGGATTTTTAGGGGTCAAAAGCCGAATAATTGGGACTTTCCTCGTGATTTTTTTTTCTCCATCATTCGTAAGAGAATCCAATTTTCTTTTTTTTTTTGAAATCCAAAGTTATTTTTGGCCTGGAAACTGGGAAAAAGCGGCAGTATACAGCCCCACAGATGCAACAATCGCACACCTGTCGCCAATATTTCAGCGCCTCTCTGCCCGACGGCCCTTCCTTCTGTACGGCCATTCGCTTTTTCAAAATATCGAGTGTTGCGAATCGTTTGAGGGCCATGAAAGACGCAAAATGTTGCTTTTTCATCTGTTTTGGACGATCCGATTATGGAAATGAGTAAACCATACTTGGCAACGTTTCAATGTAGGTTTATAATCTGTGACGCTGGGAACTGATCGTTTTTTGGGATTTTCGACAGTTTCAAAAGCTTTATGAGGTCCTCGGAGATTGAAAAATATAATCATGAACAGTTTCATTAATTTTTGATTTTAAACTCTTTTTGAATTGAAAATGAGTCAATTTTGAGGGCTTTCAAATATTTTAACACTGTTTCAATGATTTTACTAACGATCGTTTATTTTTTTTTTGAATGTTGGAAAGTGAAATTTATGAAAATATACTCTTATTGACTTCATATTTTGGAACTTTCCAAAATTTTATGAAAAAGTTATTTTTTTCAGGTAGCCAAACCAAGAGAACCTCCCAAAATGCTCCTGCGTTTTAATTAGTCATGAATGTCGAGTTTTGAGCTTTTTTCTTTGCTCATTTTTCTTGAAAATTTTCTTTTTCGCATCCAAACTTGATTGAACTCCTAAAAAGGTTCGTGATACTGTTATCTCTTATAAAAATCGAAATTCGAGCTTCCTATATCAAAGAAATCTTCGTTCTCCGATTCCAAAGTCAAACCCTGCAAAAAGGTGTCTGCATCTTTTTTTTTCTTAAAAATCTGATTTCGAGCTTCTTTTCCGCTCAATTTCTGGAAATGAACTTCATTCTCCGATTCCAAAGCCAAGTGAACCTCCAAAAAGTTGCAACAAGGGAGAACGGGTCAGTGAGGGGAGGACGGAGGGAGGGTTGCTGCGCGTTTTTGATCTATCTCCGTGCTTACCATCACTCGTCCATTTGTCTTGTCTTGTCTCCGTCCATCCTGCCTGGCCGACGGAGGGCGCAGACACCCAAAGACTGAGCCCCTCAGAAAGTTGCAGCGATTGTAATTTGGGCCGCGGCTGCGAATGATGAACAACTTTTTTCGGGCCGTCACAGCCGCGGTTTTCCCACGCTCAATGGCGCGACAATTCCCTCGTTTGGGACCCTGTTGCCATTTTGATGCTCGTGCGACTTTCTTTGACTTTTTGAGCTTGCCGAGGTGCTCCGAAATGGAAGGAGAGGTTGTAAAATGAGGAAATTTGAATTTGAAGATTTTTGAGAGACTTTTTGACATTTTAACTTGCAGCGATGGAAAAGAAGGTTAAAAAAAAATAAAGGGACACGATTTTTTGTTTGGGAGCCCAGAAGGGAGGTTATAGAGAAAAGGGAATTATTTTGATTTTGGTATTTTTTTGACGTTTTTTTGAGTTAGAAAAATTTCCTCGAAGTGAGAGGAAAAAGCATTAAAAAAATATAAGAATTTGAAGATTTTTTTGTGAGAAAAAAATGGATTTAAGGGACTTTCTTGAAGTTTTAAGCTTGTCGAGTTGAATGGGGATTTTATAAAAAGAGGAAATTTCATAAGAAACGAAATATTTTTCTTGAGTGATACAAAGGTGCTTGAAAATTTGGAAGTTATATCAGAATGGAAGGTCTGAAAAAAGATATTTTTTAAAACGCGGGGTTTTAAATAAACTTGGAAACTTCAACTTCTTCGTTTCTGTGTGCCATAAGCTTCAAAAGCATAAGGATGAATACAAAAAAGCGAAAAAAAGGTTGATTTTTTGCTAGTATACGACAAGTATAGCAAATAAAGGATATTAAATTTTTTTTTTCTTTTGAAGTTCTCTGCGAGGTTTCTCTTTTTGTTTTTTTAACAGAAGTGATCGAATTTTACGGCACTCTTTGAACGATATGGAGATTTTAAAATTTTCTCTGAACTTTTCCGACTAAGCACGAGTGAAATATTGAAAGAAATTTTGAAACTTTGTGAGAAAAAATGATAATTGTTGCAGTTTCCCGAATCTGGTCGGCGAGGACAGTTGGAAGTTGGCCGCGGAGTCGATTTCCACCTACAAACCCTTGCTTTCCGTCGTTTGTTCTGAACAGTTGAAGTTCTTCCTATGCTCCGTCTACTTCCCAATGTGCAATGAGAAGGTTTGTTGAAATGATAATGGAAAAAAAAATGAGTCAATTAATGTCAAAATCGAAACATCTTGACACTTTTTCACAAGGAAAAAGGACCCCGGTAAAAATTTTAATGAATAAGCTCCTGGTTCCATAAGCAGATTTCAAGGCTTCTAACTCTGAAAAGTATAATTATTCCTTGATTTGTAATCATGAGGTCCAGCCAAGTTTCATCAAAAATTGAAACGAGGGCCGAAAAAAACTCCCTCGAACCGTAAGTCTTCCCATATTCGAGAAAGAAGAGAATTTCCCAAATAAGTCTATTTTTCGAGTTTGAACGCCTAAAGTTTTGCAGAATACATGAAAAGGAAAGTAAAAGCGGTTTTCGAAAAGAGATAACTCGAAAAAAGTCCCATTTCCAGAAGAAATTTTATTTGATCAGGGCCCCAAAATAGCCAAGTTTCATCATAATTCAAAAAGGTTCTGCCTTTGTGTCAAAAAAATTTAATAATGAAATGAAGTTCCAGCTTCTCCATCCGATTGGTCCATGTCGACCTCTGTGCCTTTCCGTCAAGGATAAATGTATGCCGGTCTTGGAAAGCTTCGGATTTTCCTGGCCTGATCCGATCAGATGCGACAAATTTCCTTTGGGTTAGTCATTTTCTCAGTTTTATCACAATAAAAGAGTTACATGTCACGCATTGAAAAGCTTTTTTCAGTTCAAAAGAAGGTAGGTATTTGGGGCTTTCTCAGCTTCTGAAAAACTAGCTTTTTTTGAGGCTTAAAGTGTAGTATTTGTACAGAATCTTGTAAAGTTCTTGATAAATTTTATTGAAGTTCTTTTTTGAAATCTCGAAAAATTATATTTTTTTCAGAAAACAACAACGATATAATGTGCATGAAAGGTCCCAATGAACAGGGAGCCATTCAAAGAGCTCCCGTCGAAGAAGAATCGGAGGAAAACGAAAAAAAAGATCTTGATATGGGGAAAACGGTGAGAATTTTTAGAGATTCGGAAAGATACCACTTAACAGAAACGACAGAAAAAAAAGATTTTTGAGGGCCTTCTCAGCGGTTTTTCACGATCTTTTCTTTAAACAAAAGATTTTTTTTCGAAAAAAATCGAAAAAGCTTGATGAATTTGAACAATTTTTTTGTCAAAAAAATTGAAAGAGATATTTTATCAAATTTGGTCTTTCAAAAAAATGGGTTTTATAGCGTCTTTTTCAATTTTTTTGGAGGAAAAAGCCGTTTTTTTAATGCAAGTAAGTAATGTGGCGAGAAACCAAAGAAACTCAACAAAACAATAAAAAGTAAAGACTTTGAGAGTTCTTCATAAGTTCGATTATTGAGAAAAAATTTTTCAACGAGAATCTCAGCTTTTTTTTCAAATTGAAAAGCTGCGTTCTAAAGGAGCAGTAGAGTTGAAAAACAGGAATGTTCAAATAGAAAGCTTGAAACGGGGTTTCAACCTGAAAAAGTTCCTAAAAAACTAGAAAAAAAATGAGTTTAGGCTTCTGTGTAGACTAGAGGCGTTTTTGAAAAATAAATATATAGTTTTTATGACCTCTGGTCGCATTTGGAATGGTTCTAGCTCTTCAAGATGGATCCAATTTCAATCGATCTTAAAACAAATTGGTGATTAATTCTAACTGTAGAATCTTCTTTTTGAATAATTATTGAAAAGTTGAGGAAAAAAATACTTTTTCAGGAAATTTTTTTATGGTTCCTTCAAATAAAAAAACTATTGCACGCTTCTCATCTGTAACATTAATGTAAATTTGTTGCAAAAAAATTTGTTCCAGGAGAAATTATATGTATTGGTTCCTTTGAAAACTATTGAGATCTCTTCATCTGTATCATTAACGAAAAAATTCAGCAAAACGATTTTTTTTGGGCAGTTTTCATGGCTCCTTTGAAAAAACTGTTGCAGGCTCTCATTAATCAAAAATCCAAAAAAATGAGGATTTTTCCAGAATTCCGAACTACGAGGACGGGAGCAATGTGAGCCGGAACACGTGTACATCAATAGAACTGGGATTTGCGTTCCGATTTGCGCCACTGGTCATGGCATTCCGCAGGTATTCCATAATTCTTTAACTTTTCACACTGTAAATCTTTTTTGTCTTGATAATTTCTTATCCTCTTTCAAAACTCTTAAAACATCCCATAAAATCTTTGGGATTCCAAAAATGCAGTCTCAGAGCAGCTTTGTAGCCGTTGAACCTTGAAATATTCAAAGAGATCGAAAATTCCTCCCAAAATCGCAACAATTACCTGCCCCTGAGCCCATTAAACGCAGCCGAAAATAATGAGTCAACTTTGATAAATTGCCAAAATTGTTGCGACCAGGCAAACGCAACATGTGTGTGATGCGCGCCGACGCTCCGAAATTCATGCGTTTTTCCAAACCGAACCACGGATCGTGGTCCTTTTGTCCGTGGAGCATACAAAAGCCATCAATCACGGCCATCGTGTGCCGACTGATGTATGGCCCTTCGTCGAAATGGCCCCTGGCAGTGGCTTTGCAAGGAAAACTGTTTTGAGCCCTTTTGGGGAGGAAATGGAAGTTTATTCTTCTCATCTAGAATAAAATAAACTACTAAAGAGCAATGGTAAACGAGAGGGCGGAAAGAGAAAAATAAACGACCGCACTCTCGTTTTTGAACGCTCTCTCTCTTTGAGCCCCGAAAATTCGACTCGCTTGAAATTTTAAAAATTTTAGTGGACACTACAGCGTTTTAACGTTTTAGTGGCCACTATAGTAGTCTAATTAGTGGCCGCTCAAGGGGTTGAAAATAAGTGGCCACTATAGAAGTCTAAGTGCTACTACTAGACCACTAAACATTTTAGTGGCTTCTTTAGGGGTCAATGGATCTACATAACTGGTCCAATCTGTTTGTTTTAATATTATCAGAGTTACTGGAAGGAATACTGTATGAAAAACTACTGAAGTGGCCACTAAAACGGAAAATAGTGGCCCCTATAGAGGTGGGTTTAGTGGCCACTTTAGTGTCCTACCCAAGTAGTCCTTGGCGAGCCTCTAAAGTGGCCACTAAAAAAATTTTCCCAGAAGACCTCCTCATAGTATTTTTATAAATCTTCGCTGAACTTTCAAAAAAATTTATTTTATGTTTTTAAATCGGATACAGTGGAGAAATCGTGACTTCCAAGTTCAAAGAGGTTTTTTTCATAGCATTTTTTTCAAAGGAACGTAGATAAGTTCAATAAATGTCTTAAAGCGAAAACAATATTTATTGAAATGACAAATAGTTCGAACTCCTGGGAGATCAGAAGATAGAAAAAATATTTTCAATCTAAAATTAATGATTTTTTTGCGTATTAAAAACTGAATGAGTAGAGAGCATTTCTCGAGAGTTTTCGTTTAAAAAATCAGTTTTGATTTCTAGGTAAAAATTCAAAGGAAAAATTATAAGATTATCGAGAAAAATTTTTTTCACGGAGAACTTGATAATAAAAAGTTATGAATGCAACGTCGCAAGGTTACGTCGGTTTATGTGCAATGAAATTTGAAACTGGAAAAATTAACAAATTCGGCTTTTTATGGAAACAAATTTTTTTATTCAACTTTCCTGTTTATCATCGGCTTTTTTTGTTTGAACTCCAAAAATATTGCGTTTCTATATCCGGCTTTTCAGAGTGAACGAAACGCCGCCTCGACGGTCCTTTTCGTCCTTTCTACGACCTGCTTCTCATTCACGGTCATTAGCGTATTGATCGTCATTTTTCGGTTGGTTTTTATTGATTTTTCATCTGTCGAATCGGCATGATTTTCAGTGGAACTTCCCTATCAGCCCTGCCAGAGGCGGCCCTTCTTTGGACTTCCCTCTCATTTTCCGCCAGTTCTGTCGTCTACCTCTTCAGCTTGCTCTACAGGGAACAGGTAAAAATGAAAAAAGGACAAGATTTGGGCTTTCAGAGCAGGGGAGGGAACTTTATTGATTAGTAACCTATAGAAATTGGGAGAGAGTGTTATGTGAATACTAAAATAACAGTTTGTTGGAAAAGGTCATTGAATAGTTGATATGACGAGTTTAAAAGATTTTTCGAATAACTTTGAAAAGTTAGGGCATTTTTTTAACCTTAAACTTGGCTTCCAAAATATTCAGAAACTTGCTATAAAATCTATTTTTCTTGACTTGAAAGGCGATAGGAATTTTTCGGAGACATTTAGAGGTTTACTTGAGGTCAAAAGTTTTTATAGTTGACATTTCAGAGTAATTCAACTATGAAAAAAGAATTACAATTGGAATGGAAAACCTTCTACAGATCTCCTGCACCGACTACACTCACCACCTCCTTTTCGTCGTCGGAAACATGCCTCACGTACCTTGTTCCTCGGTTGCGGCGCTCCTTTATTACTTCGGATTGGCCGGACGATTTTGGTGGTTCGTCATGTGCTGCACGTGGAACCAACACACCCAGAGGGCCGCTACTATGGTTCGTTTTCTTGATTGACCATTTTCAGAAAGAAAAAAGAAAATTGAGCTTATTCTTAAAAAATCGCTTTCATAAGCTCTGAAGCTTGGACCATTTTTTACTTATTTTAAGTAGAATTATATTAGGGATCGTTTAAGCATCAGAAATGGGTCTGATCAGAGAATTAAAGTACCGTCAGAAAAGATACGAAACATTTTTTTAGCTCACAACTTTCTCGTACGGAGCTCAATCCTATTGAAACTTTGTGATGCTCTCTTTTTTCTGGAAACCGAAATCCAACCAGAGTGTTAAAAATAACAGTAAGAACAACCCCCAGAAGGCTTCAGAAAGATCAAACTCTATACAAAAAAGTTGTGAAAATGCCCTTTTTTTCGTCTCTGACAGTACTGTATCTTAAAGATACACTTTTTGGGAAAGATGGAAACCTTTTCCAGGAGAAAAACCGTGTCCAGGTCCATCTTCTCGTGTGGGGCTGTCCTCTGGCCATCGTCATGTTCGCCCTGATGGCAAAATCGGCGTCCGCCGATCCGCTCACTGGGATTTGCTACGTTGGCGGCGCGTCCAGGGTGATTATTAGTGATGATCAATTAATTAAAGTTAGAAAAATATTGGTTAAAAATATTAAGAGGTTGAAATCGTCACCAAGAAACCGAAAATACAAGTAATTAGGGATAAAGATAAAAATTAGAAAAAAATGATTTAAATTTTTTTGACTTGTATAGGTGTTTCAGAAAAAAAGGTTTCAAGTAATTTTTCAGAGATAGGAAAATGAAACATTTGGGAAACTCCGATTAAAAAAAGAATAATTTCTTCAACTTTTAACGGGATCAAAACCCAAAGGACTAGAATAAATTCCAGTCAAGACACATTTAAAAAAATTTAAAAAAATAGGTATTTTTTTGTGAAGAAAAAGGGCAAAATGATTAGAAATTCGATTTTTTCGGAACTGTTAAGAAAAATTGTGGAAAAATTCAGTACAAAAATGAAATTAATGAAATTTTTTAATGGAGTTGAAGCCAAAAGGACTAAAATGAATTACAGACGAATTAAATTTTAAAAAATTGAAAAAAAAAATTCTAGTGAAGGAAAGGGAGAACAAGATCTTATAATCCAGGGGTTTTTTGAAACTTATTCGAAAGATCTTATCAAAAAACCAATTTTTTCCGTTTTGACGTGAATATGAATAGTTTTTATCAATACTTCCTTCAATCAATGATGATAATGGCAAATCGAAAACAATTTCCAAGAATTTATTTTATTCTTTAACGTTTTCCGCCTACCGTAATGTCATCTCTCCATTCAAAAATCTATTTTGAAGGTGATGGACGGTCTGTTCAACCTGGTCCGGGAGCTGATCCTGCTGACCGCCTGTTCGGTTCCACTTCTTCTCGGCTGTTTCGGACTGATGGGCGCCGTTCAGAGCGACGTCAACACGATCGTCGGACTCGTCGGGGCCTTGTACCCCATCACATCCCTCTTTTACATGTCCGTTTTTTATTTTGATTAGGAGCAGGCTTTCTGCATTTCTTAGGGGGATCTTTCGGACATTAATATTTTGGGAAGTTGGGCCATATTTTCGATTTGTGAATCACGACCCCCTAGATAACTAGGACGTACTGGGAAAATTTTTAGTGGCCACTATAGAGGCTCGCCAAAGACTACTTCGAGAGGTCACTAAAGTGGCCACTATACCCACCACTATAGTGGCCGCTATTTTCCGTTTGGTGGCCACTTCAGTAATTTTTCATCCAGTATTCCTTCCAGTAGCTCTGATAATTTAAAACAAACAGATTGGACCATTTATCTTGATCCATTGACCCCTAAAGTGGCCACTAAAATTATTAGCGGTCTAGTAGTAGCACTTAGAGCTCTATAGTGACCACTAACTTTCAACCTCTTAAGTGACCACTAATTCAACTACTATAGTGGCCACTAAAACGTTAAAACCCTACAGTGCCCACTAAAATTTATCCCAGGTGTATATTTTTTCTTCCATTTCTACAGTATATAATTCATTCTCGTTGTTTCTAATAAGTATTATTTTCATTCATCTAACTTTTTTCATCAACATTATTTGGACTATGCGGACTATAACTCAATTTCGGGGCGTCATAGTTAATTCTGAGTATCGCGGACTTAGTTTAAACACGGATTAGAATGACTTGGCAGAAAAAAAAGTAACGGCGATAGTTTTTACCCTGAAATTTTCAGGCTCTCCTTCGCCAACGACGTCGTTCAACCGACCATGTACTGGACCAAGACTTGGAACATCGTCTCGGCCATCAAATTTTCCGTGGATTTGATCTTGGGCGTCGTCGTTTCTTCCTGCTGTTTCCTACACGTTCTTTCGACGATCGTCAGGTCAAATAGGTTAGTTTCGGAAATTTTCAAATGAGATCCTTCACTCGGAAAAAATCAAAAAAGTTTCATGAAAGTAGGAGAAAGCGCCATTTTCAGGCCAAAAACAGTTATTCTTTGTGAAATTCAATTTCGCGAGAATCTTACTTCTATCAACACGGTCACAGAGTTTATAATATAAATCAAGGGATCTTTGGAAAATTTTTCAAATTTCACTTTTTCAAATTGTTCTCACAGCAAGTTTCACACGTTATCAAACTATTTTCATACTGTAAAACAAGACAATATTTCAAAAAAAAAAGAAAATGGAAGAGAGTAATAAATGACCCAATCATTTGGATTTCCAGACCACCAATGAACAAGGACGGATACCAGCCAGCTGTCCCGAAAATCCCTCAGCCGGCGATTCCGGGAAGCGTTCGATCCAACACCTACGCCTCCACATTTAGAGCTCCCAATCTGATGTAAAAACTCAGAGAATTTCAAAAAATATCTTAGATTCCAGGCTTTTTATCATCCGTTCTTGTCATAATTCCAAAAAAAGATCAAAATTTATCTCTCATTTTTGTGCCATTTCATCAAGCTTCCCGTGTCCCGTTTCTGTACATTTGTTTGGTTCCAGCTTTCCTTCTATTTTCAACTTTCAAGTTTTGATCGAATATGGGTCATTATATCAATGTGCAAATACTTGTTAGCTTCTTTCTCTTTTCTTCTGAGATTTATTCGTGCCACGGTTTTTTTTGTGTCGTCTGCTTTTTGTTTTCGCTTTCGAATAAATTTTCTATGAAAATTTGAACAACAAAATGGATTTCTGTGAAATTTTAATTTCTGATTGAGTACTTAATTCTCTTTAACAATCGGCTTTTTGATAAAGAATAAACGTTAAGAAAAATAAATAAAATTTAAAAAAAAATTCGAAGGAATCTGCGCGTGAAAAAAGGAGTTTTGGACGCAACAGTGCGTCGCTGTCGTCACGGACATCGTAAATCTCCAAGAAGAGACATTTCGAAAAATCGTTTTTCCCTCCTGAAAAAAATTTTTCATGTAATTTTTTTCTTCATATTTCTGTTTAGAATTGTTTTTTTTGCTTTTTTTCATTGGATAGAGGATTAGTTTTTCGAAACGTTTGAAAAAAATATTTTGAAAGGGAAAAATAGGTTTTTTTCGTTTTAAAAATAACTCGTTCTCTAAATAAGTTTTTTTATTGGTTCTTCTGTGTTGTAAGATTTTTTTGAAAAAAATCAAAAAAATTTCCCTTTGTACTTGTGGATTTTTTTCAAAATAAGAAATTTAATTCCATAATAAACTGAGAAGAGAAGGATTTTTCGTTCAATATTTTAATTTCACTGTGATAAAGTTAGATTTTCTTCAAAAGTGATTTTTTGGTCCTTTTGAAATTTTTTAAAGTGTAGAACCAGGTTTCTTTGTTGAAAAACTAATTTCACATTGATAAAGTCGATTTCCTTCGAAAGTAATCCTTTGCAAACCATTTTTGAATTTGACTAAAATTGAGAATATTTTTTTGCCATTTTCTTTTTGTGTCTTTTGTAGCTTAACTGAAACTAATAGAAAAAAACCGGATTTTTATATTCGTTTTTCGCAACTATTCACAAAAAAGTTCGAAGTTTTACCTTTATAAAGAACAATATTGAGCCATATCGATATATATTTTTAGGTGAAAAAAACCCAAGGTTCAAATTTTTTTGATGGTTGAAATAATTTTTTTAGGGTTCATACGATGAATTGAAGAAAAAACGGAGATGGGAGAATTTTTGGGAAGTCACCAACGTGGAAGCTGACGCCAGATAGGTGAGTCTTTTTTTATTTTTCTATTTTTTTGTTGTTGGTTTTTTTCTCTTTTTGATTTCCGAGTTAATCGATTGGTTGTTTTTTTGTAACTAAATTCATGGAAAAAAAAAATGGATTTTCATAGAATTTATCTTTTTCCTAGAAAAGTTTCAAATTTTTCTTCTTTATGAAAAGATTTTAAGCTTATAACTTTTTGAAATCGATCCAACTATACTTTTTGTATTTGAGAGGTTGCAAGTCAGAAAACCGATTTTATTGAAATTTTACAAAACCGAGTAGAAATATTGAAAACCTTGCGATAACTTTCAATCTTTTCTTAAAAAAAACATTTTTATAAGATTTTTTTTCCTCGCTCTGACAATGTTGATGTGAACTTTTAGAGGCCATTTAGTTATTTCAAGCTTTTATTTCGATTCGATTGATTCCATGAGCAATTTTTTTCTTTCAACTTTCGACTTTTCAATAGTGATTTTATCGTCGTTTTTGTTTTTTTTTTGTGGGAAGAACCACGAAAAGGCTGTTTTTAAGTTTCACTTGTTCTTTAAAAAAAACGAAAAGGTTTTTTTTAACCTTTCACCTTTTTTACTTGTCGATTTTTCTGTCTTTTTCCGAAGGCATATCCGAGGGATTTTTTTCAATCTCTTCTAGAGATTGTTAAAGACACAAGATGTTTCTAAAAGTTTTTTTTCGTTTCGATATATTCTCTCCGATCCTTGCAGAAGCGTCTTGGCTATGTTTTTTTTTTTCGAAAGTTATTTTGAAAAGCTCTTTAACAGTTTGAAGCGAAAAGCATATTGGCCATTTCTAAATTTTTTTTTCTGTATTTCACTTTCTTTTCTTGCCGATGTCTTTTCAATCTATTTGAAAATATGATGAAATGGTTGAATATCTCGAAATTGGTGACTCGTATTTCCAACTTTGCCTAATCCGAAATCCGAACCTTGATCTTAAGTCCTAAAGGCACATTCCTTGAAATTTCTTTCGTTTCGAGACTTTTTTCTCTGGTCTCTTGGAAAAGTCTTTATTCGGGTTTTTAAAGGATGGAAATTTTTATAAAAGTCTAGAAGCGAAAATAATGAAGCTGTTTCAAGCGCATATTATTTACTTTCAGTTTCTTCTCTTGCCGATATTTTTTCTTTCCAGTTCGTTCAAAGTAAGAGTAATAAACCTCAAAATCTTTAACCTTCGCCGATTTTTGTTTTTCTTTTTCTTGTCGAGATATTTTTCTGCTCTATTCCCTGTCCCTTTAAAGGTCCTGGTAAAAAATACCTCGGAGTTCCAGGGAAGAGAAGGAAAGTTGGAGGGTTCGAATCAAAGGCGAATATAAACGTTTCCTGGACCAACGGCTAATTACCTACCATTGTGTTCTCGGTTATGACCCAAATAATTGCCTAATACGCGCCGCCTTCGGGGGGATTGCTCCAGGCGACGACGTCCGGTCTGAAGGTGCTCCAGCTCCTCGGTATGCCTTTAACGAACCGCCGCAAAATGCCCCATAATTGGAGTAGGGCTCTCCTATCGGCTCGGATTGAGCCCCGCTTGCTGACAGCTTTCCTCTATTCCGTCCCCAACAATTAGCTTTTCAATTTGCTTTTCTTCACAAAGAACTTTGAAAAATACTTGTTGGTGTAATTTGGAGCGTCGTACTGGAATTATTGGACTGAAGAAGAGAAAGAAGAGTGGAAACAGTTTCCTAGTATGCTAAAATTGATTTTATGTCGCGATTTTCAGAGAAGGAGATAAAATTATCCGTTGAGCGCATATGTGTGTAATATTCTAGCCGAAATTTTCACAATTTCATGATTTTTCTGTTTTTTAGCTGGCCTTTTCTTTGCTCATTCCAACCCCAAAAATTATCTTTTCAATTTATTTTCCTAGAAAGTAATTTGAAAAGTTCTCTTTGGCATTATTTAGAGCGAAAATCGTTTTTTTTTCTCTTTGTAAGAGAAACCTTTAGAAATACTGGCTTGTGTAATTTGGAGCGTCAGTCTGGAATAATTTCCTTGATGACAAAACGCAATACTGTAGGATTTGAATGAATTCCATATAGGAACTTTTGGGAAACGTTTAGAAGAACGTTTGACAAACAAGGAAAAGCCATAAGAGGACACATTGAAATTTTTTCTGGCAATTGACCTTATTTTTCATGAGTCAAGGCACAGCCAGGCCCAATCAGCGCACTAGGTACCTAGAAAAAAGGGAGCTTAGTTAATCAAGTTCGAGGTTTCCACATAGAGAACGGTCTGCGGGCCGCAGCTTCAGCATCAGCTACCTTCTGAGCTTGTCGAGGAGCAACTAGATCAACTACAGGCAGGAGAGCAAGGAGGAAGACCGTAAAACCATGCTCCAACTTGATCAACTACACTTTTTTACTTCTAGTTGGCTAAAGGCGGTTGTTCATTGTAACTTCAAAAGTTCTTTTTCACCGCCTATTAGATTAATTCAATGACTAAAACAGAATGAATGATATATTGATTGATTGATTGCTAAGTGAAAACTAGAAGGATGTGTGACATTTTTATGTGACTTTTTTTATCGATCGTTTGTTTTTCTGGGTCCCGAAAAAGGAGGCTGAATAATAGAGCCCACGCCCGACATGATAGCCCAGATCTCAAGAGATTCTTGAACATTTTTTTCAGTACTTCACTTGATGAAGAGCTGTTCGATAGCGCGTACATGTTGACTTCTTTTCGGCCTATAACAGCGCAACGGCTCTTTTTCCTCAGAACCTAAAAAAAAAACGGGAGGCTCAATTAATCAAGCGACGCGCGCGTCATGATAGCCCTCAATAAGCGGATCGAAGAGGACCGTAATTAAGCGTAAGCGGCTTCCGGAGAGAAGAAGAAGAAGGGGGAAAAGAAGGAGGTGTGCCGTCGTCGCCGTCGTCGTCGTCGTCGTGTAAGAGTGAGCCCAAACGGCTCATTACATGCGCAATTAGTCTCATTTAGCCTCGTGTGTTGTTTGTTTTTAATTAAACCCCTTTCCAGTTGCCTACTTCGGAGGGCCCACCTCTCTCGTTTCTCCTCACTTCTTCTACTTCTACTTTTTTTTTCGCCCCTCCCCCTTTTCGGCTTTTTCAGAGTTTACAACTTTCATTTAATTTGTTTGAAAAAAGGATGAAAAGGTTTTTGAGCCTCCTCGGGATTTTCACTTTTTGGGAAGATCGTATACATCGTCTATTTTTGAAATGCAGTTTTCAGGCCTCTGCCTCCTTTTCGGCTTTTCAGAGTTTTTTGATTACTGTCTTTTTCAAATTGTCTTTTTTAAAACCTAAAGCTTACATTGGACTCGTTTACTTCCATCTGAAAAAGGCTGAGAATTTTTTTTTTGAGCGCTTTTCTGGAGTTTTCGACTTTTGAGAAGATCTGATGAAGTTTCGATTTTTTGTCTTTGTGTCTCTTTTATCATTTTTCTCAGAAAGCTTACGTTGTACATGCTATCTTTAACTTGACAAAAGGAGGAGAGGAAATTTTGAGTTTGAGAACGATTGAAAAAGTTTACTTTTGGAAATCTGGTTATGAAAGTTCTTTGAGATAAGTTTTAGAATTAGATCGAAGTTTTCATTTTCGGTAAATGATTTTTGAAAAAATCGATCGCGATAGTTTTTTTAAACACCTTTTTCAGCTTTAAATTTCTGAAATGATATGTTTCGTAAATTT